ACACACAAAGGGAACTTATCAAGAGCTAACATCTACTGGGATCTTCTATAATGCTATCATAAAACAATAATAGAGTGGACATGCAACATAATACACTAATGCATAAGCTATCTAAATGGACTGTTAGATGTGATGAGTGCATATAGGAGTATTGCGATACATACGTATTTGAGGTCTATAAAAAGGATACTCCTCGCTGTTTCGAATGTCCACCACAAGCAGCTTGGGTTTGCTAGACTTGCTCTTCTTGGCAGATGCTTTGAGATGACTGGAAACTGTTAATTCACACAGGTCAATGAGATCCTCTGCGGAGATACGAGGGGAAACCTCAGACTTCAGATCATTCAACTTGATGGGTTCTCGACCCTAAAAATAAATAAATATAATGGAGAGAGAATACATTTTAGGACACAATACTCTTGTGAAAAATATTTTCAATTAACTGCTAATAAAGCAAAATGCACACAAACCCTAATGATAGAGGTTTTAACTAAAAATTGCACAGGATAAGATCATTATTATTTATATAGTGCCTTATAGGAAGGTTGATATTTAGGGGTGAAGAAAGCAAGCTAAAACGTGCCCACAATAGATAAGACTAGCATTAATCCCATTGTACAGCGCTACGGAATTTTGCTGGCGCTATATAAATAATAAAATAATAATAATATGGCACCAACATATTCTGCCGTGTTTAACAATTATTGAAAGGGGATATTTAGAGGTGAAGAAGGTCCTTACTAGAGAATTTGAGGTAGGCGAATATATGTATAGTTGGGCATCTTGGCCAAGGACACTTATTGGTGAGGTGATCAGACCAAGATTCAAACCTGGCTTTCCCAGTTTTAAGGCAGTGATGCTACATCTGTTCTACTCATCTGATATACAGCTGGAAAAAAAATCAGGTGATATAAATGTCTGGAAAAAGTAAGATCCTACTACTAACATAACTACTAATAATTTACAGTAGCAACATAATTTCCATTATATATATAATATAATCCCCATCAGAAGTGATAAGAACTTGTGATCTAATCTAAAGTTAATATATTCTTAAAAAAATAAACAAACAATATAGTAGCACATTAGAGTTCAACGCCACAGATACAAGGTGTGAGCATTTAAATATCATAAAATAAATGTTTTGTTGTGTGAAAATGAAGTGACATGTTACAGAAATTTAAATGAATAACATATTTCAATAAAAAATAATCATGCAATGAAAATATTGTTTATTGTTACCATCATTATAAATATCTTAAATTACTATAATAAATTACTTTCAGGAAATATGACTGAACTCAGCAAAGGTAGACACAGGAATGCATAACATAATAAATAAGTCACACATTAGAAAGGGAGTTAATGACCACAAGTCTGAATGTCTACTCAACTGACTAAGTAACAAGATATGGGTTTAACATTTCACATTTCAATGTCTAATATGTTCTGCTTATTTAATATCTTTTAAAAAGTATAGCAACTTTCTAAAATATGTCAACACCATGATCTTAAAAGACACCTTGGAATCCCTAAGGTGCCACACCAGAGTGACTGACAGATAGATCTGCCAAAATGTACCTTTTATCCCTCTGTGACAAGGTAATAGGGCCCTGTAATGCTTTCTAATCACTTTTAGTGCCTTGGATTTCACCTATAGGGGGCTAATTTAGTAATTAACAGGAGAAATCCTAAATAACTTGAGCTCCTTCAAGCTTTTAATCGTATAATAATTACAAAAATATTACTTAATTCTATGATTTTAATATTACCTGTCAAAATTGTGTTCGGTACAGAGTTAAATAAGATTCCATTAATACTTATTTTTATGGAAAATTATAAAATAAACTGAACTAAATGAACTAGGCACAATGATTAAAAATCCACCGCCCAACATATATTGATTAATGGATATGTTTAGAAGAATATTGTTTTAACAAAATCTCCCTGGGTCACGGTTTTGGGTGCATCCTTATAATGTAAATTCCTGAGATATATATATATATGTGCGTATACTGCATTTATTTTAGGTAGACTCCAAAAATGACAAACACTTACTTATGCTCCTTGTTTAAATTATTGGGGCACACAGCTCTCTGTATCAGAATTCCTTCATTATATTCATAAATAGAGAGGTTTGCTGCAGCTATATGGCCTAGCTACAGTGCTATCATATTGGGAGTGTGGCTTCCATTGATTTGTATAACATATATTCATACTGTACTCTTTGAAAGGTTATTCAATCTTCCCATGCTTGCTTTTTGGTGCTAATATTCTTACATAATGTTATCCTTTCACTTAACACTGCTAGATCCCTGGTTTTTATTACAGTGAAAAATACCCAATACTCAACATACAGGACATGATTTGCAAATTCAGGATATTGAAGATTTGTGCATATTGTCAATTATTCAAACTATAAATACACATTGGTGAGTGCCATCCCTACTGTTTCCTTTATCATATGGGAGTTGTGAGGTGTGACATTAAAGATGCCACCAATGACAACTGGTTCATGTTATGAATGTCATGAGCACATATCTCACCACGCAGTCACTTGCAAACACATTATACATTCTTATCATAGCCTCACAGCCTGATGGCCCAGATATTAGAGTCCTTGCCGTGTGGAAATGTTTCTGGGCCTACCTATTGTGACTTAGAAGAAGCCACAAAATAAAAGTTTATTTCTATTACACGTGATGGGACTTGAAGAGCCCTACTCAAGGACCACAAAATAAAGTGATATTTCCAATTTATACATTAACATTTTCTATTTTCGGTTTTGTTTTTTTTAATTAGATTTAATATATTTTTTCTACCTGCCAACCACAACACTTGTATTTTTTATATAGGTTCAAATATTTTGGACACAGTTTTAAACTAAATACCAGCGAAAAGGTGCTCACTAGTGATGTCCCGAACGGTTCGCCACAGACGGCGAACATATGCGCTGTTCGGTCCGCCCCCTATGTCATCATTGAGTAAACTTTTACCCTGTACCTCACAGTCAGCAGACACATTCCAGCCAATCAGCAGCAGACCCTCCCTCCCAGACCCTACCACCTCCTGGACAGCTCACTAAGAATGCAGCTTCACAATGAATGTAAAATGGATGCTGTCCAGGAGGTGGGAGGGTCTGGGAGGGAGGGTGTGCTGCTGATTGGCTGGAATGTGTCTGCTGACTATGAGGTACAGGGTCAAAGTTTACTCAATGATGACACAGGGGCCGACCGAACAGCGCATATGTTCGCCGTCCGTGGCGAACTGTTCGGGACATCACTAGTGCTCACTATATACTTAAATTAACAGGCAGTAGGCAATCTTTACAAGTATTCCCCAAAACCTTGTGAATAAATAAGAAAAGACAAACAAGGTATAGATAACCGCGCCTAAAATGATAACAGCCCTTCTGTGAAATCACATAACAGCTACATATACATACATATGTTGATAGAATCTTCTGTTCGGATTTATACAGTTTTAGAGATTCTCAAGAAAACAGAGAAAGAAAAGAATAATAGTGCAAAATATCAAATAACAGGAGAGTGAGATGTAATATTACGTCAAAGGCACGCTCACACTTTCAAGAGCTTCTAAGAGCTCTGCTGTATAAAGTGTTGATGGTACAATCCCTGTCTTGGGATATATGGTCAGCAGACTTAGTGGTAGGTCTTTCCAGCACATCACATGAATAAAAAGACAAACAGGAGAATATCCAATGGTGCAGCCAGTACGGTAAAATAACTGTGCAGAAAAGGTATAAATAACCTACTCACATGAGATAGAGCATGAGCCTGCTCTGCTGTTGTAATGCTTTGGTGGTATAATGCCTACCTGGGACATATGTAGATAGGAAGCCAAGAAAAGATGCAGGGTATAATCCAAAAATATTTTCAAAATAAATACAATTTAAAAAGATTAACTTTATGTAGTATAAACAAATAAATAAATAAAAGTATATTCTATAAAGCAATCCACATGGGTTCTAGATCCACACTTTACGCGTTTCACCCTGGGGTTTCATCAGAAGTGTGGTTTTAAAGTGCTTGGTGTTTGTTTATATAGGTATAAAATTAATAATTTAAAACAGGTGTGCATTGGAGATATTCATTGGCTTCTATCATTACTTCTGGTTTTCTATGTTAAATTTTAAAACGGGTGAATTTCAATTATAAGTAGTTTTTTATTTTACAAATGTACAAATTACATCTAAGCTGGAATAGTAGATCAGGTACACATTGCAAAATGGAATTCTAAGCAAAAAATGATAAATCTAAATAAAAGCTGATAAATACCATCATTTAGGAGAGTATTAGTACATGTGGCACTGATTTCAGTCTCAAGTTCATACTTGTCAGAAAAATAATGACATCATTGAATTTGCTGAGAGAACATGACAAACAGTGATTCCACTTTGACATAAACTGACAGAAATAATCTAAATTAAACATTTGATACTAATCCAAAACTGATATGTGCTTTTCCTTTGTTATTTTCCTGAAAAAAAAATATATATATGTGACAGGAAATGTCAATTTGGACAGGATAGAGAGAGACTAAAACTGTACAGACCATGAAACAAAACATAGTGACAAGCTGAGAGTTAGCCCCACCCTAATGTGCTAACAGCAATAATCAGATGGCTTGGAACCCACACAGTTATCGACAATTGTATTCACTAACAATGATCCAGGGAAATGATAAGCAAGCCATTGAATGTATCCTTGTTTACAGTCAATGCAAGAAAATTTGTCTTTCCCCAGAATGTGAACATCCATTTTCTCAACAGGTGACTGACTATAGCCTAAAAAAAAGAATTATGTTTTCTCAGAAAAGCGTTACATTCCTTGCGATTATCCATTGATCATGATCACATTTTCTACCAGGGATTCAGATATATGTTCTATGAGAGTAAAATAGCTCTCAGTAAATCATTACGTGACAACGTGCTTTATAAAACTCATAAACTCATTTAACTTGGCAATAACAAGTATTAATTTAACTTACATTTAATGGACTTCATATATGAATTTAACATGCAAGGAGTATATTTTGTTTTATTTGCTTTACCCAAGACAAAATACAGAAGTCTGCAGTGAGATTATTCTCACCCATGGGTCAGCAAAGAGGGTTATTGTTACCACTTCTCTATGCAAAGGATTGGAGGTGGGGTATGTGACAAGTTGGGTACGTGTGACTAGATGAGCATAGAAGATGGCATGAACATGACTTGTTAGGCATAAAGAGGCCTGGTTGGCAGGTAGGCATAATAGGTTGATTGGGGAGTTTGGTGTGAGTTATTGAGAGATAATAATGGGTTGTGTGGGCATGGGTGAATAAGTGCATAGGGAATTGCAGAAGGGCTATCAGCAAAAAATGATCACACAGCAATAGCAATCACAGAATCCCTGTGAGCTACAAGGCCACAAAGTGAAATAGCAGCGTGTTTGGTTACTTGTAGCGGATGCAGAACTACTTGCCACGAAAGGGCAGGTACTTGACAAGACTGCTGCCTGCTCATGCGGTCTGCATATAGTAGCTACCCGTCTACCTTCCTGGTAAATACTGTGCTGCTATAGAAAGTGGAAGACCCTGCAAGGTACTTTTTACATTATAAATTTCAGCACAAATGACTACTGCCATCTCAGGAAACATGATGGGTCCTGGCCTCTGTCAGTAGCTTTCTTGTAAGCCAAGAACCCAGTCCACCTGCCATAGCTCAGCTCTGCTCCCAAACGATCTCTGAGTTCGTAGGGAGCACCTGGTTTTGTAATAATTCAAAATTTATTTTTGAAAAACACTGTGTGAATTCTTAGCACCTCCAGAAAGTAGAGATTGATGCTTCTACCCTCACTTCGGTTACAGGAGGCAAATGTCAGTTCTCTATAACCTAAAGCTTTAACATAACAGATTGAGGCCCACAGACTGTCCTGCCCAAATTTTGAGCTTCCTAAATTCAAATAGAACTAGGATGATAATAATAATAGGCAAATATCAGCCCTCTAAATACTAGGTGGAAGGGGTTTTGAAAAAAAAAATTTCCCCATTATAACCTTTCTGGTTTTTGCTTCCTATATACCGTATATACTCGAGTATAATACAAGTTTTTCGGCACATTTTTTTGTGCTGAAAACCCCCCACTCGTCTTCTACTCGAGTCAGTGTCTGTATTATTGCAACTTACATTGCCATAATACAGACATGGACCGCCAGGCTCATTACAAGCCCAGCGGTCATTTGGGGGCCGGCAGCGAGCTGTAACTTACCTTTCCTGCTGCTCCTGTCAGCTCCCTTCACCTCCGTTCCGGTCAGCTCCCTTCTCCTCCACTGTAAGTCTTGCGAGACTTACAGTGGAGGATAAGGGAGCTGACCGGAAAGGAGGAGAAGGAACAGCTTCCTGCCAGCCCCCCTCCTACACAGCCCATGCCACTGGACCACCAGGGAAGGAGAGCCCCACTCCCTGGCCATGTATCAAGCAGGGAGGGGGGACAAAAAAATGTAAATAAAAATGTAAATAATAATATAATAAAAAATGTAATAATATTAAAATAAAATAAAAATATTGAAAAAAACTAAATTTAATATTAAAATAATAATTTTAAAAAAATTAATAAAAATGCCCACCCCCCACCAAGGTTACACACTCTGCATCACACACACACTACACACACTGCATTCATACACACACAGATTGCATTCATTATATACACAAAATAAATATTCAATTAATGTAATTTTTTGGGGGATCTAATTTTATTTAGAAATTTACCAGTAGCTGCTGCATTTCCCACCCTAGTCTTATACTTGAGTCAATAAGTTCTCCCAGTTTTTTGGGGTAAAATTAGAGGTCTCGACTTATATTCGGGTCGAATTATACTCGAGTATATCCAGTATGTGGGATAGAGATATATATATATGTCAATGATGTGAAATTATAGTAAAAATATAGTGTCAGTTTCACCAGTACATAAAAAGTGGTACAGGATCTTTCTTTGTAGGCATAGGCATTGGAGCCAGAATGAAAGCACGCGATTAGACACAATGCACATCATCAATAAAGCACAAAAGGCAACCATATCAGAAAAGGAGAAATATTCAACTGAGAGCTTTAGCCTACGCAGAAAGAAATCCTAGAAGACGTACTATTTCCTTCTTTCATGAGCATAACAAAACAACACAGAGAAACCTCTTGTGCTGCATGATTTAAAAAAAAAAAAAGTATCATGTCACTAAATTAGACAATAAGTAAGATCCGGATAAAACAATTATTTAAATGAAATTTTAAATAATTTGAAAAATATTCTTATGTGGGATTTCAGAAGTAGAGGGAATGACGTCCCTAATCGTATAAATCATGATAAAATAAACTTGCAATCAGTAGAGAGCTGAGTACAACAGAGAAGTGTTCTTAGACAAGGTGATTTGAGGAAGATCTTTCACTGCCTGTTCTTCGTAGACAATATGGAACACAGCTAAACTTAATGAGTGTAATTTTCCTCTTGTACCAACATAAATACACAAAAGAGAGTAAGCCTCTTATCTTAATATTAGTAATCAAAGCTACCTGGGCACACTTAAATGAAAAGCTAAGCTCCCTCAAGATTAAAGTGTTCCAGCATCATCGGGCAGCAGGCACACACAATTAAAGGAGGCCATTTCATTTTCCATCATTCTATAATCTCTGAGTGGCATTTCAGTTGGGATTTCATGGGATCAAATATTTTTAACTTGCCAAACAAGTCCATTGTGGAGTTGCAATGGACTTAAAAAAAATAAAATAAAAAATGTTGGTCTAAGAATAAGTTATATAGCAAGAACAAAATAATTAACATTATAAAAATATATCAGGGGCCAATACAAACCATTGTGTAGAAATCTATTCACAAACAGGACTTTACATAGGATACAAGGTCATGCATTTAGACTGGAAGAAAGAAGATTTAGTCTAACGCAAAGGAAAGTTTTTTTTACTAAGAACAATAAGGATATGGAATTCTCTGCCTGAAAAAGTAGTTTTATCAGAGTCCGTGCAGATATTTAAATAGCCCCCCTAGTTTGTTGCAAAATTGAAAGTGCTTCAAACTGGGTTATTGCCATCTTTTGGAGCAACAGCAAAAAACAAGTGTGAGGAAGGCTGAACTTGATGGACACATGTCTCTTTTCAGCCTTTGAAACCAACTATGTAAGTTAGGTGACTTATGTTTTTTTTACTGGTACTGTGCTTTATCACTTGCGTTGCTGAACTATGAAAAGCAGCAAATATATTTGACTCCCAAGTTGCAACCCATGGAAGTTTTCCCCCTTGAGAGATCCAGCTGAAAGTTGTTTTTTTAATCAATGAAAATGTGGAATAGGCAAGCCATTGACTGTGAAACACCACACCTGCCAGAGGTGTAACAACCTATGGCTGTGTGTTGGCTAATGTGAATTCTGTGCAAACTTGGCTACTGATGCCAGCTTGCACATTTGGGGAGGACCGGTATAGTAAAGGTTTTCTGTCCAAAACCAGTATTTTCTTAAATGAATACTATAGTGTTAGAAATACAAACATGTATTACAAACGTTAAAGTGTAAGATAGCCATTAGAGGTGTGTTAACCTGCGACATAAACATTGCAATTTCTTCAAAACAAAATGGCCACTGTACCAAGACCATTTCGTTGAGAAATATTATTGGCCGTTTAAAACACTGTTTATCTCTAACCATTAAAAAATACCATACAATGTCCCTCTTTTACAGATTTTTGCAAGCAACTTTAGTGCCCTTAACATCAAAGAAGTAAATTAATACACTCACTGTTATTGTGTTTATGTACAGTCATAATAAACCAAGCCAGATATCATGAAATATTACTGGTAATGTTCAGTGACCCTTTGCATAAATAATGTATGCAGCTGCCACATAGGGAGTGTCTAAAGTCGATTTATAGACCTATGGTTTGCTGTAAGGGCTGATATTACAACAGTTAATTCTCCAAACACACAACTCACAGGCAGTCTCTCCAGCTACATAACAAAACATAAAATAAAACATAAAGATAACACATTTGAAGCCAGAGAAGGAGTCATCCTTTGCTTATAATGGGGTGTTGAAGTGAACTGCCTCTTTTCTGACAGTTAAAGTTCCTCTTTCTCTCAGCTCATTAATCACCCACGTGCACATCATTCAGGGGTAAGGTGTGGTTGTTATGGACATGTGCAATTTGTTTCGTTCCGAATGTCAATTTGAACGAATTTCAGGCAATTCGGACATTCAGATACTTCCGAATGTTCGAATAGCTGAATTGCCGGAATGCCGAATTTCCGAAGTGCTGAAATTAGACCTATTGTCCTCCCCCCCGGCCCCCACCCCTGAGTGGCGTGTGGGGGCCTTAAATACCAATATGGCGGGGGGGACCTATTGCCCTCCTGAGCGGTGGGTGGGGGCCCTAAATAAAAATGTTACAACCCCCCAGGTGACTTTAGGGTCTCAAATATGGCAAATAAAAAAGATTGCACTTGCACTTTTCTGGAGCTCAAGATCAGCTCCGAATCACTGCGCCTGGACGGTACAATGCCCCAAGTATTGCATATTGCTCTATTGGAACTTAGGACTTCAGTTGCAAGTGCTGCTTCCAGTTAATAAAGTCTGTTTGTAAAATTACCAACCACTCACAGATTACGAGGGATGTGCATGGGGAAAAAATTTGGTTCGGCATTTCGAAATTCGGAACTAAGGATGTTCTCTTGCAGCCGTTTAGTAGATAACTCTCTAATTCCCACGATATTAGGGAGCTATCTACCAAAAGGCTGAAAGACCTAAAATGGTCTTTCAGCCAAATTTACTAATACTAAGTAAAAATGACTTAGTATACCGTGAGTAGGGGCATGTCTATTAAACTGTGAGCAGCCACAGTGTACCCTTGTCTTTGGCTGGCTAAATGGTGTGTGAGTCGCTGCAAGTGTTAGAGGAGCAAGTGTTAGAGGAGCATTTAAAGAGAAGTAGTTGTGTGCTTGTGTGTACCCCAGGGAGATAAGGAGTCGTCCCGGGATTGCAGTCTGTTCATAGTCTCGTGGTTAATGAGTGTGTGTGGGAGGTGTGGGCTGTGGGGGTACCTGGTGTGCGTGTGGTTTAATTAGGGCGCTAGTGGTCGGGTCTTTCTAGCCAAGTGTTAGCATATCCTGCATATCTTGCAGCGTTAAAGGTCGACATTGATAGAGTAAGGTTAGTCAAATTAAATTAAAATTAGCAGAGTAGAGTGATAACGAAGAGTTGGTAATAACAGCAGCCAATTAACCATAGAGGCAGTAGTGTTTAGGCATATCTGCAACCTTCGTAAGCATTAAACGTTAAATACAGTTCTGTCAGTTAACATTAGGCTTTGTACTGACTGTCCTGGCCGCGCCTGGGTGGCAAATGGAGAGCAGCCTGTCCTTTGTAAGGGGAGACTGTAGACTCTTCTCCGTGTTGTGCCATTATGTCGTGTCCGCTGCTTAGGTGATCTCTTGGGGCCTCCGGGGTACGAAGGCAGTGACGTTCGCTGGGTCCCAGTTGTGCAGTGCGGTGGCTGGCTGGTGCATGGCCTTGGAGAGGGAGTCGGGAGGGAGACCCAAGTCCCCTAGGATCCCAGCCGCTTCTTCCAACTTGTGCACCGGGTAGGAGTTACCTCTGTGGGTGATCATCAGGGTCTGGGCCGCCCTCCACCGGTAGGTCATGGTGTGTGAGCGGAGCAGCGTTGTGAGAGGCTGCAGGGTTCTCCGCCATTTCAGTGTGTCCCCAGATAGATCCGCGAAGAAAGTCAGGGACGAATTTTCAAACATGTAAGGTGAGTGTCCCCGTAACGCATTCATCACAGCTGCTTTGTCCTGACTTGTCTGAAAGCTTACGATCGGGTCCCTGGGAGCCTCGGTTGGGGCTTTAATGGGTTTAGGTATTCTGAACAATTTTTCCATTGTTATCAGTTTTGCCTGTTTCAGGGGCATGATTGAGCCCAGAAGGAGTCTCATAAAATGCAGTAATTCCGTGTCCGGCACCATCTCTGCCACCCCTCTTATCTTTAGATTCTTAGACCGCCTTGCGTCTTCCATGGATGTAACTTTTCTTTCCAGGGCGGCATGGTGTTTCCATAGGGACCGTATCTCTGATTGAAGGTTACTTGCTGTTTGTTGTTGTGGGAGTCCATTTCCAGAGCTCCCATATGACCTGTCAGGCGTTGGAGGTCGGCACGGAGTGCGGCCACGTCCGCGTGTATATCCCGTCGGAGGCCCGACAGCAGCTCTTGCATGTCTGCCTTGGTTACCGGAGACGTGTCCTTTTGGGTGGAGGGTGGTGCCGGGTTTACTTTTGGTCTTTGAGGTTCCAGCATGAGAAGGTCTCACGACCCCAGGGTGTGGTCGTCTGGGAAGTCAGGGTAAGACGCCATCTGGGCTTGTGAGGCTCCATGTGCCTGCCGCCATAAGTCTCCAATGTTCATGCCCAGGTTTGGTTTTTCAGCTTTCTGCTTTTTTGTTTTTCGCCCCATCCTTATGTGGATGGCTGGGGGTCCCTTTGGGTTGGTTTTCGTTAAGTTTTGCCGTGTTTTGTGCTTCATTTAGGCCATTTTTTCGGGAGCTCAGATGCAATGCGACTGTTCAGGTCAGCTGCTAGGCTCTTGCATTGTTTTAAGTTACACAGTACAAATTTAACAAAAACGTTTCCAATTATACCATTAGCAAAGTGCGTCTATGCTCCTATAGTGAACGTATCAGAGATCACAGGAGGGCAATTACTGGTTTGCCAGACTGTCCCTGTTCTCTCCCACCAGCAGATTAAATTTTTTATCCTGATTTCAGAATTAATTAATTGCGGAGTTAAAACCATATTTCCACCTACTAAAATATTTTTTCAATAATTTCAAAGATCAGTCAATTAGGGCTTCATTATTTATTTTTATACATCCAAATATTAGATAGTCAATACATTGTTAAATACAAATCTGAACACTCCAGTCAAACCATAAGGCTTGCTTTTCCCAGAAATTATTATTATTGGCATTCATATAGTACCAATTTATTCCACAGATCTTTACAGTATTAGAAAGGGGAAATAAATTCTACAATAACTGAGACAATTACAAAGTGTAACAGGAACAATAGGTTAATACGGACCCTGCTTGAATGAGCATATGTATTTTTAAACTAATTTTTCAGTGCACTGTGAAGAACAAACTTTGTTGAATTTTGAAATTTGAAAATATACTGGAAAATAATGTGTTAAACATGACTTTAAAACCCACAATTACATGATTACACAGAAAACCAAAACTCTATACTTGTAGGCATGCAACAGTGTGCTGGGTGCTTGACTTTCTTTGCGCATGGTATTTGTGTACGTGTCTTTACTTTTCAGTTGTCGGTGTTAAACTCACTCACAAAAAACTCATAGTCTGTATCCCCTTGAACAAACAGAACCTCGAAAATGAAATGAACATTGCAAGACCTAAATATTTATCATAATTCCATTTATTTTTGTGTTTCGACGTTGCCACTGAAATATCATACAGAGCAACTCTGACACAAAGCAGCTGGTGCAAGACCTTGTGGTGCAAAAAAAAAAAAAAAGCAAGCTTTTGTTAATAAAAGAAAGATTACAATTTTTGTTAAAGGTCAGAAATGATAGAGGATATTGCGATTTTTGCCTTTAGTGAGTGTCTAAAGAAGTTATGTAAGATTTCTTTTTTCATCTGCATAAAAAAAAAAATACAAAATAAAGAAGGCACAGTATGCAAAACAAAACTACAAGAATCTTGGATGGGAAGGAACCTGTGCTAGTTTTAAAGGGACACTTTAATCATAAGAACCACTATAGGTTAATGTAATGATTCTGGTGTCTATAGCGTGTCTCTGCAGGCTTCTCCATGTACATGCTGCCTTTTCGGCTACAAGAGATGCTTTTTAGTTCAGTGGTGAAAAGTGTGCAGTACCTACGTTCAGCGTCTCCATGTTGAACGTTCCCCATAGAGATGCATTGATTCAGTGTATCTCTATGAAGACATGCTGCGCATGTGCAATAGTCTCCCAATGTGAAAGTATTGGCTGTGATCCTCAAGATTGAGGATCTCTGCAATGTAGGCGGAGCAAACACAGTGTTTTAGAAAAGGTACATTTAATACCTTTCTATTCCACAAAGAGGGGGTCCGGACAACTAAATATGTATTCCAGCACTATAATGTTAGGAATACATGGCTGTATTCCGGATATTATATTGTTCCTTATAAGTATAAACCTGCTAATCTCGAAATGAATTGGCAATTATCGCTGAAAACGTCTGACATTTCACACTTATTACAAAAAAGATTGGCAATAGGCCTTATTTACCTAGCATTTGAGAAATTCTGACCTATTTTATAGAAACTGAAGTGCAAATAATTGCATAAAAATCCCTTTGCTTACCAATGGCTTTTTAACATGGATCTGGGGATTTCAAAAAGGCATCAGAATTCATGAATAATCATAGAGCCACTTTAATTCATACATCTTTATTGATAATCCTTTCCCTATTAACTTACCAACTACATGGGAAATAAAAGAATATGATTATATTTATTAAAGTGGCAGAAAACATTGCAATAGATTTACCATTAAGCAAAACATATATATATATATATATATATATATATATATATATATATATATATATACACACACACACACACACACACACACACAGATTATACAGGGAGTGCAGAATTATTAGGCAAGTTGTATTTTTGAGGATTAATTTTATTATTGAAAAACAACCATGTTCTCAATGAACCCAAAAAACTCATTAATATCAAAGCTGAATATTTTTGGAAGTAGTTTTTAGTTTGTTTTTAGTTATAGCTATGTTAGGGGGATATCTGTGTGTGCAGGTGACTATTACTGTGCATAATTATTAGGCAACTTAACAAAAAACAAATATATACCCATTTCAATTATTTATTATTACCAGTGAAACCAATATAACATCTCAACATTCACAAATATACATTTCTGGCATTCAAAAACAAAACAAAAACAAATCAGTGACCAATATAGCCACCTTTCTTTGCAAGGACACTCAAAAGCCTGCCATCCATGGATTCTGTCAGTGTTTTGATCTGTTCACCATCAACATTGCGTGCAGCAGCAACCACAGCCTCCCAGACACTGTTCAGAGAGGTGTACTGTTTTCCCTCCTTGTAAATCTCACATTTGATGATGGACCACAGGTTCTCAATGGGGTTCAGATCAGGTGAACAAGGAGGCCATGTCATTAGATTTTCTTCTTTTATACCCTTTCTTGCCAGCCACGCTGTGGAGTACTTGGACGCGTGTGATGGAGCATTGTCCTGCATGAAAATCATGTTTTTCTTGAAGGATGCAGACTTCTTCCTGTACCACTGCTTGAAGAAGGTGTCTTCCAGGAACTGGCAGTAGGACTGGGAGTTGAGCTTGACTCCATCCTCAACCCGAAAAGGCCCCACAAGCTCATCTTTGATGATACCAGCCCAAACCAGTACTCCACCTCCACCTTGCTGGCGTCTGAGTCAGACTGGAGCTCTCTGCCCTTTACCAATCCAGCCACGGGCCCATCCATCTGGCCCATCAAGACTCACTCTCATTTCATCAGTCCATAAAACCTTAGAAAAATCAGTCTTGAGATATTTCTTGGCCCAGTCTTGACGTTTCAGCTTGTGTGTCTTGTTCAGTGGTGGTCGTCTTTCAGCCTTTCTTACCTTGGCCATGTCTCTGAGTATTGCACACCTTGTGCTTTTGGGCACTCCAGTGATGTTGCAGCTCTGAAATATGGCCAAACTGGTGGCAAGTGGCATCGTGGCAGCTGCACGCTTGACTTTTCTCAGTTCATGGGCAGTTATTTTGCGCCTTGGTTTTTCCACACGCTTCTTGCGACCCTGTTGACTATTTTGAATGAAACGCTTGATTGTTCGATGATCACGCTTCAGAAGCTTTGCAATTTTAAGAGTGCTGCATCCCTCTGCAAGATATCTCACTATTTTTGACTTTTCTGAGCCTGTCAAGTCCTTCTTTTGACCCATTTTGCCAAAGGAAAGGAAGTTGCCTAATAATTATGCACACCTGATATAGGGTGTTGATGTCATTAGACCACACCCTTCTCATTACAGAGATGCACATCACCTAATATGCTTAATTGGTAGTAGGCTTTCGAGCCTATACAGCTTGGAGTAAGACAACATGCATAAAGAGGATGATGTGGTCAAAATACTAATTTGCCTAATAATTCTGCACTCCCTGTATATTTCACTTTATTTGCATTGCACTAATCACGGTGAAATAAATACTTATTAAATATTTGTTTATGCAGTGTTTTAGGAAACAATTTGTTAGTGTTACAGCAAACAGTGTCAATTATTGAAAATTCCCCAACCACATTAAGTATGTGTTGTGAATTAAATGCATCTCGCCCATGCTTACGTGTATACATACATCTCTTCTGCATATTGCAGTGCAGTCACCACAGTGTATTAGGTTTTACATTTGTATTTTTTTTTTAAAATTTTTAAAGGATCATAATTTAAAAGATCTCGTAAAAATATTTAAAAGCCGACAATGAGTGACATTTGCTCAGCTGCAATAGAAAAAGATCACATGTTAAAATGTCAGCTCAAGTTGTGATTTACAAACACAGAATACATTTCGCAAAGCCACCTGTTTCTAGACAATACCATATAGTAAGCATACAATTAATACTTCCATATGTGCAAGAGGGAAGAATGGAGGATTCACAAGATCTCACATTTCAGCAAATAGCACAAATTGTTTTCCTGAACGGCCTCTGACCTTACCACATTATGCTTTATGTTATATGTTCTTATGAGTCCCGTGACAAATTTGACCCTTTTTCATACCTCTCAAATCCCCTTGAGATTTATGACTAGTGTCTGTCACAGGAGAGTACTTTAACATCATGGTGGTACGGGATCTCTAAGAAGAGAGTTAAACAGGAGGATATGTCAGAACGGAGCAAATACGTCCCTCACAAGAGTGTAAACAGGCCAAACAGTATTATAGACATGGTGCAAGTAAATGTGTAGGTTAATAATTAATTTGTGTAATTTAATTATTAAAGTTTAATGTTTTTCCAGATAAATAATTTATTGAAGAATCTATCAGATTAAGACAGATCAAGGCAAAGCACACATTGTTTTGAGCACAATCTTTGTGCAACAATAAACATTTTTAACACTTACATTTCTGTCTACCTACCTTGTGAACTACTGCTATTCTGTCTCTCTTCTGATTAAATTCAGTCCTGACACTTTTTTTTTCTCTGCTTTCTCTCCTCAACCGGAGCTCTTGGCGCCTCAAGGTGGGCTGATAGCTTTGCCCAGAATTAGTCGAAAGTCTCATCCAGGCACTGCAGTTTTAGCTCATAGTGCGTTCATGTCAGGTTGCTGTTCACGTGGCTGCAGCACGTCCGTCATCTTGGGGTATTCTGCCCCGTCCAGTATCTGTGTCAAAGTAGGTGCTGAAAGGCGACTGCGATTAGTGGTGGTCACCAGTAAAGCGCCGGTCGGAGAACTGGGAGAGTGGCTGTCTAACCCCAGCTCAAGCTCAGGTAGGCCTCAAGTTTCGAACAGAATGTATCCCCGGGTGCACCGTCATCTGCTCAGCAAAGTGGGTATCAATCCGTGTCAGTTTCTGATCAGCAGGCAAGCTCTCCCTCACCCCCTACTCCCCCCAGTCCTGACACTTAAATTTTTTTCCCTTTGCACCCTCTACACTTAAAATGTCTTTTTTTTTAATCTCTTCCGCCTTCATTCAATAATGCTTGTTCTTTACACCTTCCTTGTTTTACCTGTCTTCCGCATTCAATATCTTGAACCCAATCCTCTCCAGTTTATTCTAGAGTCCAGAGAACTAGTGACTTCCTTGTTTATGTATATACAGGTATGTAGGATGGGGAGCATACAAAGATATAGAATTAAATATACCCCATGATCCTTTGCTATATCGAAGGGGCTACACCAATCATGGGCCACGAACCAATCATGTGCATTAACATTTCATGTTAGATGGTGACTACAAAATGGTTACCACAACACCGTAAAAGTTGCCAGCCTTTATTCCCTATTAAATTCCCTCTGATGACAAAGGATGAAAGTTAATGCACATTTTGTTGCCTTTAACCCCTTAAGAACCAAACTTCTGGAATAAAAGGGAATCATGACATGTTGTAGAATATTGCATATTCTATGTTTCTATTGATTATATTGAGTCCAGCAATTACCATCTGCTGTTGAACATCTATTATCCTGTAACATCCTTTGTTGTTTTATTATGTATCAGTAACTAAGAATAAACCTGAAGAAACCGTAAGTCAGATTGCGTATTAGTACTTTTCATTAATATAGACATATATTAATGTGGCGAGCAAATTTGGCCCAAGACTATATATACAAAAGACGTATATATATCAATCAACTGAAGAGAAGAAGAAATTAAGTAGATTTAACGTTGACGATCAATTCTAGTTACATTTTACATTGGCTAGCCAGCCAGTCTTCTATTCAAGTTTTGTTCCCACTTCAAGGGAGGAGAGAGAAGAATCGAGTTACAAAGCTGTTTTGGAACTGGGAAAACAAACTTGAAGAGAAAAAAAGAATCTAGACTGTCACAAAAGAACTGTGTTTGTAAGAAAAAGAGATTTCAAATCACAAAGACTGTACAAGACTATTTTCTACAACTGAGACAAAAAGCACAAGATACAACGTGAATTGTAGAAGCAAGCACGTGGCAGAGATTGGCAATCATCCAGATCCAAGCCCAGAACTGCGCAGCTGTGTGGACGAAGCAACGAAATAAACAGAAATAACTGATCTGGTGACTAACATGGAATTCATAAATGATATTGCAGAGAAAACTAAATTGCAGTGTGCATTTAATAGCAGCTATTCAGATGCTGTATTGTGGCAATCTTTATACACACAATGTGAAATTGCCAATAGTGAAATTGACAAGAAATTGTTTGTTAATAAGAAAAAACAAAAGATCAGAAATGTTATGAAACTAGTCTGTACTTACAATGCATTGATTTGTGAACGAAATGCAGGTCAAGACAATTTAGAATTAGCAGATAAAGAAGTAGATTTGAATGGGTTAACAGAAGACAAATCAGATTTAAATGAACAGTGTAACAACGTAACAGAGAGTACATGCTGTAACTGTGAAAGATTGTCAGAAACAGTCTGTGAACTAGAGGATAGAGTTGAATTAAGAAATGATCTTATTTGCCAGCTTACTAATGAAGTAAAGAAAGAAAAATACAGGCACAGAATCTAATCCGAGAACCAATAGATACTGAAAATGTATCCTCACAAAGTGATTTGCAAAAATGTAAATTTCAAGACAGAGCTGCAAAACGTAATTTGAAAATCCAGGAACAATTACTGAAAATTGTGAAATGTATTCCAGTTTATGACACGTCAGTGGATGCATTTATTAATGCTGGAATGTTTGAGTCAAATTTGGAAAAATACAGCCTTAATGACGAACAAAGGAGTAAACTATTTAAAACATGGCTGCCGACTCTAATGGCATGTAGGCTGACCACGCCTATAAAATGTGAGGACAATGATGAAATAATATATGGAAAATACCGAGACAGATTAACACAATTAATAAAATTAACAACAGGGAATGATTTTGCAGACATTGAAATGTTGGAAAAACTAAAACCACACAATGATGAGGATATTTTTAGTTTTCTTGTAAAATTTGAAAGTGCATATAGACTTGTTGCTAATTTTCCTGAGGATCAGTTAATTAATGAATTTGTGAAAAAATCTCAAGCTCTAGATCCAACTGCAATTGTGATATCTAGAGAAAAAATTACTTTGACAGAAGTTGTTTTGTTCTTGGATAACTTAAGGAGGGTAACCAATAATGAAGGGGTTAAAAAGACTAGTGAAATGAGGCAGAGAAAGAAACTCAGACCTGACACCCCTCATTCCCCTCCCCCTTCTTCGTGGACTCAGTGTGAAAGAGTGATACAGACAACTGAGCCCCTCCCATTTTTTTCTACTAAAAACTGTAGAGTTAACAATCAAAGGCAGAATATAACTCCTAAAGTTATTTGTTTTTGGTGCAATAAACAACATTATTTAAGATCTTGCAGATATTTTATCCTCGATATCAAATCAAAAGCAAATGAGAAATTAAATTTGTTGATTGAAAATTTTGACAGAGAAAATACATGTGGAGATAAATCAATAAAAGCCTTTCCTTGTAAACTGATAATCAGACAAATAAGAGCAATTTTAGCTAAATCGAAATTAGGAGACAGACAAGCAATGCAGTGTAACACAGAAAGTTATAAGGATCAGATAACTTCAAGAGATTTGATCAGTTTAGGGAATGAGCATGGATATGTGTGCCAACAGATGTACACAGGCTGATTCCAGAAATAAGAACAGCACACAAGAAAAGAGATCTATGTTAGTTTGTTGTTTTCAATGAATTGTTAGTCTGAACTGTTTTTTCATTGTTTTTATGTGTGTTATAATAAAGTATTAGGTTAATTAATTAAAATAAAAATTTACATCAAGTTTGCAAATATGGCAGAATGAAATACACTAATGTAGCAGTTAGGAACATGCAATGTATGTTATATTGGGTGTATACGAATATAGAGTAACCCCAATCATTTTACAGAAGGAAAAAACAATAGATTTATTCTTTGTTGCTTCTGAGGTTGATTTAAAATCTTTGATTTAATTCATGAGAATGAGATTTTAATGTCATGACTGATAATGGATTACTATATTTTGCAAAGCCTGGACATACATATGTTTTGATTATATAGAAAACAAAAGTTTTGATAGGATAAAACCTAGATTTGCAGATATATTTGATGTAGGAAACAATATATGTTTTTGTAGTTTGTTTCATGTGACAAAATGGTGCCAGTGTTAAGACAAGATGGCTACTATTGCTAAAGTATAGTGGAGAACAATATTTTGTTGTAACTTCTGATATGTGATTAGGTTATACCTCCAGATTATTAAACAGTTTAAAAGGGGGGTATGATTAATACAAATTTTGATAACTTAAAATGTTCAGAAAGATTTTAATATAAAGGAAATTTTAAGATTATACATCACATGGCATAAATTTAATGACCACAAGATGGTAGATCTTATGAGAAGAAATGAGAATGTTTTGTGTAGTCAATATAATTCAATGTTATACTGTATAATAATAATGAGATATAAACATTGTAAACCATTGTATTGATGCTGCACATGTTTTTTGTTTTAATGTAGGTAAAGCGTGACAGATCCTCGTGGCAGTAAGTTAGGAAAGAATTCCTTTAGACAACTGGACATCGACTGTTGGAAAGATACTTTTCATCTGATCTGCAAAGTTTGATGGAAGATTCTACAGAGTTCATTCGATACAGAAGAGTAACAGACTTACAAAGAAATAAAAGACTGGCACTAACATGAATATCAATTCTTAAATATTAACGGAAAAGAAAACAGACAATGAAAAGTTATTTAACAGTTATGAGTGTATTAATACCAAAAGAGAGTACTTATAAATGTGTAACACATGTAATAAAATTATGAAAGGATAGTATTATGAAAAGAACTATTACATTATTACCTATACATAGAATGAGAAGTATCAGAAGTAGGTAAAATATGAAGTTGATAAAATAAGGATCATGTATACTTAATTCTACAAAGATTGAGTTCAATAGTATTTCATAGATTCACTAGAATAAGTAATTTGTTTATATCGAGGTGAAGTATAACAAACAATGGTAACATAAGGAAGAAAACTAAGGAAGGATAATTTATATTGATTAATATTAAGTAATTATATACATTAAAAATGCCTTGGATATAAGAGTTCAGAGATCCAAGAGGAATTGAATTGAGTTTAGTTAACAGTATAGTACACGATTATATTTGACCTAAGTCTATAAAATGTATGGACTAGGAAGAATAGGTTTCTGGATATGACGGTATCCAATGAATTGAATATGTTGTTATAAGTTGTTTTATGATTTCCCTGAGTTTGTTAGACACAGACTAGGAATACATGTTTCTGGGCAGTATGGCCCCAAGTTTTGTTTATTTTATTTAATTTTAGTCAGTTGAAGTGTACTAAGGAATACGGATTGGTCAGAACATTAGGACAATCCTGCTTTTAAGATGTATTACATTAATAAGTCATCACAATTAAGGTCTAATGAGGAGAGTGATGATAATTAATTTATATTATTCTTTCCAAGTTATTTTAAAGTAAACTATGTTTCTCTTGAATGAAAAGTTTGTTACTACAAGGTGGAATTTTAGTGAAAATTATAATTATGTAAACAAAAACAAATCTATGATAGAAAGATTTCTGGGTGGAGATTATCTAGAACAATAAGTATTGTCAACAACATGAACATTATTTGAAGAATTATTATAAAACTTCATGGTTGATAACACATTTGAAGGTTTGCAAATTATTATGAGTCTTATAAGTAGTGTTGATATATTTCAGGTAGTGAGAGCCTACTGAATATACAAATTAAATACTATGATTGTAAAGTACTGATACAATCAGCACTAGGTGGTATTAATGGTATAGGGATGTAATTCATGAATACAAATGACCTAAAGATTTTAAGTTACTAGAAAACATGATTCATGGAAGTATAAGTGGTCGTATATTATAGTAATATATGTATTAGTACTTTAGTAATATCAGGTATTGAGAATGAAAATACTGTTATGTGTCTTTAGTAAGAATATGATAGTGATACGCAGTTATTATCTAGAAAGTTACGATCTTGATTTTGTTATTTACAAAGACATGACAGTACCAGAGCAGATAGATCTTTCTGATTGCTTTACATTGTTTATTGGATCAACATTTGTAATTTATTTTATTCATTTATTATTGTTATATATATGTACATATTATGTTCAAGTAGTTATGATGTAACATGGATATGGATATCAATACATAGCTGAAACAGAGGGAGTTTTGAAGTAAAGTAAGCGGTATGAGGGATAGAAACTCGACTTTCTAAGAACTCTCATATAATAGAAAGTTGTGACTACATCTTGTTCTGTGCTCAATGAACGTGATACGAGTGATGTATGAATGGACAGGTTAGTGACATTGTGTTATGGTTTTAAAACAAACCATAAACAGAGGGAATGTAGAATATTGCATATTCTATGTTTCTATTGATTATATATGGATGTGTGGATTGACATAAGTAACAGATGGTATAAGTCACAAGGCTTTATAAGTCACAAGGCTCTGGAATGTGGATTTGGGGGTCTTGTCCTTATAGTCTGACGTCATTATGGGCACTTCTATATAGTAACTGAACACGAGATCTCTCGCTCTCTTGGCTCTTGGCTCTCTCTGGTTCTCTCTCAATGTAAAGATGTAAGGATGTAACTCTCCCGTCAGGAGTCCAGCAATTAGCATCTGTTGTTGAACATCTATTTGTCACATTATACCATGTTCTATGGAGATGTCTGGCATCCAGTACTCTTTTTACAATTCTTGTTTAGTTTTTCTTGTTTTTTTGGTTTTCTATTCTATGTCTGGGGGTTTTTCTGGGTTCATTCCTGTAATCCGTAACTGGAATTCCCAGTGTCCAGGTTTCCTTTAAATGTTTGTTTTATGTTGCCACACCCGTTTGTTTTCCATTTTCCTTTTTGTTTCATTCTGGACCTGCAGCAGTGTTTCAAGTCTCTGCCCTTTCTTGCAGGTAAGTGCTATTGTGGTTTAGTATGGTTCTTTTAGCGAACATTAGGCAGTGTAGGTCCTGCCGAATATGGAATACATTGGCGTTGTGGCAGGCTTATGCAATGTATGATCATATAATGTAACTAAATCCCCATATTTTTCATATACAGTGCTTAGTTATGTCTCCTCTTGTTTTGACTATTATATATTGTCTTGTTTATTTTGTAATCCCAGTCCATGTACAGTCCTGTCCTGCCCCTGTTTAGTTAATGTTCCCTTATGTATTGTGTACATGTTCTGGGTTTAGCTTCCTATCCTTCTCTGGTTCTGGGTTCTACTAGTTATGTCTTGTTTTCATGTTTGGTGCCTGTTCTAGCCTTGCCTTGTTTCTGTACTGGATACATGTCGGCTGCAGAGCCCCCCTATCCAGTTCCTGGGAGGTCTGCATATCAAGCTCCTAGTTCCTGGGATCCGCTGTAGCTGCACCAGGGTTCTGGTATGTGGCCGCGCAAACGCTGGTGCTCAACGCCAGAGGACGTGTGGTTACCCTGCACCAGGCCCTGATAGTCCATTACCACGCTGAAGACTCCCACTTCTCATCAGGCACTCAGGTTTCCGTACCGCCACCCCTGACACTATTATCCTGTAACATCCTTTGTTGTTTTATTATGTATCAGTAACTAAGAATAAACCTGAAGAAACCATAAGTCAGATTGCGTATTAGTACTTTTCATTAATATAGACATATATTAATGTTGCGAGCAAATTTGGCCCAAGACTATATATACAAAATACGTATGTATATCAATCAACTGAAAAGAAGACGAAATTAAGTAGATTTAACGTTGACGATCGATTCCAACCAGATTTTACACATGTCACACATGTCATGTGTCCTTAAGGGGTTAAGTCATGCTGCAAATTAATTTATTTCTGAAAGAAAGTGTAAAAAAGGTAAAACCACTGGCTTCTGATGGTATTCCAAGTAAAGTACTTGATGGTAAAATACAGATATAAGCAGAAGACACCTGGTCATTTGTTGTCTGTGGGCTGTATTTTTACTCCACACTTTATCTAGTTACAGACATGAGTATGTGCTAGCACTTTAAAACATGCATCAGGAACTACAATGTTTGGAGACCTAGATCTGACCTATAATAGCACCTGCCACCCACACAGAGTGCATTTAAAATAGAAAATGCTGAGATTCAGCATATGTTATGCAAAATACAGGTCTCTGTAGACGATAATTGCTCAGCAGAAAATATTAAGTTACAAATTTGACAATTCAATAAGACCACACAGCAATAGGATTCCAAACTTCTTACAGAGTGAGGGGGGGAAAGTATTTGATCCCCTGCTGATTTTGAATGTTTGACCACTGACAAAGAAATGATCAGTCTATAATTTTAATTGTAGTTATATTTTAACACAGAGACAGAATAACAACAAAAAAAAGAAATCCAGAAAAACGCATGTCAAAAAAGTTATAAATTGATTTGCATGTCAAGGAGTGAAATAAGTATTTGACTCCTTCGACTTGGTACTTGGTGGAAAAACCCTTGTTGGTAATCACAAAGGTCAGACGTTTCTTGTAGTTGGCCACCAGGTTTGCTCACAACTCAGGAGGAATTTTGTCCCACTCCTCTTTGCAGATCCTCTCCAAGTCATTAAAGTTTTGAGGCTGACGTTTGGCAACTCGAACCTTCAGCTCCCTCCTCAGATTTTATATGGGACTAAGATCTGGAGACTGGCTAGGCCACTCCATGACCTTAATGTGCTTCTTCTTGAGCCACTCCTTTGTTGCCTTGGCTGTGTGTGGGTCATTGTCATGGTGGAATATCCATCCACAACCTATTTTCAGTGCCCTGGCTAAGGGAAGGAGGTTCTCACTCAAGATATGATGGTACATGGCCCGTCCATTGTCCCTTTGATGCGGTGCAGTTTTCCTGTCCCCTTAGCAGAAAAACACCCCCAAAGTACAATGTTTCTACCTCCATGTTTGACGGTGGGGATGGTGTTCCTGGGGTCATAGGCGACATTCCTCCTTCTCCAAACACGGCGAGTTGAGTTGATGCCAAAGAGCTCGATTTTGGTCTCATCTAAGCACAACACTTTCACCCAGTTCTCCTCTGAATTATTTAGATGTTCATTGGCAAACTTCTGACGGGCCTGTACATATGCTTTCTTGAGCTTGGGGACATTGCGGGAACTGCAGGAATTCAGTCCTTCACGGCGTAGTGGGTTACCAATTGTTTACTTGGAGACTATGGTCCCAGCTGCCTTGACATCATTAACAAGTTCCTCCCGTGTAGTTCTGGGCTGATTCCTCACCGTTCTTATGATCATTGAAACTCCACGGGGTGAGATATTGCATGGAGCACCAGACCGAGGGAGACTGACAGTTATTTTGTGTGTCTTCCATTTGCAAATAATCACACCAACTGTTGTTACCTTCTCACCAAGCTGCTTGGCGATGGTCTTGTAGCCCATTCCAGCCTTGTGTAGATCTACAATCTGGTACCTGACATCCTTGGACAGCTCTTTGGTCTTGGCCATGGTGGAGAGTTTGGAATCTGATTGCTTCTGTGGACAGGTATCTTTTATACAGGTAATGAGCTGAGATTAGTAGCACTCCCTGTAAGAGAGTGCTCCTAATCTTAGCTCGTTACCTGTATAAAAGACACCTGGGAGCCAGAAATCTTCCTGATTGATAGGGGATCAAATACTTATTTCACTCATGACATGCAATTCAATTTATAACTTTTGTGACATGCGTTTTTCTGGATTGTTTTTTTTTTTGTTATGGACAACTCTAACACACAAGGTTTTTTTAGGAGTACTTTTCATGTGGGTTTACAGCTGGCATAAAGTAATTTACAGATAAAAATGATCTCTTTCTCTCTCTTCATCAATGTAAGAACAAGACTATAAATTGCACATATTAAGGGACAGCTTCCCTTCTAGCTTAACACCCAGTTAAGTCAACAATTTGTCTTTTTTTGTAATTAGTCACCCACATTTATCTGCAGTGTTTGGGTCCCAATAAACCTTTTAACAGTTTGAATTGTTTACATTACCACCATTTATCGATTCAAAACTTGAAACCGAAATCTATATTTTACATTGAAAATATTTGTTAGTGACACTTAGGGTCGAATAAATGGACTCTTAGAATTCAACCCCCCCCCCAAAAAAAAAAAGCAAGCAGCCAGCAAGGAAAATAGTGAAATAAAGCCTGTGGGCTTTACAGTGAACCCCACATTAGTATATGAACATTCCTTATGTCCCTTAGGGCTTCCCCACTTTATGCAATCTCAGTCAGAGCACTCTGACAGGAAATTATCACTAATCTCGAAACTTGGGCAGGAAATCTCTGGCTGCTCACTGTTTGGTAGACATGCCTCTAGCTGCATGCCCTCACATGACAAGTGTGGGCATAAGGGAGGTTTAAAACCTCCCTTATATTAATATGGAGGTCATATCAACCTGCGGAGGCTTTTATTAATTTCTTTTTTCTAATGACTAACAGGGCTGGCCGTTAAAAAAGACAATAAATGTGCTTCTGATGCATATAGAAGCATTTGTTTTCTAGCTGTCGTCCCGCTTATCAGGTTCAGTGGTTTGAATTCCAGCTGGCATTACATTCAGTCAATATGTATTGACTACTTTTTGCCAATAGAATTCAATTGAGACCTAAGTACATTCTAGAAATGATTTTTGCCTCCTCAGTATCAATGATGTTATACAGTATTATTACCCCCCACCCCCCAATGAGTTTAACCACAAATTAATCTAGGTTCAGGTGATGCGTTCGGGTCATGATCAGAAATTCACAAGGCGGATGTTATTTCATACAAAGGAACAGACATATTTTATTTCATACATTCTGCATGACTGAGATAAGCCAGTGCTCTTAAATACAAGACATCATTAAATTCAGTGTCTGCTTCAATCTGCGTAGGCTTAATTTACCATGAAAAGCTCTCTTTAGGTTCCTCAATGCATTGCGTTCACAAGTTGCCATGCAACGTTAAAACAACAATCTTTGTTGTTAGCGTGGTATAAAAAAGTGGGGGAAACCAAGCGTAACTACAGCTCCAAAAGGAAAAAGAAGCAGGCAGTGCTTTCCGTACAAAATATGATATGCCAAAAGGACTTAGCAGTCATCACTCCCCCAAATAATTATACACGTAGATATAAATACAACTATCATTCGTTTCTATTAGAGAAGAGACATTATTGCATGCATTACATTGTTTTTTATTTTGTTGAGCATAAATATAAACGTCAATATCTTTATTTAAAGCATCTCCTAGTTTACATTCTCTCCATGCAAGCTGTTTTCATCAAGTCATCTTTGGCTGTAGGCACGGCTTAACTGATCAAAGACTATTTAGGTAAACAATAGCTAGTGTGCACTCGATGGGCATCACAAACGCGCTCTCTGTGAGACAGTTTCAGCAAATCAAATTTGTGACAGACCCCTCTGTCTTGGAACTATGCTTCTATTCGGTTGCCTTCGTCTATCTTTCGGTTAATTGCCTGTCCGTACACCCGGTTAACTTATTTCACAAACTACTGAATAAACTACCGAACGATCGACCACCTGGGAAATGGAGTGTGCCATCAATCGACCTCCCAGAAGCTGCGGTTAACCGCAGCTTAATTGGTGAACGTTGGGAGGTCGCTGTTTGTGTAACTCCCACATTGCGGCAGCCATTTTAAAGTCCCGAACGGCCAGCGGTGTTCGGCGCCCAAACTATGGAACTGAAAATGGACACTATTTTGCACGAACACCACTGAAGCCGCCGACCTCCCTTCTCTGCCATCCAGCACACGAATGTCGGTACTTTCCGGCATGAATAGACGCACCCCAGATAGCCATCCCATGGAACCTGTTTGTATACCGAAAGACAATGTGAAAGACTTTGGCTCCATGGCATTTGAACTGTATGCATCTGAGCGGCATTCAGTAATAATGTGCACTCAGATCCCAGCTATCTGGGGATACGTTGAATGTAGGGATTCTGTTTGTGGAATTTAAAGTTATTGATTTTATTGTATTTTTATGTTCAGGTACAAAATGGAGTTTAGCCTCTATCCATGGAGATAGTTGGATTACTTCTCAATTATCTCCAGGATAGAGAGGAGGGTTTATCTACACCAAAGGGGAGAGTTTATGCTTGTGCCACTGTGACTGGCTACTGTATCCATATTGTCCCCCCAGTCTTCCATCTGGTCCCCTAGGGGAGTGTCCACCAGGTGGGAAACCTGCATAAACACCGGGCAGGTAGCCTTCAATAAACCAGATCTCTGCTTAACCCTCAATACGGAGCTTGGTCTCGTACTTTGGGGTATTGGATTCGTATGATTTACTTGTTCGGCTTTTTGATTGGTGAAGGATTTCGTATGGTTCCTGTTTCGACTAATTGGAATTGCTGTTAGCTGCTTCTTTCTTCGGAAAGGGAACGTCCTTAGCGGTATTAACCCCTCACGGTGTGTACCGTAACAAAATCAATTCACACAATGTTTTGGACTGAATAAGCTTGTGATTACAGAGGACATAAAAATGTCATCTCCAGCAGAGCATGGTCCAGCCAGGAGATGTACTGACATGCACTTTATATCTCTAAAGTAAAGCTCCTTCCAATCAACTGAATTTGGCTGAATCTGAGCAGACAATATATCCCTATACACTTCAGAATTCATCTGGCTGCTTCTGTCACATCATCAATAAATACTAGTGACCCAGTGCCAATGGAAGCCATGCATGCCCAGGCCATCCCACTGCCTCCACCATGTTTTATAGGTGATGTGGTATGCTTCGGATCATGAGTCATTCCAAGCCTTCTCCATATTTATTTCTTCCCATAACGCTGTTCCACAACAAATTTCTATTCTTGAGGCTTATGAATGGTTTGCACCTTGTTGTGAACCATCTGTATTTGCTTTCATTAAAGGACCACTATAGTGCCAGGAAAACATACTTGTTTTCCTGGCACTATAGTGCCCTGAGGGTGCCCCCACCCTCAGGGTCCCCCTCCCGCCGGGCTCTAGGGAGTGGAAGGGGTTAAACTTACCTTTTTCTCCAGCGCCGGGGTGGGAGCTCTCCTCCTCCTCTCTGCCTCGGCTGAATGCGCATGCGCGGCAAGAGCCGCGCGCGCATTCAGCCATTCTCATAGGAAAGCATTCACAATGCTTTCCTATGGACGCTGGCGTCTTCTCACTGTGATTTTCACAGTGAGAAGCACGCAAGCGCCTCTAGCGGCTGTCAGGGAGACAGCCACTAGAGGCTGGATTAACCCTAATATAAACATAGCAGTTTGTTTGAAACTGCTATGTTTACAGCAGAAATGGTTAATCCTAGCTGGACCTGGCACCCAGACCACTTCATTAAGCTGAAGTGGTCTGGGTGCCTATAGTGGTCCTTTAAGTCTTCTCTTTATGGCAGACCTGGATAATGATATGCATTCTTCACTTGGCAGGGTGTAGTAAAGGGGTTTTTCTTTACCATGGAAAGGATCCTAGGATCATCCACCACTGTACATGGACATCCAAGCCCTTTTGTGTTGCAGAGCTCACCAGCGTGTTCTTCCCTTCAGAATGCACCAAACTGTTGATTTGGCCACTCCTAATGTTCCTTCTATCTCTCTGATGGATTTCATTTTTCTTGCAGCCTAAGGATGGCCTGTTTCACCTGCATTGAGAGCTTCTTTGACAACATGTTGTGGGTTGACAGCAACAGATTCCAAATGCGAATGCCACGCCTGGAATCAACTCCAGGCCTTTAACTTCCCTAATTGATGAAGAAATAACACCGGAATAGCCCACACCTATCCATAAGCTTTTGAGTCAATTGTCCAATTACTTTTGGTTCCTTGAAAAAGACTGGCCTGCATATTAAAGAGCTGTAATTCCTAAATTCTTTCTTCAATTTGGATGTGAATACCCTCAAATTAAAGCTGAGAGACAGCCATTTAAGCCCATAATCATCATTTAACTGTAACTTGGACTTATTTTGGTAAACAGCCGATATAACAAAACTTGTGTCAGTGTCCAAATATTCCAAGACCTAACTGTACATACCCCACATTTTTCCTGTATAGCACCATACATGTTTTTTTCATTGATTTAGACCTCAATGTAATAGTTTTGGGTAAGCTTTTCAAATGACAATATTTATGGATACAGTTGTAAAATGATGTAATATTTTAAAAATGTTAATATTTAGTTTTTTTTTACATGTTGATATATTTTTATATATGTTTTTATATTTATATGTTAATATATTGAAAAAAATAATTGTAAAAGTTTATCCAATTATATTAAATCAGGTGAAAATCTTATTAAAAAAAACATTAAATCAAGGTCATAGTTAATTACAACGAGAACAGAGGCTCTCAAGTACTGACAGGCGTAGGCATACGTTATGCATGGACTGCCGTTATACATATAGCTTTACACAAAATATACACTTTTATAGAAGTGAGTGCTAACCTTGGCACTATAGATGTTTGTGAACCTTGCTTTTTTGCTCATTGAACTGGCCCTGAAAGTGTTTCTTGACAAACATGAAGACAGTTGTAAGAAAAGTATCCCCTTTATTTAAAAAAACAAAACACAGACATGCGTGCTTTCTACATGTTTACATTATATCAGGGATATATGTGTATTATTTTGCCATATTCTTTGTATGCTTAAAAAATGTTCAAAGAATGTTTTTTTCTTCCCTTGAGGCAGTCTCTCCGCTTTCAATGAATTTGTTTAGAACTAGTAATTAGCTCACGAAGCAGACGGGGAGTTGGGAAAGGAGTACTTTTGTGTAGAGGAGAAGCCTTAGCCAACCCTATATTTTTCTAATGATCTTGGGCAAAATAAAAGATCTGCTTGAGTCAGAATAATAATTAACCTGGGAAATCTATATGAAAAGAGGTTCAGTTGGGACAACAAATTAAAACTTTCCGTATTCAATTATGCAGTGATGAATAGCGTATAATTATGACGAGCGTGGCTTAATTAGAGAACAATTAAGGCGATGACATAGGCAAAAGCTGCAATATGGAGTAGTATGTGGAAAGCTGTTATGCATATATTGCGTTAAATGTTTAAATATGTTATGGTAATGGAAACAAATGGGAACAGCTCCCAATAACCAAGTACACATAGTGCCCATAGAATGAGCAAATATCAGTAACTAATTGATTTTTTAAATTTATTTATTTTGTAAGTAAAATTACCTGTATTCTAATGTTTAGAACGAAAACTATTTGGTGCTGTTATATAATAAATTCCTGGCTTCCTAGGATCAAAGCTGCAAAGGTTCAGTTATAGCTTTCTATAGGAGGTCAGGGCTGCAGTCTCAATGAAACCATTATCATCCAATCACTGAAAACATTCAAATTGCCAAGATCTTCCATTCTCACTTGTCATGGGGCTAGGAAGAAAGCAATCAGACAAAAATCAGGAGACCATGCCCCCATGATCAGGATTGGTGGAAAGATGATGGTTTCTCCATTCCACATGGTGACAATGTCTCCACTTACAGCTCTGTGAATTTGAGGCAAATTCTGGCATATAAATATGCAGAAAACTGTCCAAAATACACTAAACAGTGAGTCATAAAGACTGGTAAGAAGTATTTGAAAGCTATGGTATAAAAACAAACACAAAAATATTCATCACACATGTTCACATATTTTTTTTCACAACTTGGTGTTAGTTTTATAATGTGGATGCCAGGTCACCACAGCTCACATTTTTATTGAATAAAACTTTCTGTCTACATACAATATATCTAATTGCAAGCTATATTACAGCTGTGGCTTGTCTCAAGCATATTTTAAATGAAGTGTACAACATTGCAGCTCAAATACCCTATTTTGTATGCATAATCATTTTCCAGTATACTTTGTCAAACACACACTTTTTACTTGACTGTAAATACAACTCTCACACATGTCCATTGGGAACTTGGCTTTACCCTGTGATAGCCATAGTTCACAAGTGTGTATGGATATATAATTATGTAAAGAGATGAGATGCTGGGGTTTCAAAACAGCAGGCAACATGCCAGATGTCAATAAAGTATCTTAAGTGATGGATTGATAGTGAAAATTAATTTTGCTTTAGGGGTATCCATGAATGAAACATTACAAGTCTAGCTCAGGGAGGTTAATTTTATTATTGTGGGACTGTAGAAATGTAACTATTCTTGGAACCAACAAAGCCATATTGCTTTAAGAAAATTAACTCTGCAGTATGCTACATAAAAAATACAGTATGTACCAGAAATTCCGAGAGTAATTTGTATTTGTTTGATCCGTTATGGTATAATGTTAGCTTTAACTTTCTGATGGTTCTTCCTTCAATGGATTCATTGGAAGGGGGCATTAAAACAGTCTGATTGTTATTCACCAAAGTCAGGGGTGTCCAAACATTTTTCAAAGAGGGCCAGATTTGATGAAGTGAACATGCATGAGGGCCAACCATTTTGCCTGACATTCTTTGAACCATTAAAATTTAATGCAATTTAACTATTTTATACAAAGTTTATTGCAAACTGCATACTTTTCATTTCATCTCTTTATTCCGTCCCTTTATTCTGTCTCTTTACTCCGTCCCTTCTCTCTTTACTCCGTCCCGTCTCTATATATTCCGTCCCGTCTCTTTATTCGGTCCCTACTCTCTTTATTCGGTCCCTACGCTCTCTATTCGGTCCCTACGCTCTCTATTCGGTCCCTACGCTCTCTATTCCGTCCCTACGCTCTCTATTCCGTCCCTACGCTCTTTATTCCGTCCCTACTCTCTTTATTCCGTCCCTACTCTCTTTATTCCGTCCCATCTCTCTTTATTCCGTCCCATCTCTCTTTATTCCGTCCCTTCTCCCTTTATTCCGTCCCTTCTCTCTTTATTCTGTCCATTCTCTCTTTATTCTGTCCATTCTCTCTTACAGTCCCAGCAGGGAGAAGGAACCAAATCCTGCGATTTCGCGCACCAAATCCCGCGAATCCCGTGATGTCCAAGAGATCGCGAGAACGCAGACTGAGGTCACTGCACGTCCGTCTGCATTCTCGCGATCTCTTGGCCCCCAGTGAATCCCCAAGCGCTGCTCAGGACCACGGTGTTAAAAAATCCAGAGATCCCAGGGGTCCTGAGCGGCGCTCGGGGATTCACTGGGGGGCCACAACAGAAAGATTTCCAAATTAACTGTGGGGCCGTATTAAACCTGAATGTGGGCCGGACTTTAGACATGACTGACCAAAGTGAATTTCAAACTTTACATCACAACTGCCAAACAGTACGTTGCAAATGGCACATGGAAGCTAACACACAAATTTCAGAAGATCTGTACGTGTGGAGACAAGTATTCAGCTCACTTGGTGCCATTACTTATTTGTTGTTCTACTAAAGCTTTCAAAATACATAATCTTCCATGAAAAATATATCATGACCAAAACTATAAGTACCAGTATCTTAACAAGCTCTGCATAGGATAAGGTGCAAAGCAGTACTCCTATACATAGTGTTATATAATTGCATTCATTTATGGAGCTTTAACTACATGCCCCCACTCACAGTTCTTAAAGGACCACTATAGGTACCCAGACCACTTCAGCTCAATGAAGTGGTCTGGGTGCCAGTTCCATCTAGGGTTAACCCTGCAGCTGTAAACATAGCAGTTTCAAAGAAACTGCTATGTTTACATATGGGTTAATCCAGCCTCTAGTGGCTCTCATTGACAGCCACTAGAGGCGCTTCTCACGGTGAAAATCATAGTGAGAAGACGCTGATGTCCATAGGAAAGCATTGAGTAATGCTTTCCTATGGACTGTCTGAATGCGCCGCGCGGCTCTTGCCACGCATGTGCATTCAGCGCTGACGTCGGAAGAGGGAGGCAATTTCTCCAGCGCCGAGGGAGCACGGCGCTGGAGAAAGGTAAGTGATTAACCCCTTCCTCCCCCATCAGCCTGGCGGGAGTGGGAGGAACCTAAAGACCCTATAGTGCCAGGAAAACTAGTTTGTTTTCCTGGTACTATAGTGGTCCTTTAAAGAGAAAGGTTTGCTTCCCCCGCCTTATTGATGCTGATGAGCACAGCTCTCTCTTCTGGTAGTTAATCTAATTTAAGTCTGCCGAATTACAATGTAATTAAACCAGTCATAACCATTACTAGTTGGCTGAATTGGACTGTGTGCACCTATTGCAGCACTCATATTCTAGAAATTCTATGCTTGTATTAATGGCTGTTGGTGTCAGGGTATGGTGTTACATGTCAAACTAATCATTGTATTAAAGCAATATAACCTGTATGTTCTCCAGTAGACGAAAATGTGTTCTTGGGGAGAATTTTCAAGGTTTATTACCAGAACTACATCACTACAGTCAACTAGCCCATGGTATGAGTGAGGTCGCCAATCTCAGCAGTGAAAGCCTAAATTCAGTGTACAGCAGTCCCCAAATGCATCTAGTCTCTTTGTCCATCTGTCCTGGGAAATGCATCATAAAATTCAAAGAGAGCTTGCCCAAACAAGTACACACCAGCAAATGATCTCTTAAACCTGGACCCAGACATTCACACAATTAAGCAATAATGATCAGGATATTTGTTACAATTTTCTGCTATTCTGAAAACTTACTTTTAAGTCACAATCAAAATATTTTGGGCCTTCAAAAATGTTAGGTATCTTTAGTATATCAACATTTAAAAGCCCCCATTTATAACTCTACAAAATGTGCATGGCCCCAAGGGGTGGAATACTTAAACTTTATAACTAGTGATGTCCCGAACGGTTCGCCACGGACGGCGAACATATGCGCTGTTCGGTCCGCCCCCTATTCGTCATCATTGAGTAAACTTTGACCCTGTACCTCACAGTCAGCAGACACATTCCAGCCAATCAGCAGCAGACCCTCCCTCCCAGACCATCCCACCTCCTGGAAAGCATCCATTTTACATTCATTGTGAAGCTGCATTCTTAGTGAGCTGTCCAGGAGGTGGGAGGGTCTGGGAGGGAGGGTCTGCTGCTGATTGGCTGGAATGTGTCTGCTGACTGTGAGGTACAGGGTCAAAGTTTACTCAATGATGACATAGGGGGCGGACCGAACAGCGCATATTTTCGCCGTCCGTGGTGAACCATTTGGGACATCACTATTTATAACACCAGATAAAGATGATGCAGGGAACCAACTTGCTCTACAGCTTTCAGTATTGTCATGGCTCTAATCTGAGAAAATCACAGTAATGTTCTGGTGTGGTATTTTTCTAAAGAGGCGAGATATCTCAGTACTGCTAAATAACTTCCAAAATTATTACATAGGGAGAAATATATTATTTTTTAAATGTGCTTCTCCACCTTGAGATAATTTGTTAGCTTTACTTACAGGCTTGCCTATGTTTATATATGTTCTTATTCATTCTTGCAAATTGCTATAGCAACCGTATACATGTCAGTGAGGACTTTAATCATTTAGCTTTCCCTTGATATTAAGTGAATTCTAATAATGTCAGTTCCTTCTGTCTGGTGCCAGTACTGTCTGTCTACAAGAAACAACATTTGTTCACTTTGTTGTTTATGCAACATTTGAGCACATGCAGCCAATGATTATTAACCTTGGTTAGATCTCCTCTGAAACTCACGGAGCAAAGACGCCTTGCCTTGCATGTCAATATTTAATAAGGTTAACTGACTTCACTTGTAAGCGTTATGTGATTCTGGATGGCATCCTACTATGAGAGCTGCATTTTTATCTGATGGTATACCATTTATAAATTTTCTTTACAGCATTTACTGCACGCAGCATTACCTCCTCGTAGGAATCCGAGCATAAAAAAAAGTTCCTCAAAATGTAAGAATTACCTTTTAAACCTGTAAATTCAAAGGGCATGTTGTCATAGTTAAGGTCGCTGGTTACATGAAAAGCAAAAATCACAGACATATTTCAAGGTCAAACTTATTTCTCTGGGTCCAAGTGAATATAATGGAAGCAATTTCAGTTTTATGAAAAATTAAAAAGAGAATCAGGCTAGATATGAATGCCTACAGGGTAAACCAATTTGACCGTACATTCACATCAATATTATAGGAGAATGCCTGCTGAAATAGTTTACTTTGTGTCATATTCTCACCGTGGGAAACCAATGACACAGTTCTCTGTCATGAATTAAAGAGTGATGTTGCCTTGCCAAAGAAGATCACGGCGCCATTAATTCTGCTATCACCATGCCTCATTGCAACAAATCTTGTTTTCCAAGTAATACTTCTAGAATTGCAGTACGGCCTGCAAATCACAGAAATTGTGGAGGGGACTGAATGTATTATATAGAATACTGAAATGACAGATCTATTACCGTACATGCATTGCAGCAGTTACAATTACATCAATACAATGGAAACGCAGAATTTAAATGAAGAAGAGATTGTTCTAGGATATAACTGACACAATATTTCAACCATTTAAACACTTAAAATGGTTGCAGTTTTAGAAGCATGAGTAGAAAACGCAGAAAAATACTTGCATTCTTAGACTGTTCGACAAATCATTTAATACTGTTAGAAAAACATTCCAAAGGATATTTCTAAAGGAGTCGCTGTTACAGTCTGTGGGACATTTTGGTGAAAAAAACATCTGAAATGTTTTTCTAACAATATTGAATAATTTGGAGAGCTGATGAAATTGAGGACAAAGTCTGATACTAGTCAGTATGGTGACATTTCATAAGATAGCATCACTGGAGCAGTGGTAAAAGGCCTGTGTATAATTAAAGCAAGTCTCTAATTTATCCCGATATCTAGACTGTCTATGCCAGGGGTAAGCAACCTTTTAGCAGCACTGTGCCGATATAGGATGGTGATGTCCAGTAGCGTGCCGGTCCTATTTTTTTAAATTGAGGTGTGTATGCTGCCGTATTCTGCTTGTGTTATTTTTATTGCAGTTGCTTTGTATCGTTGTATTTGTGCGTGTATAAGCTATTATATTGTATATGTTCATTAGTAGTTTATGGTATTGTGTATGATACATATGAATGTGGGCTGTGTATGAGGGCTGCTTGTGGAATTGTGTGTGGATGGATATGTCACATTGTGTGTTTGGTAGTGTGTGGGGGCTGTTTGGGGTATTGCATGTGAGAGGCTGCATATGGGGTTGTGTGCATGTATGTGGGTTGTTAGCGGGTTACGTTTGTGCGGATTGTGTGTATGTTTGTGTGTGGGCTGTTCATATTATTTGTATGAGGGGAGGGTTATTCTGCATTTCTGTGTATATCTTGCAGTGTGTGTGGCTTCCCTGGGTTCCAGTGGGGACCAGGCTGGCCAGATACAGGTCAAGGACAGGAGCTGCAACAGCAGCTGCAGGCTGCTCTACTACAGTGTGGATTCCCATTCACAAGTGCTGGGATCACTTCCTCTATGTACTGCAATGCTTAAATTGAGGATTGTCCTTCACCACCTCTTCGTATTAGCAGATATCTGAAGTTTTACTGGGACTCCTGATAGGCCAGAGCCTGTTTGGCTCTAGCAGCCTGGAGTGCCGTGCATGGCACTAGTGCCGTAGGTTGCCTACCCCTGGTCTATGCTATGGGATATATTAGGTTTATTGATGTACTCAGGGGGTAAATATGAATATAGGGGTTAAAATACAGCCTTAATGAAATTCATATTAATAAAGAAATACATAGCTGAAATAGATTAATGGGTCTACTTTGAAAATAATATTCCATGATGGAGCAATTTAATTTGGGCCTGTTCTTCCACACTAAAGGAGCCATGAGTTTTTGCCAATTAGCCAAAATTTAGGGAATATTTCTGGCCTGATCGACATACCAGCTGTTATGACCCTGATAGTTCCACAATTTTTTATTTTTATTTTTTTTTATACACAGGGATAGGAAGTTACAGCATCTCCCTCTGTGCCTCTCTCTACTCACTGATCCACGAGGAGCAGCTCTGCACAGAGAGTCCTGACAGCAGCTCCGAGCCTGCAGAGACAGCCTACAGCTCAGGTAAGTGAGGGATGGGGGGAAAGGCTGCAGGGAGACATGAGAACACAGACACTAGGGGACACTGGGAAACTTGGGGACACTGTGAGACATGGGGACACAGATACTAGCAGAAACTGGGAGACATAGGGACACTGGGAGACATAGGGACAGTTAGACACATGGGGACACTGTGAGACATGGGGACACAGACACTAGGGGACACTGGGATACATAGGGGAAACTGTAAGACATGGGGACGCCCCCTGGTCTCTCAGTGTCCCCATGTCTCCCAGCCAGTGGCCCTAGTGTCTCAGTGTCCCCATGTCTCCCAGTGTCCCCTAGTCTCTCAGTGTCCCCAAGTGTCTGTGTCCCCAAGTGTCTCAGTGTTCCCATGTCTCACAGTGTCCCCTAGTGTCCAAGTGACATCGGTACACTGGGAGATATGGGAACACAAGCACTCGGGGACACTGGGCGACAGAGAACTGTGTCATGGAGACACTGAGACACTAGAGGACACAGAGACATGGGGACACTGGGAGACATGGGGACACTGGTCGACTTTAAGACCTGGGAAACATGGGGCACTCCCAGTGTCTCCATGTCTCACAGCCAGTGTCCCTAGTATTTCCATGTCTCCCAGTGTCCCTGGTGTGTCTTAGTGTTTCCTAATCTCCCAGTGTCTCAGTGTCCCCATGTCTCCCAGTGTCCCATAATATAAAAGTAAAAAAGCTCAGGCACTCACTGTGATAGATTTATGCAGGTTTATTGGAAACCGCAACGTTTCGACCTGTACCCAGATCTTTTTCAAGTCTCCAGTGTCCCCTATGTATCACAGTGTTCCATATGTATCACACTGTCTCAGTGCTCCATGTCTCCCAGTGTCCCCTCGTGTCTCAAAGTCACCCAGTGTCCCCATGTATTCCAGTGTCCTCAAGTGTCTCAGTGTCTCTCTGTGACATGGGGACACTTGGAGACATGGGGACACAGACACTAAGTACACTGGGCGACATGGGGACACTGACACTAAGGGACACTGGGAGACATGGGATCACTGGGCGACTTTGAGACACAAGGGGACACTGGGACACTGTGATACACAGGAGACACCGTGATACATAGGGGACACTGGAGACCTGGGGAAACATGCACTGGGAGACTAGGGGACACTGGGTGCCATGGGGACACTGGGTGACATGGGGACACTGAGAGACTGGGAGACCTGGAAGACTAAGAAAGGGAGACACTGGGAACAATCCATATATACAGTAGAATCAAATTGTAAGTTGTTTTTTGGTGATTTTACAGAATGATCTCTTAAGTCAGTCCTTGTGCTTTACATCATGTGATGTCACACATACAAAATGTATTATGAAAATTAGTACAAAGTAAATTAGTAGGTATTTTTTTTTTTTTTTTAAAGAAAGGTAGCAACCCTAACTACTTTTCAAATACTTTTTGAAACTTAAGAGGGATGTATAGGAACAAAACTTGTGTGGACTGGCTGACAATGAACTTAGTTTAGGTAATGCTGAATTTGGTCTCTCTAACACTGTGGTATGTTCTCTTTCTTATACACTCACTACATACACCTTTTCTCTGTCCCAGACTATATACCAGAAGCTTCTGCCTGCTAGTAAGAATGTAAAGACACTGCTGTTAGGGGATTTGAATTTACTTGAAAGGTGAAAGCGTGAGATTAGCATAGGGTATGTGTTTTCTCATAGCTACATTCTAGGAGTTTCCCTCCAGCACCATCTCCATCAGATACATGACTCTTGGTAGGTAGGACTGTTTGAGTTTTTTCGGTCGATAAGATTTTGTAATGAGGCCCATCATCATTGTCAGCAGTCCCACTGGGCTCTTAATCTGGCCCTGTCTAGCTTTCATTCAATGAGTCAGAGTGCTGATGCTATGTTACCATGGTAACACTCTGGCTCAATGAACAGACGCCAACCAAAAAGAGTGTGTGGTCTGCACCTACAGGATGTGCAGACCACACGCTTCTCCAATGGACTACCAGCGATTCGGCCAGCAACTAATAAATTAACAGGAATACTGCCAGTACCCAGTGGACCACCAGGGGTTGAGCTTCTCTACCTGTATGAAGGCAAGCAGGAGGGTGGCTAATAATAAACACAGGCACACTACTACACACACAATCACACTCAGTCAGCTCTACACACAATCACACACAGCCAACTCAACACAGTCACAGTTATCTAACCCCCACATACAATTACACTTTGCCAACTTTGAAAGATATCTGCCCGGTGTTGGATTACTGGTGGTTTTAATTGCATTTTTATTTTTTATTTTTTTTTCAATTCGTATTTTATTGTATTGAACAAAGTCTGGGGTAGGGTGGGGTACAGAAAAGAAAAGGGGAGGGGGAGGTGGAGGACATTCAAATACAAATTTCTTTCAGGTTGCTTGTTATATCTTCTTAAGTACACATGTATATAGACACAGTTTGGCTCGGCACGCATACATATTTGATCTAGGGTATCAAATTCCATAGGTACAGAAATACAAGGGTGTAGTTGGTTACCTTTTTGTGTGTTATATAGTACTGTAGCTTGTTGTCGCTTGAGTACTATTACGCTAATTTATGCTGTGTTGTTATTATGAGTATTTGTTTTGTTGTGAGTGGTACAATATGTCCTATTTTGTGCCCTCGCATCGTGGTGCAAATCTGTTTATCTGTTTACGGGCCTCGAGTGTTCAGGGTGTTAACAGCTTATGGTCGTTGGCTTCAATCTATTGTGTCAATCTCTAGTAGCAGTAGTAGTTAATCTCTGTTAGCAGTAGTAGTTATGGCCTCGTCTGCGTTCCCCTTAAGAGTTACCCATTCTGTCCATCTTCGCCAATTAAGGAGTGTGGTGGAGGTCTGTTTGTGAGTGTGGGCTGTAAGCAGATCATATCGGAGGTATTGTCTAATTTTGTGGTGTAACATTGTGGTGGTGGGACATTCTGTTTGTTTCCATTGACACGCTATGAGATTGCGGGTTGCTAGGATCATCATCGCTGTCAGGTGTTTGTCCTTGTAAGGTATTGAGTTGGGGTATTGGAGGAAGAGAGTCAGCAGGGGTGTGAGTGATAGTTGTTTGATCCCCAATTCTTGCCATGTCTGATGGACTTCCTTCCATAGGGGCTTAATGCTCGGACAGTTCCACCAGATATGGGTCATTGTGCCTCGTTCCATCCCACACCTCCAGCACTTGGCCGAGGTGTGGGGGTAGATCCTGTGGAGTTTGTCAGGTGTGTAGTACCACCTGTAGAGTAGTTTTTTATGTGCCTCGACATGTGAATAACAAGCGGTGATACCCTTTAGGGCTTGGAGCGACGCTGTCCATTGCTTGTCTGTGAATGACAGTGCGCATTCTTGTTCCCAGTGCAATCTGTATTTGAACTCTGGAGGTGGAATTTGATTTCTTAAAGCTGTGTAGCTCAATGAGAGCATCTTCGGCTTAATCGGTGAGTTGTGGCACCTATGGTACAGTAATAGTAGGTCGTGGTCTGTGGGGCTTACTTGCGATGTTGGGGGTGCTACTTTATTAGCAAGTAAGCTTTTAAGTTGGAGATATGGGAAGATATAGGATGCTGGTAGGTTATGCGTTTTTTGAATTTCCGGGAAGGGTAGTATAGCTCCTTGTTGGCATATGTCCATAATGCGGATTATTCCAAGTTCTCTCCATTTGTCTAGGGACAGCCAGGGTGACACAGTGGTGAGAGCTGTGATGGGAGCCCAGGGTGAAAATTTGCTCTCCGTTGTCCGTGTGCGGTGTAAGTGGTCCCAGGTCTGTATCAGGTATTTGGTAAGTGGTAACATGTCTTTGTGTTTGTCCCGAATTTGTTTAGGCGTCCACATATAATTTACTGCTGACCCCGCGGGGTCATAATTGTTTTCGAGATCCACCCATTGTAGTGTGTGGGGTGGTGCGTGTAATTTTATCGCGTTTTCGAGAATCGCTGCTTTGTGGTAAGTTGCTATGTTAGGGAAACCTAGTCCGCCTTCCTTAGTGGGTGTTTGTAGAAGAATCAATGGTATTCTGGGTTTCTTGTTCTCCCATATATAATTTGTCATTATCGTTTGGATTTGTTTGCTCAATGTAGGGGAGAGAGGTATTGGAAGCATCCTAAATACATAAAGCAGTTTCGGGAGTACAATCATTTTTATGGCATTAATCCTGCCTAGCCATGATAGCATGACATCTTTCCACTTGTGCAGGATCTGTTTGCACATGTGTGGAATTGTGGAGTAGTTTAGTGTGTTAATTCCTCTATATGTGGCGGCTATTTTCACCCCTAGGTATGTTACATGAGTCTGTCTCCAGTCAAACAAGTATAGTTTTTTCAGTGCTTGTATGGTTGTGACAGGAAGACGTATGGGAAGTGCTTGGGTTTTGGCCTGATTCAGTTTATAATAGGAAATTTTGCCGTATTCTTCCAATGTGCTCATAATGTGCAGTAGGGAATGTTCTGGTCTCGTAGTTGTAGTTTGCTTGTTTCACGGGGATTCCCTCTATGTCTATGTGGGTTCTAATCTTGTAGGCCAAAGGTTCAAGGGAGAGTATAAATAATAGAGGTGAGAGTGGACATCCTTGGCGAGTGCCGTTGGTGATGTGGAAGGGGTTCGAGATAAAGCCTGTGTTCGTGACTTTAGCGGATGGCTTGGAGTATAGTGCCATTATGCCCGTAGTAAACGAGCTTGGGAAGCCAAATTTTAGAAGTACTTGTTCCATGTATTCCCAATTGAGCCTATCAAAGGCCTTTTCGGCGTCTAATGCCAGCAGGAGGCCCTCTGTTTTGCGTGTTTCCATGTGGGCTAGGATATTGAGAATTTTCCTCGTATTGTCTGACCCTTGTCTGTTTTTGGTGAAGCCGGATTGATCGTTATGAACTATGCGATTTAGTATGTTTGTAAGGCGGTTAGCTAAAATTTTTGCGTACATTTTTGTATCGCAATTGAGTAGAGAGATGGGTCGGAAATTCTGGCAGATCGTCGCTGGTTTGCCTGGCTTCGGGAGTGTTGATATGTGTGCCTGTAGCATTTCAGGGGGCATTTCGCCTATGGTGTAGTAGTGGTTTAGGAGCTTGGAGAGGTGCGGGGTGAGGGTTTCTGAGAAAGTTTGGTAGTACAAATTGGTAAAACCATCAGGGCCTGGGGACTTATGAGGGGGTAATTTCGATATGTTCTTCCTCTGTGATTGGTTTAGTAATTGTATCAATTTCTGTCTGGGTTAATGTAGGTAGTGTTACTGTATCTAAGTACTCTCGTACTTGTGCTTTGGTCGGTGTGGTTGTTGTGGGATCATCTTTGAGATTGTATAATGAGCTATAGTATTGCGCGAATTCCTCTACTATGTCCTGTGGGTTCATGAGTTTCTTGTTCCCTTGTGTCATAATGTAAGCTATTTTAGTGTTAGCCGTGCGGGCCCTTAACTTGGACACAAGAAGTTTGCCCGATTTATTCCCTTGTGCAAAGAATTTATGCTTATACTTCTGGAGGATGTAGTTGGTTTTGTCTAGTTCAAATTCATTCAGTTGTGCTTGTAAAGTTCTCAACTTGTTATAATGTTCTGGCGATGGGTTCGTCTTGTTTGTGTGTGTGAGGATTGTTATTTGTTGGATCAGGGTATTATATGTGTGTAATCTTTGCTTCTTGGCGTAACTAGCATGTTTGATGAACAAGCCCCTGAGCACGGCTTTGTGTGCACGCCACAGTGTATCTATGGAAATATCTGCGGTAGTGTTTGTGTTGAAATATGCTTCTAGTTCTGTCTTTATTTGTATGATAATTTGGGTATCGCGCAATAGAGATTCATTCAGGCGCCATGAACCGCGCCCTTTGGTGGGGAATCGAGTTGACATGGTTAGGGTAATCGGTGCATGGTCCGACCACGTGATGGTTGCTATGTTGGTGGATTGTATTGTTGGGATTGTTGTGTTGTGTATGAGGAATCTATCTATTCTTGAGTAAGAGTTATGTACTTGGGAATGGAAGGTGAAATCTTTTTCGGAAGGGTGTAGGATTCTCCATATATCCACATATCCCAAGTTGGTCAACTGTGTTTTGGCAGTGGTCGAGGATGTGGTACGTTTAGTCTTCGTTCTTTGCGTAACGTGGAGGGTAGAGGAGGTATCCAATTGGTCGTCTAAAATAAAGTTCGTGTCTCCCCCTATGATTGTCGTCCCAAATTGGTATGTGTTTGCTAGTGTTAGGATTTTGTTTAGATATGCTTTTTGGTTATCGTGTTGGCCGTATACATTTATAAAGGTGTATGGAACATTGTTTAGAAGGCATTGAAGCAGAAGGAAGCGTCCCTCTTTGTCCCCAATTTTCTTGTGCAAGGAAAAAGCCACATCTTTGCTAAAGAGAATGGAGACTCCTCTCTTCTTTTTTGAGTAACCAGTGTGATAACCTATCGGGTAGTCTTTTGATGAGAACTTGGGTAGTTTGGAGGTTAGGAAATGGGTTTCTTGGAAGAAAGCCACGGCGGCCCTCATCCTTTTAGCTTCTTCGAGAGCTAGCCTCCTTTTGTGTGGTGTATTTAGGCCTTTTACGTTGAGTGAGAGAACTACTAACGCCATGGAGATGTAGCGGGGACCCTCTTCTGCCCGCAGTGTGGTGTGGGAAAAGTAAGGCGTGCCTTTCGAGTCTGAGCCTTGTTCTGGGTGGCCTTGAGGAAGCCTTTATGTAGTGCGATCTCGCCAATGTTGACTATATCATGGTAGCGAGTATCTAAGGTTGGCAACCTACAGTTATTAGTATCAAATGGGGTATGGGAGGGGGGTCAGGGGTGTAAAGGGATAACTCCCCACCGGGGAACTATGTACAAAAGATTGGTCAGATATTGTATATCAGACCACAACGAGGTCTTTGTCGGCCCTATGGAGCCACAATGGGGGAGGGTGTCTTTGTGGGTATTAACCGCCCATATTGGCATTGGTATTAGCTTGGAATGCCCTATAGCCCGCCTCTGTGGAAGTGGAAACTGGTAAACATCTATCATCTACACATTAGTTTGTGACTGAGGGCTATGTGTCTGTTATGCTAGGTATTCTATTAACCACATACTAAGCATATATAACAAAAAAACATTGCAAACAATTATACCGACATGTAGCATGCTCACGTATCTAGTCGGTACGAAGATGCATTAGGCTGGGCTGCACAGCCTGATGTGTTAACCTTATTCTCATGTCACTTATGTTTTGTCCCAGCGGACCAGTCCTTAGAGATTTTTGTGGGCGACTTGGTGGTTCTGCCCGCTGAATCTTTCACGTCTGGAGGTTTGATGTGTAAATTCCAGTCGCCTAGTAGTCGGGTTCCTTCATCTACCGATTGTATTTGGTGTTCCACTCCATTTCGCCTCACAATGATGCGTGTTGGATAACCCCATTTATATAGGATATCTGCATCCCTGAGCGCCCGGGTGATTGGTGACAGTGCTTTGCGCTTAGCCAGGGTTGCTGCAGAGAGGTCCACGAATAGTTTCACGCCTCGGAATTCAGCTGGGATGCTGTCAGGGTTTCTTGCTGCTCTCAGTACTGCTTCTTTGGAGGTGAAATAGTGGATGCGTGTAATTACATCCCTGGGCGCAGTTGCTGCTAAGAATTTAGGCCGCGGCAGGCGGTGGATACGGTCAAGGCACAGGTCGGCATCACTGAGCTGTGGGCAGAGGGCCTTGAATAGGCCTATGGCATAGTCCCTTAGTTCAGAGGGTTTGATTTCCTCTGGTATGCCGCGCAGACGAATATTGTTGCGTCTGTCGCGATCTTCATGGTCCGCTATCTTAGCCTCCAGGAAGGTAAGTCGGCTTTCCAGGGTTTCCCAGGTTGCGGCTAAGTTGTTATGCGCGTCAATAATTTCCTCTGTTTTATCTTCTAAAATGGCGGTGCGTGCGCCTATCTCTTTAATGTCTGCGCGGACGTCCCGGGCCAATTTAGCGAATTCTGCTTGGAGATTTTGCTGTAGCTCTTGGAGCATGCGGTGCAGAGCCGTTTCTGAGGCAGGAGCTGCGGTGGTATGGGAGATGGATGTGCTGTCACTTCCTTCAGAGCATGCTGTGGGTGAGTCAGGGCCTCCGGCGCCATCTTGTGCTCTGCTACGCGGCGGTGTGAGAGCCGATATTTGGAGGGCTGCAGGGCGTAATTTCATTTTCTTTTGTGCTCTGTGGGACATGATGGCTTGGGCTTGTCAAATAAGCCGTGTATGAGTCGGTCTGGGCGGTTTGCGCTCGTCAATTCGTTGTGGTTTGTTGCACCCTCGTCGGAGCTAACAGCTCACACGTCTGTGTCCATGAGCTGCCAGGCCACGCCCCCGCATTTTTATTTTTTAAAGGGTGTGCATAATCTAAAATACCTAAGTAACAGGATAAGATTATAGATTATATTTAGTATTAGTGTTTTCCTTTAACCCCTTAAGGACCAAACTTCTGGAATAAAAGGGAATCATGACATGTCACACATGTCATGTGTCCTTATGGGGTTAAACAATAAATAGCCTGCTGTTCTATTCTGCAGCAACTGCTACAATTGTACTTTTTCAATTGGTGCATACACTAACTGCATCAATTGCTCAACCTTTATTAGAACAAAAAATACTTTCATTCATAAACCCCACTGCATGAACCCTATCTTGGTATCAATTACAAACATTTCCCCATCAGCAATTTGTGCATCATGTACGTTCATATTAAAGTTTAGTTTGACATTCTGCAAAGACCTCCTTCCTTGGAACATGAAAAAATTTGTATGTAAATAAAATACTAAAAATCCAAATGCTTTGTGAGCATATGTTTTCAATCACAGAGAGACATTACTCCCCCAGAGGAAATGGAAACAGTGTGTTTGCTAGGTTTGCTGGTGTATAAAACTCCTGATGGAGCTGTGGCAAGGCTTTGATATGACCCAGATAAAATATGAGTGGTAGTTCAAGGCTGGAGGAGAATGCTTGGGAGGTTTGGCATACAATGAAATAATTAGACAGGGTGAACATTAGAGTTCCAAATGGAAATTAAACATGAACCAATTCTGCAAAACAGGTGTTGGTCATCAAAAGTAGATGAGTGTTCTCATATGTAAACTTTGTTTATAATTCATTAATAGAATTAATTGTTTTACCAACATATTTATAATGTATAATGCTTGGTAAATACAGCAGCACACCAATAAAAAAAATGATTGTTTAGGTTTGTTTTTATATTTATTGTTTTTACACAAAAAACCCAAGACCAGGATCCAGCTTCCAGTGGGTAGACCTCTCCTAGTCCAGAGAGAAGAGCAGGTTGCTCTTACAAGAGCAAGTGATTATAACCCAGGGGAGTCTAGTGATATAGCAATCCCTACAGTAGATACAGCTGTCCCCTCCCCCCCCGCCCCTTGGAGATAATTGAGTCAGGCACTGTATTAAACTCAATTATCTCCAGGCACAGAAAACATACAATTTAACAACATCCTGAAAGTACCCCTAAAACACATTGAAACCCTACAAAAGTCATAGCCCTGATCTGGGGGACCAACATATCCAAAAATCACCGAGATCGGTTCAGGGGTTCGGGATTTCCATGGAGGTCATATTTTGACTGACCGCACACGAAGCTCCTGCCCAAAAGAGTTAAATGAAATCAAGCTGTGCAGTTGGTCTCTTTCGGTAGTTCACAATACATCAGAAATACGAATGCAACCAGTTCGTATGTACACTGAGTCTGGGTCTCTTGTTCAGGATTATGTTTCCACCGAATGCCACTCTTCTCAAGTGAATCCAGTCGAACATACAAAGAGATGGAAGTCCCAGCGGTGTTCGCGCTGACGAGTGTCCGATTATAGTTCCATGCACTCGACAACCAAACACAGCGGTAGATGGCCGCTGTCATGTGTTTGCACATAATGACGACGACCACCCAGCCGATCACCCATTAAGTTGCAGTTTAGAGGTGTTAATAGGGGTAATAAGCTGCACACTCAACTTACCAGTTACATAGTTACATAGCTGAAAAGAGACTTGCGTCCATCAAGTTCAGCCTTCCTCACATTTGTTTTTTGATGTTGATTCAAAAAAAGGCAAAAGAAAACCAGTTTGAAGCACTTCCAATTTTGCAACAAATTAGATTAATCCTTGGATCAAGAAGCTATTACACCCTATATTGAAAAATTATATCCTTGAATATTCTGTTGTTGCAAGTATGCATCTAGTTGCTGTTTGAACATCTGTATGGACTCTGATAAAACCACTTCTTTAGGCAGAGAATTCCACATCCTTATTGTTCTACAGTAAAAAAAACCTTTTCATTGCCTTAGAATTAATCTTCTTTCTTCCAGTCTAAACGCATGACCTTTGTCCTATGTAAAGCCCGGTTTGTGAATAAATTTCCACACAATGGTTTGTATTGGCCCCGGATATATTTGTATAATGTTATCATATCCCATCTGAGGCGATGTTTATCTAAACTAAAGAGGTCTTAATTTGTTAACCTTTCTTCATAGCTCATATGTTCCATTCCTTTTATTAAGTTTGTAGCCCGCCTCTGCACTTTTTCTATTGCCATAATGTCCTTCTTTAGAACAGGTGCCCAAAATTGCACAGCATATTCAATATGTGGTCTAACCAGTGATTTATAAAGAGGCAAAATGATATTCTCATCCCGAGAATAAATGTCCTTTTTCATGCAGGACAATACCTTACTGGCTTTAGCCACTGCTGATTGACATTGCACATTGTTGCATAGTTGAATAGTTTGTTATCTGTAACAATTCCCAAGTCCTTTTGTCTAATTCGCTTCCATTAAGGATATACGTTGTGTTGAAGTTCATAAATTTGAACTTTTCAACATTAAATTTCATCTGCCATTTGAGTGCCCAGTCCCCCAGTCTATCTAAATCCCTCTGCAGCAAAGTAATATCTTGCTCACATTGTATTACTTTACAGAGTTTTGTGTCATCTGCAATCACTGAAAGATGACTTTCAATGCTTTTTTTCAAGCTCATTTATAAACATGTTAAATAGAAGGGGTCCCAGAACAGAACCATGAGGGACACCACTTGCCACCACTGTCCAGCTTGAAAATTTACCATTAATGACAACTCTTTGTACTCTATTTTTAAGCCAATGTTCTACCTAAGTACAAGAATTTTCATCTAGACTGATTTCTTTGAGTTTGAACACTAATCTATTTTGTGGAACAAATGCCTTTGCAAAATCCAAATAGATCACATCCACTTCAACACCCTGATCTATACTTCTACTTACAGCTTCGTAGAATGCAATCAAGTTAGTTTGATATGACCTGTGCTTCATAAAACCATGCTGAATTTTGCTGATAACCTTGTTCTTCTCAATGAATTCTTGAATATTATCCTTTAATAACCTTTCAAATACTTTTCCAGCCACAGAAGTTAAGCTCACAGGTCTATAATTTCCAGGCAAGGATTTTGAACCCTTTTTGAATATAGGAACCACATCTGCTTTCCTCCAAACCTCCAGAACACTTCCTGAAAGAAACAAATCTTGAAAGATTAAAAACAGAGGTTCACTTATTTCTACACTTAGTTCCTTAAGTACTCGTGGATGAATACAGTCAGGCCCTGGAGCTTTGTTTATATTAACTTTCTTTAGCTATAGCATCTTATGTACCGAACCTGGTGATTTAAAAGTCACGAACAGAGCCTTTTAACAGTCCTGAACCTGGGGCCATAGTCCTGAGGCAAGAGGCTGGCCAGCAGGCCCCTTCAAGAGCCTGTGGCGAGGTTACTTTTGCCACAGTGAGTGTAACGTGTAACATGTTCACATCACTAGTATATCTTCAAATTCTGGTTCTGCCTGTCCTGTACAAATATACAACAAAGGAAATTCCAACACACCTAGGTGTCAAGATCAGGAAGACATATTAGGAATATTTACCTTATACGTTATGCATCCAAAACATTTGTAAGGGTAACTATGATTTAGCAGAGCTAAATCCCCATAAACCCTTTTTAAACAATTCAATACCCTCTGTCAATTTAGCATTTGTGAAAAGGTTTAGCGTAATTAGGCAACAAAAAAATATCATTAGCCTGAGAAATATTCTGGACGCAAAACAGTGAAACCTCAATAATATAACATCGCATACTAAGCTTTGGGTGTTAGGGTGTAACCTGGTGTTAAAGACTTGAAAAGCCACTAAAAAAAGTCACAGTGATTAAAATGCTTGGAGTATACCTGGGTTGGGTTGAATGTTGCCTTCCAGTGAGTAGCAATAAACAGGATCACTGACATTGAGTGATCCTGTTTAGTTTAATAGCCCCCACTCGTGTGGGGACATGATTTCCCCCACCGTTAATTATTTTAATATGTTCCCCACCATGGGCTGCTCACTGTTTAGTAAACTAAACATGCAATGCCGCAAGTAGGGGCAGGAGGGAGATTTCAATCTCCCCTATTTACTTACAGTAATTTTTACTTTGTATTAGTAAAGTTTTCTCAAAGACCAATTTTGGTCTTTCAGCTTTACGTAGATAGCTCCCCAATAATGTGGGAATTAGGGAGCTATCTACTAAGCAGCTGCAAGATGCAGTCGCTGCACTGACCGGATTGGAATAGTACTCATTCTGAACAAACTGTACTCATTCTGTTAGGATGAAATTTGGTTATTTTGACGGTGCCTTTTCTTTATGACAGGATGTTCGAACAGCGAATAAAGTAATGTGAGAATAAGAAAGCAAAGGGTGAATATTGTGGGAAAATTCCTTTGACCACAGGAAATGGAGCAGACTTAAGCTCCTCCTTTGTTCAAAGAAGTTCAAGTGTGGGAAAAATACATAAAACAAAGTAGTCGTATTGTGTTTTAAAGTAAACTAGATCAGAAAGGGAAAAAAAAAGAACAGATTCTGAGAGAGGAATCAATAGGAGAAAGGTAAGTTCAGCATGACAGTCTCGCTTTAATCTCTGACAGTTGTCAAGATAGAGTATGGTTGTAGTATGCAGAACGTAAGTCCAACCTAACAAAAAAAGGGTAAAGAAAGGAAAGTAGTGTATTGTCATTTCATAGAGGTAGCTGGATTTAACACAATTCCAGGACAGGCCAAATAAAGAGGTTCAATAAACAAGCCAAGTTCAAGGAATATAGAGAAATTGGGAAAAGCAGACCGGAGGTCAGGCAAGCATAAAAAGTGTTGTGAGTGTTGTGTCCACATTAGACATCATGCCAGAAAGGTACAGCATCAAGTTGTATGGTGACGCATTGAAGGAAAAAAATCCACAGGTACCATGACAGCAGTGTAACTCTGCTCCACTAACTGCAACAATTTGGGGCACATCCCCTTTTGGGGGTGACCATCACATTTTGTTGCTTGCTGGACCTCTATAAGAAAAGCGAACATAAGTAAAGACCACACATGATCCTACATTCTACTTTACTGTGCAGATATAAATTCAAACAATAGTTAAGATTATAAGCCTCACATTTTTCTCTTTTTCACAAGCAAAGGTTTAACAAAAAGGTCATAATAGCTGATAATGTATTATAAATTTTCACTCAAATGCTAAGCTCATACTCCTATTAGAATGATGGGATCAAATAGTGCACTATAAAAGATAAATAGTAAAACAAACACAAAAAGAAAGGTTTAAAATAGGTAAGCCAATTAAAGGACTCCCTCTTATTACTCTCTGTTATTATTAGAGTTATGTGAAACATTCGGAGTGGAATTTAAGTTATTTAAACCTGTGATGGAAGGCATTTTGGAAACCTTAGATTTAAATCCAACACAGAGTACAGTACCCCCCTCCACATAAAATGTTTAATCCCTTGAAGAATCTTAAATAAATTGGTGTAAAGAGAAGATTTCGAACAAAGGTCATGTTTTTTTCCAACATTTTTTCTCATGATTAGTCTGCAAATTCATACAAACCATGCACTTAATGTAATTAGTGTGTATTCTTCCTCAATCACGTAAAATGTAACTATAAACTGATCTTTGCTATGTACAATTTTTTTTTTAAAATGAGAAGTTAGAAGAAGATAGTCATCCAGGGGCAAAGAACTGTCTCAAAGTGGACTTGTCATGAAAATATTTACAGATGACAGGACTGCCTAAAGGACTATCCCATGAACCAGAACAACTTTATCGGAATTACATTTTTATGGTGCAGGAAGTCACGGGCGTTGGCTTACCTCAAGGGATTAAAGCGTTATTGAACATTTTAACTCCAAAATCTTTAATCTGGGCCCCTGCCCCTTCACTTCTAGTTCAAGGCTCGGACCTGGTGCCACTGTACTTTTTTCACTCCTTTTTATTAATGTGGAGCTACTAAGAGCCTGAGAGCATCTTTATGATTCTTTGATTCCTGAAGCCTTGGACTGGAATGGAAGTGAAAGAGCACCCCTTGTAGTAATTCAGCAAACAAGCTATCCTTCCCCATGACAACTTCATTCCAATTAAGGTGTTATGGTGCCCAGGGTGTCCCTTTAATTTAGAAATAGAGAACAATTGTATGTGCTCATAGCCGAGGTAAAATGCAACCATATTTGCATTTTAATCATCAATAAATGGATACATGTACTTTATCTATAATGGTGTATGATGTATTTATTCTCTGATTTAAAAGGTAACTGCAGAAAATTCAGTACAACAAAAGGATAATTTTGCTTTCAACTATTATTACAACTAATATTACAAAAAAATATTTAAAAACCTCCAAGAATAGATAAAAACAAGTTTAAATAATTATACCCCAATAAAAAACAGTTTTATTAATTTAACAATTTGTATATAGTGCTAATATTTTATATTAGTGCTTTCATTGAAAGCCAACTTTAATAATAAACATGGAAATATTTAACATCATTTTCATTAATCCACGTTGCCACCATAGTCACGGCTGCAGTGGGTTTCCTGGGGTGCAGACTCATATTTAATTTTCTTTTGCAATGTCTATGTCTCCCTGTTCACTGAGGCAGTACTCCAGAACTTAGTCAGGACATCTGTAAATTGACTTTGGCACCTAAGTGAAATCTCCTGATAAGGATGGTTGCCCGTGTCTATTCTCAGAGGTAATCAGTGTGTGGCGAAGCTGTGATTGGGGGTAGACGTGACAGAGATAACTAATCACACACCTCTGCTTTAAGATGCAGACTGGCAGCAGTGTTATTAGTTCTGAGCAGACATGGACTGCAAGCACCTTTGCTGGTAGCAATATGTACCCCAGATGCTGTCATGTATACTCTTTTTCTACAGACAGCAAGAAATTAGTCTATATAGGAAGCATAGCAAAAAGGTGGTATAAATGACAAAATTGTCGCAAATAGTGAAAAATTAACATTGTATCTCTCCGTTTTAAAGAATAATAATAATACATATTATTGGAAATTAAGTAGTAAACTTTAGCCTGTCGGTTTATTGATCATACTCTCATACTGTCCCCCCCAGATAACAGATAATGGATTCTGTGTTAGAAGAAATACCTTTAGTATTTAGTAACAGGATCCTTCAGCTTTCTTTATACATGTACCGTGGGTCAGACAGTGTTAGAAAACCAACAGTCTCTATGATCTTTTTTAAAACATATGTTTTATTACAAAGAAAATAAGTATTGTTGTATTCAAATAGTTTTGAGGTGACAATTGACCTCTAGGTATCATGAGACGTATTTAACAAACCAGAATGGAATGCAGGTCACCCATTTTGTCAACAATGTGTTGATTGTAAAAAGTAATTAATGCCAAATAGATTTCACACTATAATGTATTATGAATATAATGTGGCCAAACAATAATTATGCTCTTTGTCTATGACACGACGTCACAGACAAGGTAAGTACCTGCATTCACTTTATTTCCTTTAGGTAGAGAATGCAGTAATACAGATGCCAAATTATTTCTAAAGATGAGAAATTACTCCTCCAGTCTGAATAGCAATCTTAAACCAAAGAACGGACAATTACCTCAATTATGTTCAAACTGGGATGAGAAGCTCTGGTAACTAAACTTTGAATTTGTTTAATGGAAGTGCAAAATGCAGCAAATACTATACACTTCCAATCGATAATTTGTATTTGCCATCTGTAAATTGAACTGGTGCTGTCCTGCATAAAAATGTTATGTGATCTACACACAAGTACTAAATATCCCAAGTATACTAACGTTACAACTTATCTATGCAAGTGGAAGCCTCTAACATTCCACAGATGTTCTTGTCCTCCTGCTCTCTTAGAAGTTATTCCAAATTCATTACTGTTTGCATAATACATCTCAATTGTGCAGTGTTCTGAATCCATGCAGGATAATTATGCTGATACTACTTGTTTCATCTGTAGCCAGTTTTTAAACATGCATGCTACTCTTCTGTTTGGCTTCAATACAGCAGCTCTCCTGCACGCATTCCTAAACACCACTACCGATACACCTCCATAGTACACACTGGAATTTCCATACACAGCAAGAGACATATAGATAGAAGCAGTCCAAGCAAACACAAAATAAGTGGTACATATACAAAAGTATCATACACCATATCTCTTATGTGACAGTTTCTCTGATACACCTTCTGACACAAAGACACGTTGCTCATTGTACTTCAAAATTGACTTCTTTAAAAATATGGTATCTAGAACCAGAGATCATATCCTTAAGTTGATTGAATAATTTTTTTAACTGACTTTCATAAGAATGTTTTAAACCATAATATTTCACTTGAAAGAATGCCTAATCCGTCATATGTATTGGGTCTCTACTTTTTAGCAGCTGCCAATTTAGATCTCTGATCACTATAGGAGTAGCAAGAGGTCCAATTAAAGGCAGTGTTAAAGAGGACCCACTTTCTCTGTGTCTAAAGAACTGATATGGTTAAAAAAATTATTTTAAAGGACATTTTAGACACTAATTCATCTGAATGAAATCGTTTTGGTGCTTTACAGACAGTGTAAAACATCTGTAGAATACCAAGCTCTTTTGTCTGTGCCCAGGGACCGTTATCATAATGTCAGCATTAATTACATGTTATTTAAGGACTCTTCAGGGTACCATAATGATGAAGATCTCAAAAAAGTGTTTATAATGTCTGAGATCCTGGGCACCATCTTACCTTAAGGTTGAAACCCGTTCACCTGGCCCTTCTGTCTCTTCCTTTGTCCCTGGATTCAACACTGACGCTTTCTGTCAAAGACTTACTTACTTTATAGAAAGGTAAGTATTTCGAGTAGTAAATGGAATTAAAATATTTAGGAGGCTTCTATATCATGGTGTTGTGAAGAAGTTGGCATGGTGCAAAGAGCACATCTTTAACACCTCCGCATTTTCATTGTCACATTTTTATCCACAAAAAAAAAAAAAAAGAAGGAATGGGAGGAAACCAAAAACAAGGGACAACTTCCAACTTCACGCTTTATTCTTCAGTGCCCATGGTACAAAGTAACAAAAGCAAATGATGCCTGTTAAATACTAGGGAAGGTGGGATTGTAAATATGTATGTATAAGGAAATAAGGAGATCTAATTATCTTCAAAAGTGTATCATGCACTAGGGCAGGAATAGGCAACCTCTGGCACTGCAGATGTTTTGGCAAAGCCATGATGCTTTGCTAACAATACGGCTGTAAGAGCATTGTGGGAGATGTAGTCCACAACATCTGAAGTGCCAAAGGTTGCCTACCCCTGCACTACATGCTACAGGTAACAAAAGAATCTCACTCATGGAACCCTCAGAGGATTCAACTCAAAAGAGACCCTGATCTGCAAAGGTCAACTGTTAAAATCTAGGAGAGCAACATGAGCAGGAAGGTAAGCCCCCAAAAGGTGCAATAAGGTGTATACCTCAGTTGTTGCTAGCACTGCAAAAACCTACCACCAATAATAATACTGCTGTGGGCATCATACAAACAGTAAAGTGATAGACTCTCCGTGAGAGTGCTCGGAGTGTTCATCTCATCCTCATATGTATGTAAAAACAATAAAACCCAAACTCCGGGCAAACTAAAGTCTTGTATACATCAAGTTTACAAAACTAGCTTTGAAGAAATTGTATACAAAGTATTAAGATGGTATAGCTTTTTGTCCTACTCGGTACCTGAGAGAATTAAAATGTTTAAATGTGGTTTAGCTAGTATTATACTAAGAAACGTTTCCTGTTTGTAGGTAATCACAATCACTGAATAGGTCATTATTAAAGTGTAGGAATGGCATCTGTATGATTCGTTAAGGAGCCCGCGGAGGATAATCTTGATCGTAACAGTCCTTGGCTCTTTTCAGTGAAGTAACAACTTCTGTTTCACATAACAAGAGCATTCTGTCTGCAAGCATGCAGCAACAATCGGTCCCTGAGATATTGTCACTAGCAGAGATAAAGAGAGGTTCACCTTACCAGACTACAACAATAGCCCATTCTCTAGTCTAAAGTGTACACTGTAGGATGCTAATGGAGGGAGCTAATGCAAGTTTCAAAGCTTTAGCTTAAGAGAGAAAGGCTCTGCAGCCATTGATGATTTGAAACTCTTGCCACTGATGGAGCTTCATAAGAGCTGTTAACGATCCACACAAAATCTTAGACACCAAAATGGGCACAATCGCCTACACAAAGTCTCATGCAGCAGAAATCATTCTAGACTTGCTAATATGCCTTTCAACTTTCAGTAGTTTTAGAAAGCTAATGGAACCTGGTAGGAAAATATCTCTCATCATATTACCACACCTTTAAATGGTATACAGCTTTACACTTTAATCAGGAATATAAAAAGTAAAGCAAAATAAGAAATGTAGTTACACACATTTTTATCATCTCTCCAAGATGTTGCTCATAAAATCTTCACTTAAATATAATCTAAACATTAATGAGGCTTCTATTTCATAGCATATAAATATATATATATAATTTTTGCAGAAAAAGTATTTTCAGGGAAAGGGTAGTGTTTACATTACAGCCTAGGGATACCTCCACCGGCCACTCCTCAGATGCTGCTAGAGGTGCTTCCTGGGGCAGTGCTGCACAGTGTGCATCACTGCCATTTAGTGTCTCCACCCTGCATTGAGACACTAAACTTTCCTCATAGAGATGCATTAATCCAATGCATCTTTATGAGGAGATGCTGATTAGCCATGGTTGTGTTTGGCTTGTGCTGGCTCTGCCCTGATCTGCCTCATTGACAGTCTCAGCCAATACAATGCTTTGATATGGTAAATCATTGTGATTGGCTTTTGATCAACACGTTTGATAAAATCAGCCAAGCAGGCAGATCAGGAGTGGAGCCTGCAGCAGCAGACTGGATTAAAAATAATATTTTGCTATATTTAGGGTGACCAGGCAAGGGGGCTAAATGGTGAGGAATAAATGTTTCTGTTCCTGACCATATAGTGTTCCTTCAACTTTCCAGAATTTGTGTTGTCAACTCTAGTAATTTAAACCCACCAACCCAAATGTTTCTGCAAAGGATAAGCAAATAAATACTTATTTTATTGTGTACCAGATTTTGTCTTGGATGCAAATTAGTTGTTTTGTGGTTTTTAGCTATCCATCCTGGTTTTACCATTGGTGGCTTCATTACATCGGTCTGCTAATGGCATCTCTCCTACATCTGTCTGCTAATGGATAAAGCACCTATATATGACATTGGTCATTAAACCTAGAAACATGCTGCTCTGTCATAATTTCATCAAAACAAACTGAGCTTGTCCTCAAACAAATGCGCTTACCAAGTCAGTTTTGGAAGAGTCCTCAAAATCAGCAGTGAAGGTGGTTGGTGATCTGCTCATGCCATTGCTGTCACCTCCAGCTTGCTTTGGTGTCTGAGCGTGCTGTCTATATGTTGCACTCTTTGGTGTCCAGCAGAACAGGTTGATTGACTCTCGTACACATCGTTCAATATCTATTTCTGCAGAGAAAACAAATAGACAATAACCTGCCTGTCATGGGATTTTAGTTTGTTCACTGGGTATAATGCAACATGCACAGTGTACAGTAAATAAGTTGGTGACTTACATCTTTTTTTAATGCACTGAAAATATGTACATTTCAATGTTTAATGATAAATTGTATAATTCTTACATCTATTTAGCATTTAAGGCATCACTATGTTTCTACGTTGTATGTATGCAATGACATATGCAACGCTGGCACAGGATCTACAGTGATAATATTATTCATTTGTAATGCATTTGCCGGTATATTCTGATTCTTGATATATTGTTTATCTATAGGAGGAGAAAAATGCACAAATATATTAAAGGTGGACAGTTATTTCTCAGGAATTCACTGTGATTTCACACATATGTCCAAGAAAGTTCAGAGAACATTTCAAGGTGCCACTTAGGTCCTTTATAATGGCAGAGCCAAAAAAGAAGATCCAGTATGACAAGCCCTCTGAAAAAAAGGGTAAGTTATACCGCTTGCAGGGTCTACAAAGTTTTAGGGGGCGAGAGGAAGGGATCTCTTAGCTGGCAGCAGAGGAACAGAGACGCTTTATCAGCAAATAATAACACAACCTGTTTAAATGTGGAGTTGGAGGCAGCAGTGCATTGCTGTGTAATGAAATGATTTATAATGATGAAAGTGTCACCGTCTCGAACAAGTACAATCAGCGATTCATCATGTTCTTTTGAAGTAAGACATATTAGGATGCGAGAAAGCAGAATGATTTGTGATTGTTTTGTTTAAAATTAAAGAACGGACACTTCTTTGGACTAAAGTCATCTACACCACAGAGCGGATTTTTGAGACCCGCTGCTTACCTTATTTAACTCATATGTTTTGTGTTACACAGATGCACTATAAGAGTGTAATTTTCATTGGATTCTATAGATTGTTTTAAATAAAAAAAAATTTGATTAGCAAATCTAAAACATAAATAAAATGTGATAATTGTTTAATAACGGCGATTAAGATCATAAAAATGAATGTTCTAGGAATGACGTAAGAATACATCTGATAAGGAATGGTATATTGGCAGTGGACCTCTGAAAAAGAGCAGGTTTTATGTAGCAATGCATGATTGTTAGTTACAATCAGTCTTGTGTTAGAGGTAATACATGACAAATGGTAATATTTTCACCCATTAGGTGAATAAATAAAAATAAGTGTCACATGTTAAGAAACTTTGGCATCAAAACCAAATCAAAATGGGATTATATGAAGTAATATAAAATGAGATTTAAAGGAAAATCAAAAGTGCACTGTAATGGTTCTAGTGTCGGGAGTGCCCTCAAATGAAAGTAGTCAGACTCTTTGCAAACAGTTTGACAACTTACCTTGGATCCATGGGGGGGGAGGGGGGGAGTAGGGGGAATCAATAATATTTTCCTGGAGAGCCTGAAGCTCATGCACTAAGCTTCTGCTTGCCAAACTGTGTAGCGGATTAGTTGGCTGAAGTGTTAGCTGAGCTCTCTTATTTAATAAGCCAAGCCCTACACTACTGGGCTTGCTCAGAGCAGATAGCTTCTGGTCCTCCTGTAGTCAGCAACTAATGACTGATGCCTGGCCGACCCCAGGTAAGTTGTTAAACAATTTGCAAATGGTGCACTCTAGGTACCATAACTGGCGGACTTGTGCACTGAATCAAAGGTTAACTTGCATCAAAAGCCATTCTTTGTAACCAATCTATGGGGTATAATAATAAGACAGCACCTAATATTCAGCTTATTAAAGGAACATTATCAGGACCCAGACCACTTCAACTCATTGAAGGTCTGGGTACAGTGTCCCTATTGCACTTAGTGCTGCAATGTAAAACATTGCAGTTTTAGAGTACTAAGTTTGTCTCCAGTGGTTGTCTACGAGACAGCCAATAGAGGCGCTTCCAGAATGTTACTGGACTTTTGGTCCGCTGACGCTGGATGTCCTCACGCTGTGCATGAGGACATCCAGTGTCAGCTATTTGCTATTTTCCCATAAGAAAGCATCTTGTTTGGTCAGTAAAAATAGCCTCTAGGTATAGGGTTTATTAAAGTAATCAAGATAATTGATAGATTTTGGTAATGGCATAATATTATATAAAATAACAAAGAAATGCATATATATATATATATATATATATATATATATATATATATATATATATATAGTTATGAATGGGAAAGAGTATGTAGGCACTAAGGCCTCTAATTTAGACAAGTTAAACAGCTATTTATTGAAATCCACAAATAGCCTACATAAGCACCGGTAGAGATGTAGCGGGATCTTGAACCAGAGGCAAATGTAATTGTTTTATAAGTGGTAGAGCCCAACATGAGGGTTTCTTAGTGGTTAACCAGAGAATCAAAAGTGCACTGAAGTAAAGTGGGAGCATTCCTGTGACACCCATTGCTTTAGCTTTAATATTATCTTAAACATGCCAGAGTTAGTACTTAGTTACAAATAATTTGCACATGGTAATTCCTAAATAATCACATGTTCCCAGGTGATTCTCTGCTAGGCAGATATGGCAACCATCTTCAGCTCTTGAGACTCTCAGTAACTACTGCTACGGCACCTAAATTATACTGATAGCCCCACCATGTGAGTGCATTTTGGGGGCAGGGCAGTAGCACATGCATTACCTGCTGGGAGTCAAATTATTATTTGGAGTTTTTGCCAGTGCCATAAAACTACAATCAGACAGTAAATAAATAAATGATTAAATAATACAATCAAATATATGCAATACATAGGATAGTGTATTGAGGAAGTTCTATTCTCTATTTTGACAGGTATATGTCAACAAAATTCATGAATGTTTTTGTACTGTTTTCTTTGGAACTGGTGTGCATGCACACACCTAATATAGCTATATTTTTTCAGGCATTATTTGTTCCTTTAGTCTGTCCCTAATTCACCTTTAAGCTATCAATAAATCTGTCATTGTCATTGGTAAAAGTAGTAAAGGGCTGACAGCTCATATAAACGACCTGGCTGAGAATTTCCCAGGCTGCACTCAAGAATCATTTAGTGATTTGCGTCATTTGATTTCATAGACTGCATGACACAGATCACCGTGGTAACCACTTGGATCTTTTGGAAAAGGGAGGAGAACTTAAAATTCTCTCTCTGCCTCATTGACAGCACAAGTGTGTTTTTTCCCCCTCAGTATTTTACTAGATATATTTTGTTTCTAACTTTACATTAAAATGTTCACCTTAAAGTTGTATTCAAAGCTGGAATCGACAACTTCTATTATAAAGTATTGTATATATAAAGTATTAAAATAGGCAAAAAACAACCAATTCAATAATAAATGAAATAATCAGGAATATTCTAGTGTTGATATTCTAAAAGTTAAGTCAGTGTAATGGTATCATCAGTGAGAACTGCCCGCTTGAAGAGGCCACAGACCAAGCCAATCACTACAGAAAGGGGTGGCAGTGACGGGTAGGTGGAACAATAGTGTAACTTGGAAGCACTGGAGCAAGGAACACCAGGTAAGTAATGCACCAAAGTTAAATAACTTATCTTTATGATAAATTATATATTTACTACCTTGGGAGCTGTTATAGCTAAGGTTGAACTTGGAGTGCCAGGTTCACGTTAATCAGCGACCCTGGCACCTTGACTTTGACATTTCAAACTTCACACAAATTAAATTCCTTTATGTTCGCCTAGTAGTATTCTCTGTAACTGTGAAGGTTTGGTATAGTGTATTGTTTGTGTTATTTAAGATATAAATCACTACTTCAGGTACAATAAATCACATAATTTTTTTATAAACATAAATAACCGTTTTACTGGTGTGTGGCAGTAGCAGCTGTTTCAAGCCTTTATTATTTTCACACATGATGTTTTTTAAAATTGAGCTACTACACTGACTCCCAAAAACCTAATCTGACGTCTAACGCAACCTACCTGCTTTGGGAACCTGCTGAGAAGCTCTGTGTAGTTTTTGGGGTTCTCCAGTGCTGCCTGGCGGGAGAGGCAGCCAAATTCCTGTTCTGCACAGGCTGTACCCTTGAGGCAACTCCTAGCAGCCCCATCTCTCCTCCCCCACCTTTAGACCGATGGGGGTTATTCACCCATATCCCACAAGTACACACATTATAAACCTATGCAGCCCAGGCAGGACTGTTCTAGCATGTTGGAGCGGTCCTTAGAGAGTGATAACCAGGAGAGCAGCAACCAGGAGGTGAGAGGAGCCCCTTCGGGCATAGCAAATATACAGCCACCTGTGTTCACCAAAGCTCGCCCACCTAGGCTGACGGCCATCAGGGGTTGTCCTTCAAAGCATCGTCCATGCAGACAGAAGACAAACTGCCATCGGCGGCTACGCAACATCAGGGTCTCCTGTTACCCCTAAGTGGAAAGGACTGGGACTCACAGAGACTCAGAGGCTGTGGTTACAAGATGCCGGCCCACACACAGGCCTGGGGCTGGAAGGGGCTTCTACCTTACTCCCTTCGGGAGGATCCCCTCCTGGACATTCTTGACCACATGCCAACTATGCCACTTGCAGGGATAGGCTGCTTCTGACACCAGAGAAGCAGCCTAAAAGCTAATTGGCACTTCACTAACCTACCATGCGACTAGTTGAGGTCTGTTCTCTGCACAGTTGTCACACCTCTCTGTTTATGCTGACCTGTTGTTTTTTCTTTTATTAACTCATAGCTAAGCCAAACAAAAACTGAGCGCAGTTCCAGTGGTCTATCAGGTTCAAAATTAGCATGTAAATTCATACTCATAGCCTTTATCTCCTGTCTAGCTAGCCTTATGTGTAGCCAAAACAAAGAGAACGTTACCTGCGCTCTGGCCCAAATCCCTATGTACATTTAAACAAAATGGAGGCTGTTTAGTTTTATTCCAATGGCCATTTGAATATAAGCTCACCTGCCGCGTCAAGGCAAGCCCCAAAAGGTGAGTCCTACACTAGCTATTAGATTTTCTGATATCAGCCAAGAATCTCCAATGAGACAGGAAGGGGTATTTTATAAACCCTATTACAATTAACCCTTTATAGGGCTTCTACACATACAATAAACTTTGCTGGTATCAGACAAAGTGTAAACATCTCTAATGTGACATGAAGGGGTCTTTTATAAACCCCTACATACTTAGTAACCCTAAATAGGGCTATAAAACTTACATATCACCTTGCTGGTATCAGCTAAAAGGTAAATTTCTCTGTTGAGACAGGAAGGGGGTCTCTATTTAAAAAAAAAAAAAAAAACACTGCCTTTTACCCTCTTCATTTGCAGTCATAACTATTGTTCAAGTCTTAAACTACTACTTGCCTAAGCAAGCCAGGACCACACTCACTATGAGTGAATTTCTACTCACCAGTGCTAAATTCGCAGCCAATGGCTAATGGTAAGTGGAAATTTTAAGCCCTCTTTTGGGTAACCGCAAGCCTGCAGAGATAAATCTGGTGAATAGAGAAATCCACTGGAAATATGCCTCCCAGAGACTTTTGAAAGGGATGAGGTTATATATTATTGCAGCATAAACAGAAAATATAAAAACTTTGAGAACGGGCAAAATCAAAGAAATTTATCCTTTGGTAATCCTAGCTCAGGTCTCAAAAAGTTTTTTCTCACATGTGCCACTGCAGAGAACCTATACCATTTGCATATCAGACTGATCCCACCTATAAGGGCAGTCCAGATATGACATGCTGGTAAGTTTGAGAGATACAGCAACCCCAGACAATCACCTTCTTTGGGCCTTGTCAGCAAAGTGTAGCTGAAACACCTCTAGGCACAGTGAGCATGTGATGTATGTCTGGATTAGCCTTTTTACTTAAGGAGATCCTAACCAAACGCACTGCAGGAAAAACAGAGCAAAAGCTCAGAGAAACCTCAATAGGTTGTCCTTCTGTAATTCCTTGCTCACATGTGCCAATTACAGAGAGAAACTATATCACATGCAAATCAGACTGAACCCATGGGGGTGTCTGGGCTTGTTGGATCTCACATGCATAGGAAACTTGCCAGGATCCTTTTGGCAAAAACATTTTCGAGACCTAAGCAGGGACTAAATGAAGGGTAAGCTACTGAGGTTTCTCTGAGCTTTTGTCAGTTCTCAGAGTTCTCATATTATCTGGTTTTGTTGCAATGCATTTACTTAAAGAGACACTATACGAAACAACTTTAGATTAATGAAGCAATTTTGGTGTATAGATCATGCACCTGCAGTCTCACCGCTCAATTATCTGCCACTTAGAAGTTAAAACACTTTGTTTATGCAGTTCTAGTCACACCTCCCTGCATGTGACTTGCACAACCTTCCTAAACACTTCCTGTAAAGAAAGATCTGTTTACACTTTATTGCAAATTCTGTTTAATTTAGAAGGTATTATCCCCTGCACTGTTAATAGCGTATTACACCTTGCAGGAGCCTCCTGTATAGGATTAAAGTAAATTTCACAGTGCAGGAGGTAAAAACGTTTATAGCAGGTTAACGACTAACTGAAGGGCAAACTATTGAGGTTTTGCACATTTTCAGAGTTCTCGTGTTCGCTGTTTTAGTAATATATTAATCCCTTGATTTGTATCAGATATTTAACATAGATCCTTTCTAACTGGGGCCTTTGTTACTAATGTCCTTTTTTAATATACTTTTTTTCAGGGTTTTGTTATGTTGCAAACAGATCTGCAGGGGGTGTTGATTTCTTATGTTGACATATATGACATCAATTCATTGCTGTTAACGTGCGTTCAAAACAACCTTCATTCTTTGTGCGTTTTCTCCCAAAGAATGCGCCATTCAGTCTCTTGGGGGTCTTACTGATGGTTCAAAATGATTAATAATTTTAATGAAATCATAACTTAAGAAATACGATTAATTTCAATGCTGCAGCTGAGATCTGTACTCAACTCCTTCAGTACTAAGGCAGAGAGATGTAAAGTTACTCATACTTTAGAATGACTGATACTTGTTTTTACTTTGATGAGGAGCTCTATTTAACCTAGATTAAACCCATCGCTGACATTAAGAGGTAGTAAATATGTGGTAATTGTATGTACCTTGCTATAAACAATGCATTAAAAAGGTAAGGAAGCAAACACGTTCCTTTAACCCCTTAAGGACACATGACGTGTGACATGTCAAGATTCCCTTTTATTCCAGACGTTTGGTCCTTAAGGGGTTAAAACACAAGCTTTATTCTCTACAACCTAAAAACATTGTGTGTATTATGTGAGAGCAGTAAATTAAAAGCCCGGTATTCCACCTCAGAGCCCAAACAGAGGCGGTTAGAAACTTGCCTAGCAGTGAATGAGCAACACTTGCAGGCCTCTCAGAATATGGATGCACTCTACACAAAGCGAACATTATCTATTCTTTCGAGAACAATAACTGTGCTAATTTGTTATTCCACTAGGTCATGCCTTGAGGCCTGTCTGACACAAAGGAAAGCCTACAGTCTTACAGAAACACAGGGAAGTTGAAACAAGGGCTTTCACACAATAACTAGCTAATTAAAATTAATGTCAGGTAGGAAACAAGATACACACACAGAATCTAAGTGAAAAGAAGAACGACCTATCCCACAGGATGCATGCATGCTCTACCACATGACCTGCATGAACGAGTTCATATGCTAAGCTTGTGTATACAGAATGAATAATACGCATGTCCACTTTGTTTCTGCCTTTATTCTTTACTCAGATTTTTTGGGTTGGTGGTATCTTCACCCCAGTTTACCCCTCATGTATTTTACCTTCTTGTCAACGATCTGCACTCGACAACAAGAATGTCAAACTCAAAGTCTAGCACGGGCCACATAAACAAGGTTTAATTTTATGTGGGCAGGAAAAAAAAACAAACCCTTAAATTTTCATAGAAACTTAGGTTTATTTTGAAAATTACAGTATTTAAAAAACAAACAAAAAAAAACAGCATCCCCCTCTACTAAATCCCAGCCCCCCCCATATACTAAATCCCAGTCCTCTCACGCTACTAAATCCCAGCACCCCCCTCTAGCCAACAAGCAGACTCCACTCACATTGCCACATTGCCAAGTTCAACGGTCAGGATGCTCAGTGTGGTACCTTCCTGTCGTGAAGGTGTGTCCCCAGGTGGGTGGGGGGCGGTGTGCTCATTCCTCAGCGCGGCAATTGGGGAGTGGGAGTTGGGCCTCTTCCTCGCTGGGGGCAGCACCCCCACTCTCCTGCGCAGTCGCACAAGATATCCCCCTTTGGCCCTTGGAGGGTGCTCTTCAAAGATATCCCCCTTTGGCCCTTGGGGCACAAGGAGGGGTTGGACTCGGATGACGGTGATGTAAAGTTCCGTTTTAGGAAATTCCTAAGACGTTGGGGAATTGGGTTCGGGGTTTGCTATCTTGGAGAGCATGATTGGAGAGAGGGTTCCCCAGCACTGCGCGGCGCTGTTTTGTTACCAGGACACCACTTGGAATGTGCGACATACTTATGATGGCCTGGGTTGGTGGTGCTATGCCAAACGTTTTCGTCAGCGCCTCGCGGTCTAGCTCTGTAGCGTGGGATCCGATGGACATTGGCCTCTGGCTATCCATCATAACCCGGCCAGCGGCGCCTAGAGGGGGGTTGTCCCCCTTTCCAGGGTGGGGGGACGGGGCGGCTCCGCCCCATTGGCTTCGCAGCAACGGCCAGGTTGTTGCTGGAAGTTTAATGTCAGCCGATGTAAGTGGGGCGGGTCGAGCTGCTTTAAGCACGAATGCTCCCATTGCGGTGGAGCTCACTCTGCCTCCTGCTGTTTCAAGAAGAGTAGTCCGGGGAGAAAGGGGACTTGGGAGCTCAGGGCGGCGACCCCAGTGCTCGTAAGCGCGATGCACCTATGGCTCAACCGCGACTGGAATCGGCAGGCCGTGGGGCTCCTGCTGGAGGGGGTCACCCAAGGCTTCTGGATCCCCTTCTCGGAGCGCCCTTGAAGAAAAGGTTCTTCACATGTATAGCCTGGAGGAGAGTTGAGACAGGGGGTATATGATAGAAACATTTACATACTTAAAGGGAATCAACACAGTAAGGAGAAGACTATGTTTAAAAGGAGTAAAACTTCCACAATGACAGTACATAGTCTTAAATTAGAGGGGCGAAGGTTTAAAAATAATACCCGGATGTATTACGTTACTGAAAGAGTAGTGGATGCATGGCATAGCCTACCAGCTGAAGGGGTAGAGGTTAACACAGTAATGCGCGGGATATGCGTAAGGCTGTCCTACCTATAAGATGAGGCCAGGGACTAATAATAGTATTTAGAAAATTGGGCAGACTAGATTGGCCGAATGGTTCTTATCTGCCGTCACATTCTATAGTTTATGTTCCTAAGTCGGTGCTAGACTCCCCTCGGATGGTGCTGGATAAGCTCCTGCAGGAGGTTTACGTTGAGTGCTTCAGCACTTTCCTGGAGTGGGTGGTGCTGCAGGAGGCAAGGATCGGCTCGTTGCTGCATTACCTTGATGGCTTTTGTGTGTGGGCCTTCGCTGACTTGTCGACACGGCAGAGCGAGTTTTCGGGTGCTTTAGGGTTCTCTTAGAGCACGATTAGACAGTGGGGCCAGTGACGTGCCTTAGCTTCTTGGGTATCAAAATTGACTCAGTGGCCATGGAATGTCGGCTGCCGCAGGCTAAGGTTGAGGGGATGTGGCGATGGCCAGGGGTCTGAGGAGGATGCAGCTGTGCAAACTGCAGTCCCTGTTAGGGAAGTTGACCTTCAACTGCCGGATCATGCCATGGGGCAATTGTCCCGCAGGCGCCTGGTGGCCGTGACTACCGGGGCCGCAGCATTTTATCCGGCTCACAAGGCGATTGCAGGTTGACCTGGAGGTCTGGGATTCCTTCCTAACCGAGTATATTGGAGGATCACCTTGGCAGGCGCCAGAGGTGTCCAGTTCGGACTTGCCCATATATACGGACGCGGCTGGCTCTGTCTGGTTGGGGTGATTCTGGGATCGCGCTGGTTTGCTGACATGGCCGGCAGCGTGGTCCGCCTCCGGCTTGACCAGGAATCTTGCCTTCCTGGAGCTTTCCCATTGTAGTGGTATTGTGGGGTCGGGAGCTACAGGACCGTCGGGCCGTTATTCACTGTGCCAACCTCGGGGTTGTGCAGGCGATTAACCAGCATTCGGCCCCTCCTTTTCTCTTTCAGTACTTCTCCTGCTCCGGCGCCTGGGTCTTAATGTGTCGTGTAGGTCCGGTTCCTTTTGGGCCAGGTACTCCAGGTTATGGGTGGAATGGCAGGCGCAGGAGTCAGAGGTGGGTGTATTTGTGGGTTCGCCTGCTCGTTACAAGGTCTGTTGTGACTGCTGGAGCGTTGGGTCCTTGGCGGATATGTCGCGCGTGTCTGGTTTAATTTTTCTGGTAAGCCCCAGGGTTGGGTGGATGTCACCACAGAGTTTCTGGTATGGCAGGCGGTGCAGGGCCTGTGCAGTGGTCAGTTTCTGCGAATCCAAAGAGACCGGTTTGGGGGCCCTATGGGGACAATTGTGCCAGGTGCTCACAGAGGTATGCCTCGCCGTTTCTTCCTTTCTTTGGGGCCATGAAGATTGAGTTATTGGTGAGTCTGAACTGGTCAGCCGGTAGGGAGGGATTCTGTTTGCGGATGTCCGGGATTGTCAGGACCTGGTGTCGGCAAGGGCAGGTGGGTCCCGCTGGCAGCGGTCCCAGGATTGGACGCCTATCTGGTCAGGGCGATCAGGGAGTCTACGGTACGGCCATCCTTGGCTGGCTCGCTCATGGTATACGAGGAGGGGAACTTCCTCTCCCATTTTCAATTTATTTGGCGGTCATTCTTTCCGCATTGGCGCTACGACGGAGGCCTCTCAGCTGGGTATGACGAATTGGGTTGTTCGGAGTGCATAGTGTGGTCGGAAGTTGTGGCAAGGAACTATTGGCGGCATGCACACAGCCAGAGTGCGTTGGAGCGCTGCCGCGAAGGGTTCAAACGTTGGGTTTCACGGTTCGTTATAGGGGTTTGGGGGATACCCTTTTTCATAGGGTTTTGAGAAGGAGGCGGCAGATTTGTTGCAGCCGGATGGGGTTCATTTGACTGAGGTCGGGCTTGATCATTTTAATCTGGCCATTCGAGAGATGGTGGAACAGGCCATGGTTGGTCTGTTTGGGGTTCCCCGCTGATTTTAGGCTTAAAACATCGGGGTTGTGTCCTTGCCAAATAAGGGATGGTTTGGTAGATTAGCTGAAAAAGGGGGATAATAACCGGGTCTCATCCTCCCCCTGTCTCTTATGGTGAACCTGGAGGAGGTACCAGGTTGGACGTGTCCCCACTGGGTTGTAAGTCGACCGGTGGGGAGCATTATGGTTGGGCCCCACCGAGTGGAAAACCGGCTGGTGGGGAGCCCTGAAAAGGAAGATGTTTTTATTATGCCGAGGGGGGGAGGTGAGAGCCTTGGGGAAGTTAGATTGGCAAGGACGGTTTCTTCGGTTACTGTATGACTATATGCAAATTGTTTGTGTAATAAATTTATATTTATTATTTTGTTATACGTAAAAGGAGTTATACAGTATTTGGTTGTGTTAATAAATGCTGTGGCCTGTTTTCTCCAAGAAGTTGTCTGTCGTTATTTGAAGGGTTAAGTTATGATTTTATGGTGGATGAAGGGAATGCTATCCAATGCCCACTACGTACATTCATGACGTTGCTTATCTCCATGCACCTCAAGTACTCCACTGTCCAGTCGCAGCCAATGCAACAATGACCCACACACACAGACAGACACACACACACACATACTTTACTTTATTGCTCCCTACCTTTTGGAGCTGATGTGGGGCATCTCCCTGGGGTCCTTCTATCTGCTCATCACTGCTCCCTCGCGCGGTGGTGGTGCTGGAATATGACGTCATATTCCGGTGCCCGGCTTCACTACAGATGGTGCGCGCGAGGGAGCAGTGAGAAGCAGGAACACTGAGATCCATCGCTGGCCCTCCTCCATGGCCAGGAAAGTTTTAGCAGACTAGGCACCTGCAATGTGGGGAAAGCAGGTGCCTACTCTGCTATAACACTGAGCATGTACTTGCGGCTCACGGGCTGCATAGATGTCCCTTGTGGGCTGCATGCAGTCCGCGGGCTTGACATGCTTGCCTTACATTGTCGCTGTTTAGGAGGAACAATCCCTATTTTAGCCTAAATCCCCATCCCTCTTTTCTAATAGCTCCATTTTGTTGGTAAGTATGATTAATTCTGTGTAAAACAAAACTCCAAAGTAATAATAATGTAATGTGTCTCTAAACTACAATAAATGTGTTTAGCAATCATTTTGTGTAAAAAAGATACATAGCACTTGTTTTAAATTACATTTTAGTTAAATACATTGTTATTAGTAAGTCATCTAAAATGTTAAATTCATTTTAAATTCTCGCTTTAGTGAATACCACTTCAACTGAAAACATAGGAAAGGAGTTGATCTATAAATGGTACATACAGTTGTAATCAGAATTATTAAGCCCCTATTAAAATCAGGTTTATTGTCACAATTTTCACTTTTGGCTGTTTGCAATGAACAAATCAAATAAAAACAAATGAAATAGCTCAATACAACAAATGCGAGTGGGTTTCCCCAAATGCAACTGAAATGCAACTTATAATGACTTCTCTAGTCTCAAAAATCTTCAATACACTGAAAAGAATCTGTCACAACAGCACAAATATGCAAAACAGGTGAGGTCTCAAGCACACCTGATGCAACTAATCAAGGGCGTCATTAGTTGTACCTTAACTGGCTAAGGGTTTGTTGCGTGTCATGTTTGAATGCATGTTAGAAATATGGCCAAGTCAAAGGAATGGTTCACAAACCAGCAACATGTTCACTACCTTTCACAAACAAGGAACAGGATACAAAAAAAAAATAGCGAAGTCACTGAATGTTCTTAGAGACACCACTGGAAGCATGGTTCGCAAGTTCAAAGTTGAATGAACAGTGGTTACACTACCTGGAATAGAAAAAGGAAGCTATCAATGGCTGCAACCAGATTTCTGAGAAGGCAGGTTGTGAAAAACTCTTGAGTGACTGCAAAAGTCCCGCACTTGAAGCATTTGTTGTGTTGAGCTACTTCAAATGCCTTTGTTTGATTTGTTCATTGCAAACAGCTGAAAGTCTGTAAATTTGACAATAAACCTGATTTTTGATGGGGGCTGAATACTTTTGATTACAATTGTAAAGCAGAGATTGGAGACACTTTAGGTAGATATATATTAACATAAGGCAGTGAGGTTAGTTCAATAAAACAAATAACAAATATCAATATATGCTTAGTGTGTGTTTGTTTCTGAATATACTGTTTTTGTATTTTGAAATGTTTGGGTGTAGTAAGGTACTCTTTCTACTTGATATTAGGTTTGATATCCCCCCAAAAATATCAAGAGCACAGGTTTTATTAATATCTATAAAGAGAAGAACTTAGAAATTCAAAAATCCTCAAATATTGGAGTATTGGAGAACAGGTATGGGAATAATCACTTTATAAAATAAACTACTAAATATCTAAGCAAGAACATCAGTTAGCTCAGTGGTTGAGGGTGATCAGAGCTATCCGCGAGCTGTGGTGGTTGTAGTGCTTGGAGTGTTTCTTTAATATGATGAAAGTATTGTTTGATTAGCATTACACAATTCCATTGGCTCATAATTGATTTGTTAGTAATCACAGGGTTGTTTAAGGCTCAACAATATCTTCTGGTGCATCCACACAATGTCTGGAAGATTCCTATTTTAGGTGGAAACTGTCTCAGAATAATAAATGCAGAGAATCCCAGGAGATGACTAAAAAATATATTACTAGGGATGGTGTTTAAATAGCTCTCTTTTTGTGTAATTTAATACGTGGATCATTTGTCTCCCATTACTATAAAAGGCATATCACTAACATCATCTGACGAGTTTTTACAACTTAGCAAGCACTATTGAAGACTACTCAAATATCCACTCAATGGTACTAAGGTTTCCAGATTCATCATAATTCCCTGCACTCCTATTACTTCTTTTTGCAGACGTATGAAAATTACTGCTGTGCAGTATGTAGCAGAACACATGCTTCTGGAGGTCGGTCAATTCATCAAAACAATGACTTTTTCTCCTGCGGTTTATGAATCCTACACATTGCTAGACAGACAACATGACAGGGAACAAAATGGCTAAATTCTATAATAGGCTCCAGCTTCCCCAGCCCGGTCTTTTTGTTACTGTTATCCAGCTATCCAAAAGGCTTATACATTGTTCTATTTTTCTTCTCACTAGCTCATTTATTTATTTATTTAGTTTTATTTCCACTTCACTGAAATGGTCATGGTGCTTGGAGTAAACCTCTACTATGACCTCCTTGGAACCTTCTTCTCTGTAAAAGGTCTGTTGGTTCAGGGTCCACCAGATTCTCTACCCTTAACAGCATGAAGACAAAGAAGAGAAAAATCTGACAACAAAGTTCTCACAGTATCAGTAGTCAAGGGACTTCTAAAAATAAGAAAACATTCCACAACGTCAACTTACGAATCTGTGCAACATTCTCAATTTTCTTCAGGCAGGTCTAGAAAAGGGACTCATATTCCAATCTCAACTCGCCCTGATATTATAGAAAACAAGTTAGGCAAGGGACACATCTGTCATTCCTTTTTAAGAGTGATAATTCTGATAAGCCCCCCTTTTAAGATCAGTATTGCCTTCTCAATGCAGCCATGTGAACCAGTGTACTCAATTCCACAAATGATGCTTACCTTAAAGACTTTTTTTCTTGGCTCTTAACTTTGCTTGGTGAATGTGTAAAGTACAGGTCTTTTCACATGATCCTCCATTCACAAAGAGGGCAGTGATCAGACCAGTTCCGGGCTTCTCATGGAACTGGATTGATCTCATGGTTATGAAGATTCACCTAAACCAAGGGGTCAATTTTACCCTATCCTACCACACAGGAAGAACGAAACTGGCACAATTTGGATGTTACGCAATACCTAGGCACATATTTAAAAAGGACTAAGAAACTCAGAAAATCATCTAGATTTCAAGATGGATAGTTACCCATATCTAATGCTTATCAAGCCCAAGGTAAGTCTCTTCCTCGAGGGATAAAGCCTCAATCTATCAGGCCAGTGTCCAGTTTGGACTTCTTTGGCCAACGCCTCTCCAGTTACTGTTGGCAGATCAGGTATCTGGTCATCATCCAAAACTTTATGTCAAGCGTTATCAAGATGTAGAAGTAACAGAAAAGACTAATTCTGGACACAAAGTCCTTATGCATGTTTCTTAAATTAACATATTTTCTATTTTTGCATATACAGTGGTTGCTGTTTTTTCTTATCCATCTGTTAGGCTTGGGTATTAACCATCAGTATATGCTGCTATAATCTGGGAATAAGGCTTCTTGAGCTAAACCCTAATGAGACAACGCAAGTTCATGCCTTGGGACTTCGGGCACTCCGGTGATAGTAGTGGATGCACGGAGCAGTGCCCAATGGACTCAGGTAACAAGTCAAACTCTTCAAAAGGGTTTGACTCCTTACAATGGGGGGTTGGGAGGGGGTGTCCAGAGCAATCCTGGCAATATAACCAAGATACCAAGCTGTAGTGCTTTTTGGTTCTTGAAGTGTTCCTTTAACATTACAAATACATTTGTTATACAGGGTTAATTATTCCTCTCTTACCTTGTATTTCTACCAATTAAATTAATTTACAATGTTAGCCTATGAGAGCATTCACTACTTACCTTGTGCAGACTGGCACAGTAAATAAAAAGGCATATATTTGTGCTTTATTGTTGAAGAATCAAATGTGTATCTTCTGAGATATAAATCAAATCAATCTGCATGATGGGCACACAAGAGGTTGTTTGAACCACTTATTCTAAATCTTACAAGAAATACGTTTTCTTCTTGACAAGAGTACAAAAGACTACAGCAAAATACAAATGTCAAATCTAAAGCTGCATATTTATTCTGTACATGAGGATTTCTTTTACTATAGGACCAAGAACAGAAATAATAATAAAACAACTTCTCCATTTGGATCCAATCAATGCTTTGAAACTTACATTTTATGAAACCTTAATCTCCACTGCAGCTTTCTTATTTCCACAGCTTTAACATTTAAGGATTGCAGTGTTACTTCAATATGTGAAAACTGCCTGCAATCAGTGCCGCATGACAACCCTATCTAGAATGAAAAAGCCTTGACAGATTCCCTAGCTCTAGCAGCAACTGGAGAATGTTCTTCAATATGGGTGCGATCTCCTAATACTGGTCATAAAGCCAGGTAGATGCGCATGTGACTTATTTCCTTATCCAAATAAACCCAGATGTCTCTTGAACCACAACGCCCAATTTTGATCAGTAAAAGTCTTCTAATGGACAATGGGATTTGTATTTTTTCAATTACTTTATCAAACCCTGTTTTCTCTCCGGTAGCGCACCTAAAATAAGATGCCATTAAACGAACACTCCAAGCAACAGTCTCACATACAGAACAGAGACATTTGCAACATTAAGCAGATTCTGAAATCTCAGATGCTCTGGACTTGACTTTCAGGCTCTTTGATTATTAGAGTTGTACCCAACAAATACAGAACTGCCACAGGCTGTGTGTCCATGAGATCTTAACATTAATAAAGAGCATAGATGCTGCACAGCATATATGTGGGGCTGTGTGCCCTAAGAACAAAGCACTTGTAAATTTTGACACAGATGCTTAAGGGTACTCCCAAGGCTCCATAAAAACTAAATATAATCACCCCTCTTTACATATTTCACAACAGAGTACCAAACTTCTTCTGGAAGTCACATCAGCATAACAACTGTGAGTAGGGAGCTTCATGAAATGTGTTTCCATTGGCGAGCAGCTGTAAACAAGCCTCACATAAACATGCACAATGCCAAGCTTCGGCTGTAGTGGTATAATGCACGGCACCACTGGAATTTGGAGTAATGGAAATATGTTCCGTGGAGGGAAGAATCTTTCTTCACAATCAGCAACCTGATGGAATAATTTGGGTGTCGGAGATGCCAGGTGAGTGCCACCTACAGTAATGTACAGTGCTTCCTGTATAGTTCGGGGGAGGAGGAATAATGGTCTGGGGCGGTTTTTCAGGTTTGGGCTAGGCCACTTAGTTCCAGTGAAGCACCATCTTAATGCTACAGGATACAAATACATTTCAGATATTTAAGTGCTTCTAACTTGGTGGCAAAGGTTTGTGGAAGCCTTTTTCTGCATGATTGTGTTCCCGTTTACAAACTACAGTCCACGAAGACATGGTTTGATGAGTTCAGTGTGACTAATGGTTAATAGGGTATTTGTATGGATGTATATTTGACATGTAAGGGGCCCATAGCCTACATTTGACTGAAGGGCCCAGACTGCAGTCAGTATACCTCCAAAGCTCTATTTAGGTGGAACAGTCCTTATTTTAAGTGGAAATCCCTCTGTCCCTATTTCCCATCCTAAATGCCTTCTCTTGAAAGAGCACCTTATTGTTGATTTGTCAGAGTTTATAACAGAGTTCTACAGCAATAATACACACAGTAATGTGTCTTTAAAATACAATAAATGTGTTTAGAAATCAGTTTGTGTAAACAAGATTCAGCGTTTTTGTTCTAAATTACATTTTAGTTATAATATTTGTTATTAGTAAGTCATCTATAATTTTTCAGAACAGTCCTTCCCCTGGCCAAACTTCCAGTCACCACCTTATAATTAAAGTCCCTTTCTGTTCATTTAAAATGTTGGGAGGTTTGAGTAAATGATAATCATTAGAACTGCTGTTCAACAATGGAGGCACACTGGTTGGATACCATTGCTAATTAAATTTTATAATTATAGAAATCGGGGCTAAAAATGGCCACTTGCCCACTACAATAGCCAAGTGAAAATTCAGTCATAGCGAATAGAAATGTACCCCCGGTTATTGTGCTATGGACCCTGCAGTGATAACTTTTAAGTTTATCCAAAAGCAGAAGACTTCAATTTGATGGAAATGGCCCTGCAGCATGACCTAATATTGACATAATCTTTGGTATTGACATCACACCTAGGTCATACTTGCCTTTCCAAGAATGAGTGTTTCAGTGTGATTCGGGGGTATTTAGCCTAGCATACCAAAATTCAGCTTACAGGAGTTTACCGTTGACACATTTTACTTTTTCTTTTGTCAACATCAGACTGATTTTATTAAAGGACACGGAGGCTCATATTATACTTATCTCTTTCTTTATTATACCTCAGCAGCAAAGAGAAGGTATAAACATTCATAGAAAAAAAGTTTTAACAGGTTCTCCAAGGGTTAACCCAACATCATACCCTTAACCAATAGGAACAGTCCCTCTATCTATAACTATTCATGTGACCTTTCCTCTTCTCTTTCTTTGCTGCTGCCTCAGCTAAGTACCATCTAATTTTAGCTCTCCTCAGAGCACCCTCTTTGAATTAGTATTGTATTGTTTTGTTTATGTGTCTTTAATATTTTATGTCTTAGGTATTTGTGTGGGTTACTTAGCCGGTTCTTAGAGCCGGCGCCTGTCTGCCTGTCTGTCTGCCCCCTGCGGCGGTTACCCCCTCCCACACCTTACCGGGTAGTTTATTACCCGTTCGTTGTTGTCCTCTGAGAGCCGCGGCGGCCGTTTCGCGGCGCGAGCGCTCTGACTCCAGAGCCCGCTCGCGCATGTGCAATAACGGCCGCTCGGCACTGCGGCCATTTCCAGTAAGCCGGCCGGGCTTTGCCGCGCTTTTTTCTGCGCCCGCCCTATAACAGAGAGCGGGCGTTCTCTGATTGGCCAGCTGCATTGGCTGGCAGCTTACCAGTGCTCCCTGGCGGCCATTCCGGAGGGAACACTTGGTAAGCTGACAGCCTTTGTTTGTGCCTGCATCCTCCCACTTGCACTGTTCTCAGAGCTCACTGCCCACAGTTGGTTTCCTGTTAGCCCCTGCACAGGGTCACTAGGGGCATTTTTTCTCTCACACATTGGTGCCAGTCTGGTACAAATTTCATTGTGTCACTTAGTATACCCAGCCATTTAGGTGTCACTGCTCCCACACCCCAGGTGTCTTTTGTTACAACCTACCTGTCATGCAACACCTTAGGGACCACGGGGTTGCCACCCCCACTGATATCAGTAAGGACACCATTCATCACGTGCCACAGATAACACGTCCATGCTCGCCACTGCGAGAAGACGTGGCATCCGTGGATCAGTTAAACTCGGAGGAGTTTCACTCACTCCTGGATGCAACCATGACCAAGTCGGTCACTCAAGCTATAGTCACGGCTATGGGGGCGATGTCTGAGACCCTGACACAATCCATTAGTAATGCCATACTGGCGTCTAGCAGCCATCCCGGCGGCCCCCGCTCCATGGCCCAGCCTGACAAACCTGTGCCCCTCAGCGGCCGTAAGGCTACGCAGAAGACCCACCATATGGGCAAACACACCTCCAAAAACAGCTCGACGGACAGGATACGCCCTGTCACTACTGAGGACGTGGGGCCCCCCACGCAAAAGAGCCACCCACCGGGCAAAAGCGGTGAGGACGTGGAAATGGGCAAAAGCCCAGACAGAGACATCCGACTCTGGTTCGGACATAGAGGAGGTAATGAGTGAGTCCGAGGAACTCGGCTCGTTGGAATCAGGGAACTCTTCCCCTGAGCGCAGCCTGGCAGTCATACCAGCTAAGGGAAAAACGCCCACGGATGATTCCATCATCCTAGACCCCCAGGGCGAGCCCCTATTCAACCCTGACGACCTGCAGCACCCCAGGTCCACAGACTGGTTCCCAGCTGACCATGTGGCCCAATATATTGCGGCCAGAATAAGGAAGCCCCTGGATAAAACGACCAGGAATAAGTTAAGGGCAGAGTGCCCACGCCCGACGGTCCCTTATATGGCGGGCGCCACGCCAGAGGTGGACCCCAAGATTGCCCAGTTCCTGGGTAAGGCTGGCTGGAAAGCCAAAAAAGGGCTAGACTACTCCCTGCGCCACTGCCAGGATAAGGTGCTCGACTCCTTGGGCCCTAGCGCAAAGATCTTCGACTTGGTCGAAGAGACAATCGCAGGTGGCGCACCACTAGACCCCTTAGTGATCCGAGAGTGGGCACAACGCTCTATCTGTCTCATCGGCAACTCAAATGCCGCACTTAGTACTGAGGGGCGGAAGGCAATTCTCATGAAAATAGACCCCAAGCTGGTCAACATGGCCATAACCGAGCCTGGACCCTTTTCGGAGACAATTTTGTAAAAGAGCTGGGCACCTACGTGAGCACATTTACAGCCCTGGATAAGGCACAAACAAACCTAAAACGGATGTTCTCCCCGAAGGTTTTTGGAGGGGCTGGCAGGTACAGGGGCCGCCTGTCCAGCCGCCCATCACGGAGCTCCCACCGGGGCTACCGGGGCCCCACGACACCAAGAGTCCCACAGGCGGAGACCAGAACCCCCGCACCTTTCTTCCCGGTCAGGGGCAGATCATGGCAGCCCAGAGGTCACATGGGTGCCACATACGGCCGACGACCTTATGGTAAGTGCTTTTCCCTTTCCCCTCTCTCATACCTCACACGTAGGGGGCAGACTTTCCAAATTTATCGGGGCATGGCACAGACTCACGTCCGATGCCTGGATTCTCGACACAGTAGCGGGGTACCATATAGAATTCGTCACACACCCAATCCAATCCACAATGCCACGGCGGATGGTGTTCGCCCCTCAGGATAGGGAACTGGTGTCGAAAGAAATCATAGCACTGGCGGAGAAAGGTGCGATCTATCAGGTCGCGCCCCACTCCCCAGGGTTCGTGAGCAATCTGTACCTGGTCCCCAAGAAAGGCGGTGAGGTAAGACCAGTGATCAACCTACGCCCACTCAATACATTTGTACGATATCATCACTTCAAAATGGAAGGGATTCATTGCCTGCGAGATCTTCTCAGGCTGGGGGATTGGATGGTCAAATTAGACCTTCAAGATGCATATATCTCACCATCCCCATTGCAAAGGAGTGTCAGCATCTCCTACAATTCAGTTGGGACTCCCAGACCTGGAGGTTTCAGTGCCTTCCGTTTGGCCTATCGTCAGCACCATGGTGCTTTACAAAGCTGCTGAAGCCAGTGGTTGCGCTGCTGCGCAGCAGGGGCGTCCGCATGATCATATATCTGGACGACATGCTGATCATGGCCCAAGACACCCTACTGCTACAACAACACTTAGATTGGACAGTAACTTTACTACAGAACCTGGGATTCCTAATCAATTGGGAGAAGTCGGTACTAACCCCCTCCCAGTCCTTAGAATTCCTAGGGTTCGAAATAGGGGCGGTCTTAGGGACCCTAAGCCTGCCACCCACAAAGATGAAAATCATCAAGAAGGAGATCCGCAGAACATTGGCTCGACCAACACTTACGGTCAGACAGCTAGCCAGGATAATTGGACTCCTTTCCGCTTCCATACAAGCGATCTTCCCGGGGCCTTTACACTACAGGGCCCTACAGCGACTAAAAGCCGCACAACTGCGCTCAGGACACTCCTACTCAGACTCTGTGCCACTCGATCACACAGCCAAGGAGGAGCTCAGGTGGTGGCTGCAGCACATGGAAGCGTGGAACGGCAGAGCAATCTTCGGCAACAACCCAGATTGCGTAACAGAATCAGATGCCAGCACACGGGGCTGGGGAGCGCGCTGTGGACATACCTCCACGGGCGGAAAATGGTCCCAAGCAGAAAGGACACTACATATCAACTGCCTGGAATTAATGGCGGGTTCGTTCGCACTGAAGAGCCTCCTGGGTCCCGCAACGCATTGCTCCATCATCCAGAGAATGGACAACATCTCAGCCGTCCAGTACATCAACCGCCTTGGCGGCACCAAGTCCAAAATTTTAGCAGACTTAGCCACAGAATTTTGGCAGTTTTGCTTAGAACGCAGCATCACAGTACGAGCCGAATACATCCCGGGACTTTCGAACACCGTAGCAGATTGGAACTCCAGACATCTGCGGGATACCAGCGATTGGCGCCTGAACTGAGAGACGTTCCTACGATTGCACACTCTATGGGGTCCGATGTATATAGACCTGTTTGCGTCACGGTTGAATACACAACACCCGGAATTCTTCAGCTGGAGACCGGACCCAGATGCGTTAGCTACGGACGCATTCCTACAACCATGGCCGAACAAACGATTATACGCGTTCCCACCGTTCGCCCTACTTGCACGAACGCTAGTGCACCTCGACCACACACGGACGTCCCTAGTCCTCATAGCTCCATTCTGGACTGCACAGCCTTGGTTCCCTTTACTCATGGAGATGTCCATAGATCTCCCCAGAATGCTGCCCGAGGACCCACATCTCCTCTCAGACCCAGATGGGAACCCACACCCTCTGATGGCGCAGGGACAACTCAGGTTGTTAGCGTGGCTCCTTTCCGGGGTCCCTGGGTCGTGCCAAACGTTCCGCAAACAACTCTCGAACTCCTGGCGGGAGCCTGGGCTCCGGGAACACGACGATCCTACTCTAAAGCTTGGAACATCTGGAGTGGTTGGTGCATGGAACAACACGTGGATCCCGTATGTGCCCCTGTAAACCACCTGTTGTGTTTCATTACACACCTATACGACCAAGGACTTGCATACCGGACCATCAATGTATACAGGTCAGCGATCTCGGCGGGATACAAAGGTATAGAAGGATTTCCAGCAGGCAAGCATCTGTTGGTATGCAAGCTCTTACGCGGTATTCGATTGGCAAGACCACCGCGACCCCGATATAGTACAGTATGGGACGTGAATGTGGTCTTAAATCTTTTGGAACTATGGCCACAGAACTCTGACCTCACATTGAAACAACTTTCAGCGAAACTGGCCATGCTCTTATGCCTAATATCCTGCAAAAGAGTCTCGGATGTCCGGGCATTGGACGTCGACGCACGCACGTTCACTCCAACGGGAGTAACTTTCAACATTTCCAGACGAACAAAATCAGCGACAACATCAGTGTCATATCCAGCATTCCCGCACAACAAAAACCTGTGCCCGATTGCCTGTCTCAAAGAATACGAAACACAGACACAGGCATTTCGAAACTCTGAACAACATGAACTATTTCTGGCCGTCAATTCACCACACCAGCCAGTATCTTCCATAACGATAGCCCGATGGGTGAAGTGGATAATGGCCTCTGCAAACATAGATACTTCGGTATATGGGGCACACTCCACTAGAGGAGCTATGGCATCTAAAGTATTCAACTTGGGATGCAGACTGGAAGATTTGTTACGGACGGCAGATTGGTCTCATGAATCCACCTTTAAGGAATATTATTTTCACCCTACAGACCACGTAGTATCAAGAGTCATTGCAAAGCTTTGAACTAGCATAATATGAGCCTCCGTGTCCTTTAATAAAATTACCAGATTTTACTAATTACATGACGTAAAGTCATGATTTTATAAAGGACACGGAGGCGAATATTGGCCCACCCGGTAAGTATATCAGGCATATATCAGTGAAAGTAGAGTGACAGGCCCACCCAATAAACAATAAAATAAGGGTCACTGTGGTGTCTTATTTCGTCTCGATTTAATTCGTTTTTTATTTAAGACAACTGTACTAGTGAGTCTGTAGTACATCAGGCATATGCTAAGATTTCGTCACTAACGTTGTGGCAAACAGTTCCTCAGACCACATTTTACCATATTTTTCTCTATCCCATTACAGTTTAATTCGCAATATGCGACACCCTGGATGACCAGTTGTCACCGCAGTTTACGCAGACAAGTTCTTACAAGTTCGGGATATGGGAAAGTTCGACACAACGGATGAAGTGTTCCAGTGTCTCCTCAAGTTATAATGATACAGCTTCGGCATGACCAAAGAAAGAGGAAGAGGAAAGGTCACATGAATAGTTATAGATAGAGGGACTGTTCCTATTGGTTAAGGGTATGATGTTGGGTTAACCCTTGGAGAACCTGTTAAAACTTTTTTCTATGAATGTTTATACCTTCTCTTTGCTGCTGAGGTATAATAAAGAAAGAGATAAGCATAATATTCGCCTCCGTGTCCTTTATAAAATCATGACTTTACGTCATGTAATTAGTAAAATCTGGTAATTTTTAAGCATCTCAATATTGTTTTATTTTTTTTTATTATTGTGAAATATTTTTTGAGCCAGGTTATATAATAAACACAAAATTATAAGAAATTTTGAATACCTTTTATTATATCCATATACAATTGATCTAGCACTTATATACACTGGAAACCCCTAGATATTGTATAAAATAATTCTGTCTTATATAAGTGCTTAATAAAGGCTTGCCATTTTCCGTCTGCAAACATAGACATAAAGACATTGTCCAGTACATTTGTCTGACAGGAACATCTGCAAAACACATCCATTCTTATCTTCCAATGGCATTAATGCGATAAAAAAAGACCTACTTTTGTGGGATTGTAGTCTTTAGTGACGTGCAATGTCTCGCACATGTTCAACATTAATTCATCATTACAATGTTATGACCAGGGCCTCCAGAGTAACTTATGTTTCTAGGTGAACAGCGTGCCATAAAGGTGAGGGTGATAAAACATGTTTAGGTATAGTCTGACAGACAATGTGGATTATTTATACCAATATCAATTCACAGGAGCCAAGTCAGCACATGCAGTAATATTTAGTAGTGACAGGCGCACAGTTAAAACTAGAATCATCATGTCAGCTCATAATTCACTGCGAAACTCAATATTCTTATTACGGCACACAGCACTTTAGCCTAGGTTAACTAAAGTGTGCTCTGTGTAAACCCTACATAAAATAAAATCTTTGAAATTCTAACAAAATCCAAAAATATACTGTACATGTGACAAAATATGGAACTACATTTTCTGATGTAAGTGCTGATCTTTGCCATCAAATTGTGCAATTTCCCATCAGCAATCAGTTGAGATAGCTGGTAGGAACAGGGATTATCTTGCATATTTAGCAACAGATAAGGATGGCACTTTATTGTGCAAGTGCGAGACTATCTATGGAAAATCCTGCAGGATATTCCATAGATCCTGATTTGTATTACATGCATGCAGGTGAGGCTGGTAGAAGATTAAAAAGCATGTTGGGCACCCAATCAGTACCCTATAAGATGACGTCACCTGTTCAGTGTCTGTGCTGCTTTATACAACATTTTTTAAAAAGGCTTCTTCTCATATTATTATTATTATTACTACAGCATATTCCGTAGCGCTTTACAATATTATCAAAGGGGGAGATTTAACAATAAATGAGACAAATACAAAAACTTACAGGAACAATAGGTTGAAGAGGGCCCTGCTTAAACGAGCTTACAGTCTATACCCATAAAAGAGTTAGGAATGTTTAAACATAGGGTCTGTTAATATAAACGAGCATGGTTTTCAGTTCTCTCAAAATTAAGGAACTTGCCTATTTCTTTTTTTTAAGATTTAAAAGAATTTTATTGAGAAGCTGGGAGTGTATAAATAAAGATAAAAAAATGAAAGGACAAATAAGTAGTTAAAAAAAAGCCAAACCAAACAGATCAATTTTTTCAATAGAGAGCAATACCAAAACAAAAAAAGAAGAATACACATAGGCAAAATTAGATAAAATAATGCATAGCAACATAGAATTATAACTATTAAGAAACAAGCTGAAGTGACTGAGAAAAAATAACGGGAGAATTACTTCAATACATAAGGCCACCACTTGCAGTATGAGCTTAGAGAAGAACCTACTTTTTATTGTAAATAATCCAAAATTAATTCATTTCTAGCAAACAAGACGCATTAGTTAAAGGGACACTCCATTGCCCAAATAAAATAAAATATAAATCACAGTCTAGTTAGTAGATTTTCCCCAAGGAAAACATGCATGCATTTAACTATGCATTTTTTCATTCGGGTTATGAAACGGATCCCCTATACTCCGGCTGAGTATATCTGTTATAAACCATGCACAGTAGTGATTATAGCCCAAACCACCCTAGACGTGATGAAGGGTAGAAACAAATGTGTTTAATCTGGCCAACTGGCTCACTTATATACAAAATCAAGAGGCAGAAAAACACGCCCAGAACATTCCCACAAAATGGTTACAAATTAAAGTGTCAGCATGACTAGGCATAAAGACATAAAATATTAAAACGCATGAAAATACATAATAAACATATAGGAACCCCCAGAAATATGATATCCCTGGATAGCCTGGATCTGAGTGCCCAAATCCCACATATACAGTCGAATCGCCATCGGGGTAAAGTTTTGACCAACCGCTCATGAGGCGTATGCCCAAATTAGTTCCATAGTTTCAGAGGTAGCGGTCGGTCAATTTCGGGAGTTCCAAAATGAACAAAATGACGAACGGTTCCCCTGGCTCATAGGTAGCGTTTATTTGTTTTGCTCATACTAACAAACCTACCGAACAGCGTTCTCCTGGCTTGTCACGGAAAGAAGCAGGCGTTCGTATGGTTTAACAGGTGTTTGCGGGGTCGAGTGTCCGACTTAGAGTTCCAGACACTCAACGACCAAGTATTGCTGCCTGCGTTCGTGCCACATAATGGCCGCCATTTTCTCCAACCCGTGGCATTCGGTTATACGGCCACACAGAGAGAGCACTTAATCCTGTGGTTTGCTTACAGTTAAAGAGCCAGGGGGTGGTTGGTGTTCGGTAGATTTATATGCCAAATGCAGAGAAAACATTAATGTGCACTGATATCACGGGCCTGGTAGGCCGCATTGGCACAGTGGAAATTGTCTCAGAGCATCACATCCAAACCGTAGTGCAACTCCAGCGGAACATCCAAACACTCACCAAAAAACAAGCTGACTCCGACATGCGATTCATCCAGCTAGCAGACACGTGACGCCGCACCAACTTGAAAATCCAGGGAATACCGGAGGGTGTACCCGCAGCAGAGCTCCCACATCTACTTCGGAGACTGCTAGCCCAACTACTGGAGCCCAAGCCGTCCAGGTGCCGAAACCTAGGGGAGCACCTGACACAGCGTCAAGGGACCTGATTGTGAGGTTCCGCAGTGGAGCAGACAAGGCATTGGTTCAGGCGGCACTGAAGGGGACTACCAGATTCAATTTTGAGAACATGGCATTATCCTTCTTCACGGACTTATCCGGTGAGACACTACACTGGCGCAAAATGATGAAACCCCCCACAGCCCTGCTCCGCAACCATGGCATAGAATACCGCTGGAGATCCCCACGTGCATTGCAAGTAAGACAGGGAGAAGTGTTACACACTACCTCGGACATATGCAAAGCCCCCACACTCCTCACCAGGGGACACCCTATTCCAACATGGCACCCAACCAGCGACACCGGTGGCCCACCACTGGGACATGGCAGAGATCACGCCATTCACCCCAAAGAGAGCTATACCAGCAGCACCCGCCGCTGCAACTTCTGACAGTGGACAGTAGGAGACTGGCACCTTCCTCCCTAAATACACAGGATTTACCCAAGTTGCGGTTCAAAGTTGGTCAGATTTTGCTTTGCAAACTATTTTATTTTTTTTTCCAACAGGCCCACCGAGCCAAACCACAGGTCAGACCCGTAAAGGTCATAGCCGGCCCTCAGCCAGAGCCTCATATCTCACTCCCTCGTCTCCAACACCACGGCCCCAGAGACCGCATACCATATGCCTCAAGATTATTTTAATGTTTATCTCTTCTATTGCGTTCCTAAAATGTCTCTAGAAATTGCAGCGTATGTCGCTTATAATCCTTGCTTCAAAAAAAAAAAAAAAAATTATTTTAAAAATGCCCATGTTTCATAAGTGCCACAACACTGTCATAACCGGCTTGATTTTTCATTGTTTACTAGATATGATGTAGCTCTGCAAGCGTGCTGTACTCAAATGCACAAAAACAAAACAAACAAAAAAAAACAGCTTGCAAAAGTTGCAGATATCCTGACTGCAACCTTTGCAAGCACCCATTCTACACAGACTTTCTGTGGCTGCCCAATCACAAAATTCCCAATGCAGCTCAGTGAGAAGTCTTTGCAAGACAGGTGTTCTGATCAATTGCTGCCTCGAGCTAACTAAACCAGAAAGTAACAGGACTGGTTGTCTGATTGACAACCAGGGGGTGCAGCAAGGTCGACCTAAAAAAGTGCCAATTTCTATTTACGTTGGCATTTTTTGTAAAAATAGAAAAAGAGCATATACTAGTCAAACATCTAAACAAAGGATCTAAAGTGTGCCTTTTATATATAAAATCTAGTACAGGTAGTCCTCACTTCACAACCGACCTGTTTTAAGACTGCACGCACTTACGACCAGCTCTCTAGCGTGGGGATTCGAGGTATTCCACATGTTAGAGAGCTGGTAATATGTTCAGGGAATTTTCCCCAAATATAGATTTCAGCGATTCACTAGTGAACTGGTCTGTGTTTGGGGGAATTCCCCTGAATGTAGACCTGCTCTCTTACTCGCGCTTACTCACCAGCGCATCCCCACTTACTGATCAATTTGTTTTGAGAGTCGTAAGAACAGAACCCAGTCAGTAAGTGAGGACTGCCTGTCAGCAACTTAAAATTGCACTGCTGCTGTAATTTGATCGCTTTAAAAAAAAAAAAAAAAAAAGAGTGATCACAATACTGTACAGCTTTTACCTAGTGAGAAATAGTGTGTATATATATATGACTTATATTAGTATTTTTTTAAGTTTACTACAGCATGGGAATTCACAAAATTGCCAGACAGAGTGTGTGATCTGGACTGTCATGATAAGATTCCTTTCCATGAATGATGTAATCCCTTTTCACAGATGAGTAATTACAAAGCTCTTGGTAAATGTCATGTTTATCAAAAAAACACTACTTTCAATTAGTTGACAGAAAAGTGAAATGTGTGTTCCCTGTAGTCATACTTCAGTAACTTTTATAGTATAGGAGGCAGCTGATTGTCAATCTGAACATCACATCGAGGGATTCACTGTCCCTCAATGAGGCCAAGACATGCCCCAACCTAATACGACAAGATGAAGAAATGTCGAACCACATTCAAGTAATATTACCGAAATTTACAGAAATGTGGTCTAACTGGCAATGAAGCACCCAATCAAGATATAGTAGATAGGTTAATTTCACAATGGTGACCTTGTTCTGCAGCACTTCTGCTCTATCTCCACTTAATGTTACGTTTTGTGTTGAAATGAATGAACTTACTGTTTTCAATGTTCAATGTATGCATGGCACAAAAACGCTGTGTAAACTTATTCTTAGAGGTGAATAGTTTTTTTGACATTAAAGCAATTAAATAAAAACAATAAACATGGGGTGGGGGGGAAATAACAAAAACTTCTATTAAAACTCTGATGCGTAAAGACAATGATACCCAGTGCTGATATACTGGGGAAAATGTCAAAAGATCAATCAATAATAAAAAAATAAATCTTAATAAATGGGGCTATAATACATTGTAATTACACAGGTACTTCAAACAATGAAAATGCTGCATATAGTTTAGTCCACCAATTGAACATAGCAATGCTGATGGTTGAAAAACGATGAAATATCAGAAAGCCATAGTGCACACTGTAAAATATCTTAATTCTCACATAAACATTTTGTTGGACTAACTTATATGTAGAATCTACTGATGGATTAACTTAAAAGCATTGCCTTTGTATTGATTAAAATAACTGTGCAATTATTTTGTAGTATATCCCCCATGATTGAGATATATTTATTCTTTTACTATACAAAGTATGAATTTATGTGATATGCATGCTCAACAGCCTTCCAATGATTTCAATGTTCTCAGCCATGGTGTGCGGATTTATTATCCATTATATAAAAAAGTTATATATGATGTCTCTCAGAGAATCCTGAATAGCTGGCTAATGGCTTCATTTTTCTCCCGTCATGAGCACCCAAAAGTTGAGTAATATGCACCCTTACTTGAGTAGCAATCTCTACCAAAACAGCAACCAGTTTGGTGTCTGAATAACTTCACTAAAAAGCGAGATCCATCATTCAGTGAATAACAAAGAACAATGGTTTTCTAGCATCTAATGCAATTTCTGGACAAATACAGAGTAAATCCTGTGATTTAGATTTAAAAAAAAAAAAACCATTAGTGTTAAAAATTAAAAACAGTTTTCGGGTGTCGATTTAGCAGAACTCATATTTCCTATCTGGACATCCTGCTGTGAATGTTAACCCAATTTAAAAAGAGCTAAAGTTTCAAACTATATATATATATATATATATATATATATATATATATATATATATACACATGATAGAATATCCTGCTGCCCGGAAATGAATATAACCTGGTCATGTATCTCTAAAGCTAACTTTGATTTGGCTGACATTTTTGGTCTATGTACACAAAATCAAAATGAAATATACCAGCTTTGCCAGAAAGAATCCTTCTAATTTCCTCTGCACACTTTAGAGAGAACTGGAGTTGGGACATTCTGACTTTACAAAACTAATACTGTGTCCTTAGGTCAAGTAATTCTGCTTTGCCGCAGCTGAGCACAGCTTCTCAGAAGCTCTTTCCTGAAACCCTGCAGGCAATGCACCTTTCAGATTGTAACATTAAATCCATAGCAAAACAGATGTCTGCATGTAGTGTAACACATAACATCAATATATGCTTTTCATTATTAGCTACAGCTGGCATTTTTTAACCACCTAAGGACCACATGAGGGTCTATGCCGTCATGAAGTGCAGGGCTTTAATTAATTCCCAGTGACGGCATAGATTGTCATGCAGTAAAGGTACCAGCAAGGATATAACCTGGGGGTACCCTCTGTAAGCTGGGGCCACACTTAGTGGCCCCAGAATGACACATGAGCTAGGAGCAGCGCTCAAAGTGAGTGCTGCTCATAACTCTTTAAATACTGCAGCTGAGCGATATTGCTCAGCTACCTTATTTCTTTTACTGCCCCAGCCTCCAAAGTAAAAAAAAAAAAAAATAATAATAATAGTTTGTCCTAGGTTTGTGATAAAATGGTTAAAGGAACACTATAGTCTTACAGACCACTTCAGCTCAATGAAGTGGTCTGGGTGCCAGGTCCCTCAGGTTTTAACCGTTCAGATGCAAACATCCAGCCTCTAGTGGCTGTTAATCTTTTTGCCTCCATCGAGCAGAGCTTCCATAGGAAAGCATTGAGAAATGTTTTCCTATAGACACTTTGAATGCGCACGCGGCACTTGCCGCGCATGCGCATTCGGCTCCGCTGACGGACGAGGGAACCCTGCGCTGGATTAAGGTAAGTGGCTAAAGGGGTTTTAACCCCTTCAGCGCCACGGGAGTGGGACCCTGAGGGTGGGGGCACCCTCAGGGCACTATAGTGTCAGGAAAACCGCTTTGGTTTCCTGACACTATAGTGATCCTTTAAATGAAAAGTGTCAAAAATTTTAAACACTCACCTGATTCCAGTATTGATGTCCCTCTGTGCTGGGACTTGCTCCACATCTTCCAACATCAGTTAATGGTGGGGAACTAATGTGCATGCACGCCGGTTTCCGTGCAGGTTAGGCCTACCATGTTTTGCTTTTCTATAGGGTTTTCCCTGATTCTGGATTTCATCATGCAGAGCTTGAGGACATCCAGCATTGCTGCATGGAGACTGCCTCTAGTGTCTGTCTGACAGAGTGCCACTAGAGGCAGTCTTAGTGCTGTAATGTAAACATTGCAGTTTCTGTAAAACTGCAACGTTTTACATTGAAGGATTAAGGGGGAAAGGGACAGTGCACACAGATCTGTTCAATGAGATGAAAAGGTCTTGGTGACTATTGTGTCCTTTTAAGTGGTTAAGAAACTTTTGTAAAGGAAGTAACTATCAACATGGTCAAGACAACTAAAAACTCTGTTATACTATCTACCTGTATAGAGTATAGAATCTTAGAATATTTAACAGGCGTATATCATGCCAACTGCTGCCAGAATCATGTTTCAATAATATGCCCTGCTGTTCAGTAAAATTAGGCATTATACAAGTAAAGATGGCATAATCAGACAGAGAGTAACCAAAATAAAACTGCCACATTCTTTACATTGTATAGGATGACAATTCACAGCTCTGGGAGGTATGTCCATGCGAACAGGGCAACAGGGCACACGGACATACCTCCCAGAGCTGTGAATGGTCAGCTCCTGAACCAAGAAAGTGATCATCTGTTTCACAAGGAGCTGTGGGACACTGCGCAGCCATTGCTCGCAGTGACCAGTGGTTAAGAGAGAAGAAAATCAAGCTTCTTCCATCCTTAAGATATTTTATATAACGAAAAAAGCATTGAAAGTCATGTTTCAGTGTTTGCAGATGACACAAAACTCTGTAAAGTAATACAATGTGAGCAAGATATTACTTTGCTGCAGAGGGATTTAGATAGACTGGGTGACTGGGCACTCAAATGGCAGATGAAATTTAATGTTGAAAAATGCAAAGTTATGCACTTCGGCGTAAAGAATGCAAAAGCAACGTATACTCTTAATGGAAGCGAATTAGGGATAAAACAACACACGAAAAGGACTTGGGACAACAATGTGCAATGCCAATCAGCAGTGGCCAAGGCCAGTAAGGTATTGTCATGCATGAAAAAGGGCATTCATTCTCGGGACGAGAATATCATTTTGCCTCTTTATAAATCACTGGTAAGACCCCATATTGAATATGCTGTGCAATTTTGGGCACCTGTTCTAAAGAAGGATATTATGGCACTAGAAAAAGTGCAGAGGCGGGCTACAAAATTAATAAAAGGAATGGAACATATCAGCTATGAAGAAAGGTTAACAAATTTAAACCTATTTAGTTTAGAAAAACGTCGCCTGAGAGGGGATATGATAACATTATACAAATATATTCGGGGCCAATACAAACCATTGTGTGGAAATCTATTCACAAACCGGACTTTACATAGGACACGAGGCCATGCGTTTAGACTGGAAGAAAGAAGATTTCGTCTAAGGCAAAGGAAAGGTTTTTTACTGTAAGAACAATCAGGATGTGGAATTCTCTGCCTGAAGAAGTGGTTTTATCAGAGTCCATACAGATGTTCAAACAGCTACTAGATTCATACTTGCAAAAACAGAATATTCAAGGATATAATTTTTCAATGTAGGTTAATAGCTGCTTGAACCAAGGATAAATCTGACTGCCATTTTGGGGTGAGGAAGTAATATCATCCTAGTTTTTTGCAAAATTGGAAGTGCTTCAAAGTGGTTTTTTTCTGCCTTCTCTTGGATCAACAGCAAAAAAGAAAATGTGTGGAAGGCTGAACTTGATGGACGCAAGTCTCTTTTTAACTATGTAACTATATGCCTACAATCAATTACCATCGTGTGAGTGCATTTTAGCCTGCAGCGCAAATTTGGTGTTTTAATATACTACACTATTATGTGTTTTCATATTTCGAGATTGTATTTCTTAAGTTTCAGTATACATATGCAAGCAGGAGTGCTATGAACAGTGTCACATGTACACACCTGAACGTGGACTGTTCCTTGTTTACTATCCCTAGTCTGTGCAGGCAGAGACAAGCAGCATCATGGCATTGTTCACTCACATCATCTGTGAGATTTGCCATTGTATGACCTGTGGATGTGCAAACTAACCCACATCATTCCCATGTTTGCATGTTTCTTGTCTGGCTCTGGTTTGGTGCTAGTGTGATGTAGTATTGTCCCCTTGACTCATTGCCCATTTTTCTTGTTTGACTGTATTACTTCTATTCAATCAAGCCATGCTTTACTCTCACTTTTGCAGAGTTTTGAATGTAAGTTTCATCTTACATTTCACTTAAATTTTGGCCTGAACTTTCAGATTCACTTTAAATTTCTGACAATTCTCAGTTTAAATAACATGCTCAGTATTCACAAACGCTATCACAAATGAGCTATACATTCAATAGAAAAGTAAAGGGCTGGCTTACCAGGAAGGTCTGAAAAGAGAAGGATACATTCATTAAATCCATTTGCTAGAAGCCGGACTCTCAGCTGTTGCAAAATAGCAACTCCAATGCAGAATGGGAATGAAGCGTTTCCTAAAAGCAATGTGTCCCACAGGTGGAATATCTTGTGCAGTGGAAAAACATCTGCAAAGCAAAAAAGAAAATTGTGTACATAGTGAAAATACATGTCGGTGAGCGAATACAATTCATAGGGGTCTAGAACATATGTATAACTTGGGGTTTAGCTGGGACATTTAAGCATCATAGTCTGCATAGCTAACTACAGCTAGTGGACGTGGGGCTGTCAGTAACAGGGAGGAATCTAAACGTACAGACCTAAATAACAAACAAATGAACTTTCCATGTAATGGTCCTTGGCCAGACTAATGGTGGACAGTGTCAGAGAGAATGCCAAGGTCGAGAACAGCAGAGATACGGATAAACGATAAAATTAGCCAAGGTTAACGCAGTACAGAGATGATGAGATATGTAAATAGTCAATATCAGGTAGCAGCCACTCTTCCACTGCAACTACCAAGTTTTACTTTGTCATGTGATGTCCCCACGCATTGTATGCCATCAAATGCAGCTTATAGGGAAGGATTTATTAAGTCCATATGAAAAGCATTCCATAGGAAGTGTGTGCATGCCAAATGCTTCTTTATTAAAAGCACTGGATTTAATGATCATCAAGGAAGTGATGCTTCCAGGATGACGTGGTGGGGAAAGTAAGAGGGTCAGCATCAAGTGAGTGTCAGCGCTGGAGTAAGGCAAGTAAAAACCTTTTCTTTTTCACTAATTTTTACAGCTCAAAAAGGGCTTAATCTAAATAGTGATTAGGATGCTATAGCTTTAGACATGCATGTTTGTATTCTTGAAGCAATGGGGTTCCTTGAAACTCAAATTCCTATATGTTAGTCATTGAGCCATATTGAAAAAGTGAATACTGTAGGAAATCGTGGTACAATTAAAATATATCCATTATGACTTTTAGACTCCAATGAACCACTTACACAAGATGATGAGCAATATCAAATTAATTAAAAAAAATAAAATTACAGAGGTACAAGTAGAGCTAAATATTCAGAAAACGAGAAAAATGTGGTGAAACCCAACTTTTCTGAATGCAAGAGACTCTGAAGTCCGTACATAAGATGCTTGCTTTAATATTCTGTACTAATATGAAAATTACTGCTGCATACTTAGGTATTGTACTGCAGCATACCACACACACACAAGTAGAAAAATAAACAAAAAATAATGAAAAAAAATTTTTTGCACTGCTCCACTTTTCCATTTATTGATTATAAAATGAATTTGCCAAACTGCTTCTTATAGATTATGAAGGTAATAGAAAGCAAATTTCAAAGTATCACTAAGCTCAAGTTAAAAGACACACCATAATGATTTTTTTTAAAAGAAAATAACCTCCGGTCAGGTTCTAAAACAGGGCAGCTGATCAGCGGGAGGTGGAATTCAACAAAAAGCTTGAACATTTTAGCAATGTTTGAGGTCTAATAAAGTAAATTACAAAGCTTTGGGATTTACATTAAACACAACCCACAAAATGTTTTAAAAAAAATACGCCAACAGATCTAATTTAAGATATACAAAGAATATAAGATCGTCTGCTTTTACTGTGAATAATCTCCCAGGGAAGACACAGTTATACCTCTCTAGTTTTTACATAAGTCATGGGTTCTAAGCAGCTCAATAATTCTAATTGTATTGGCTTACAAAGGATAAAATGATGGGTTTTTGTACAGCAATGAGAGATATTGCTGGTTACCAACTCAGTAAACATCCCACCAAATATTACATCTTTTTTTTAATTATCTGTGCATCAGAGGAAATTTAAAACTTTAACAGTAATGAGTGAAAGAAAAGCCTCAGTACAGATAAACATGACTATAAAGTTTACCAAAAACACATATGATGGATTGGTTTCTATTTCAGGGTCAAATTCCGAGGGACTACCCTATCCTATATTCACAGGCAAAACAAATATATTAATTGCAAATTTAATGCTCAAGAGTATAACCCCATACCAATATATTCTATTCTTCATCTAACACGTCTTGTCCAATTTCAAGGACAATACACCAGTGTCTGCTGCAACATGATCTGTTACTTCCCGAAACATTTAAAAGGGAAAGTGCCTTTTATCTTCTAATATGAATATAGCCGATTCTCCACTTGTACATGTACAGATAAATAAGAGGTTAAAGGCCAATGTCAGAGTTCAGTAAAACTTCCCCTTTAGCAAAAACACTTTATTTCACTAACCTCCTGACTATCTGCGGCTAAGGATGAAGCTGTAATTATTATGTTTGTATTCAATTATTAATGGCTGGAATTCCTTGAAGTGAAAACTGCTTTCCCAAACCATTTGCACGTTTAAAAAGCCCGATCAGCGTTGGGAGATTAGCAGTCAGATGAAAATGTCCTTTTCATGTAGATCGTCTTTTTGTGCAGTCCCCACTGCTTCAATAATTAAATGAGAGGCTAAGAGATAAGCCTGCTAACCAATCTGTACAGAAAAGGCTTGCGCTGCTCTGCAAATTGTGCATGCTAATGAACAGAAAATAAAAAAAAAAAACAGAAAGTTACATGGTTTGCGGTTTTTCAAATGTGGCAGTATTCAAGTAAGAGTATATACAAACCTTATTAAGGGTTACCGCAACCACCATGACAACTTTTGATTTTAGAAGTGGTCATGGTGCAAGCAATCTGTATGTGCAGAGTTACAGCTTGAAACAATGCTTATACAAAGAAAACTGCTTTGTGCCGGGTTATAATCACATCTCAGGTACACGTCACTTAAGCAGCTTTGGACTCTGTCCAAATCTGCCTAATGTGAGTTCTGTACAGAAAATATATCTAAAGTCAAAATGTATTGCGCTTGAATGACAAAATAAATCAGCTTCTTCAGGCTGTGCTGTGAGTGTGCCTGCAATATGTAGCCTGTAGGACTCTATGCATGCTGCTCATGTGCACACAGTCCAATATTCTGCTTGTTCCCTCCACCCTCACTCGATAACTTCCTCTGTCCAGCCCTCAATGCCTTTTAAAATAGAACTATTACTTCATCCCCTTTTTTTGGCACTGCCTCCAGTCATACCTCCCACTGTCTAGAATGAATACCTCCCACTGTCTAGAATTAATTGCTGATTACACTTTGAGTGCAGTGCATCCCATGCATGAGCCAGACTGGGCTGCCATCAGAAATTTTAGGGCTTTTTACACAGTTTTAGGCATAGGTGCCCCAAGAATCGCCACCGAGTCCAACCACAAAGCCACCCCTGAGATCTTCCTCAATTTTAAGTAAAGTGGATGCAGAGAGAGTGTGTGTGTATATGGTGGATGCAGAATGTGTGTGTGTATAGTAGATACAGTGTGTGTAGTGGATGTCAAGCAGTGTGCGTAGTGGATGCAATGTGTGTTTGTGCAGAGGATGCAGTGTCTGTGTAGTAGATATAGTGTGTGTTTGTGTAGTGGAAAGACTGTGTGTAGTGAATGCAGTGTCTGTGTAGTGGATGCATTGTGTGTGTTCTTGGTGCAGGATAGGGGCTATAGGTGGGTAAGCAGGTTTAAAAATAAAAAATAGATTATTGAACCCAGCTTGCGTTGCCATGGCAACCTGTGGCAACGCTTTGACACCTGTGGCAACGCTTTGACACCTGTGGCGTGCAAGAAGACACTGCCATAGGTGGCGCCAGAGGTCCATCAAAGCTTCTCTATGAAAATAATCTAACTGAACTTTGGGCCAAAAATGGATGATGCAGCGTGATGGATAAGTGGGCGGGGAACACTTTTGGGAACACGGTCATGGCACAGATTTCAAGAAGGTTTGCACCTTTTTTCAAAAAATCTTTATTTATTTATTTATTTTTTATTTAAGGGGGGGCAGTAAAGGTCAGTAGTCTTCAACCCATATAGAGCAAAATGAACATGGGTTAACAACTAGTCTGGAATAAACCTTTAAGAAGAGCTAACCATTATTATTGTCTCTCTGGCTCTGCAAAATCAACACACAGGTCATGCAAAAATTACAAGGTATAATGTTTTAGGGAATGTAGTTTCATCTGTACCTTTTCCTAGTCAAAATTCTAGTAAATCTATAGATTAAAAATATACATAACCATTTTCCTTTTTATCTTTTACTGTCATATTATGAGTAGAGAAGTGTTTCTTAACCCCTAGGTCGGAACCCCAAATTAGGTTGCCAGCTATTTCATGGATCCACACTGATTGAAGTAAGCATATCGCACATTTCCAAAGCTCCAGGCAATCAGGGCTGGATTTCCCATTGGGCAGAGTACACACCTGTCTACAGCGCCTGTCTTATAAGTACCAGGATCAGTGCCCTCTTCAGTCTAGTCAGCCTCCTATGCTTTATAGCAGAACTGCAGGAACATTAATAGAGGGCTTAACACTCTTCTTGTTCCAGGTCTTCCAGCGTCTGTGTGTGAGGCTGGACAGAAGGTGCAAGGGATCCCATTTTCCCACTATCAGCCTCTTACACAGGAAGTGTATTGCAAGAGCAGCAGGGAAGGCATTGAGTGCTGCACACTGTAAAACTGCTACTTCAGACCAACAATCTTTCTTATAAGGGTGACTGGACTACAGGGCAAGTACTTTGCAAATAACTCTTCATACTCAACATGCACTAAGCAAACCTTTTCCCTAACCTTAATTGAATCCCCCCTCCCCGCAAAAGAAAACAAACCCTTTCCTTAGACCCAAATTTGAACAAAAACCCTTTACCTTTAACCCTAGTTTTAACTACCCATGTACCCCAACACTACATTTAACCCAACTAACACTGTACACTCAAAAATTCTAAATACCCCCTATACCCAAATACGACAATTAACCCCACTCTATCCCTAAAACTCTTATAGTACAATGGTACTCTCAAGCTCGCCGTATCTACACTAACAGTGACGTTAACCCCTTTCAAACCTTACATTCCCTTTACCCTAGTAACTTATCTTTAGCCCTGTGCTCATCTCATCTCAGCTGCATACATTCACTGTAATCACAGATTCACACACTATACATTACAAGCAGATAAATACACATGCATACATATATACATATGCAGTTTTCAAATACTAACATATGTTTTTTTATGCCTGGAATGTCAGTTTAATAAATCCATTAAACGTATTTGATCTGCTTGTGTTTGTGTGTGGGGGCGGTGCCTTAGAATTCTGAGAGTCACCTTGCATGTAAAACCAGCACTGCACTATGTATTGTATTATAGTGACACTGCCTTCCTAGTGGCTCTAGAAAGCATAATAATAATAATAATATTAATTCACTTTATTATAATACCATTTTAATAGTAATGCATATTCATTTGGCTGGACATATGGGAGCTAATTTTACAGTTCAAGAAAGGGTGGCAGTGGTTATGATATGTACACCATTTGGGTCCATGCCAAAACTAGTAAGAACCACTGGCATAGAGGTAAAAATAGCCAAGAAAGGTGCAATCTCACAATGTTGTGTGTGGCCCGGGATACTAGGCATTACTATTTGTGTACCAATGCTTCTGATGACGTGTATATGTCATCCATATTACATATAGAAGGCATATGTAAAGTTCATATATGTGATAGGATAAGATTTGCCTTTAATCTTTATTATTCTGTGACTGCTGTCTTTTTAAATAACCCCTTACCAGAACTAAAATACTGCATGACTAAGAAATTCTAACTTACAAAACAGATTGTAAGCTCGTTTGAGCAGGGTCCTCAACTACCTATTATACCAATAATATTAATAATAATAATAACTGTACACGGCAGAGATTTCACGGTGCCATTAAATCACTCTGGTTCTAGAAACCTCTAGTGACTTGCACTTACAGTTGGGAAGCATTTGTCCTGATTTTTGTTTAACCTATTAAAGGTTCACAGTCAGCATCTCCAATTGAAATGCCATTCAGAGAATAATAAATTGCTTTCCAAAGAGAGTTTTGGCTAATGTGAAATGAACAGGAGAGAGAAGATCCTCTTTGTGCACGGGTACTGTGAGGGGCTGCATGATTTACTTGCAAATTTGGCTCTCGAGTCTCTGCCTGGATGACGCAAGTCATTTTCACATCGAGAAATTAATTATTTAATCAAACCTGACAAGAGTTCTTCACTCAACCTGCTCACAGTATGAGAAAGGTAGTTATAAGACAAGATGCCTGCTGAAAGAACCCGCGACATCAGCAGGCACGAAAATGGCCCTGTAGCCTTTAATCTTCCACCTTCACTGAACTCCTATTACACCAAAGTCCACATTCCGCAGAGATCCAGTTTATCCCTATTCTACTATTATCTGCTGCTCTGTTTCAATTACACATCCACTTTCATTTGTCTACAACCTTCTAACCCTTCCATAGCACGGTGGAACTGCCCCTAACTGAAACCGAAATGACATTTATTATTTGCCATGCACAGAACAAAATGAAATTCAACAAGATGCAACCGTAGAGAATAATTGGCAAAAGAGACACAGGAGAAAAGCAATGTACAGTGTAAAGCAAAATAATAGAACTTACGTGTAAACATTGTAAGAAACCACGGGATTGCGTAGAGCTGGAACAGAAAAGTAGAAACAAAGAAATAACAGTTAGCTCTTGGTACCAAACATGCTATTCATTTACAGTATTTTCTATGCCGTTTGTTGCAATTTGAAGATGTTTAACCAAGGTTTCTATGGAAAGACAACCCTTTTGGCTTATCAAAAATAGATATGATTAGAAATAGGTGACATCTTGTTAATGTAACAGTGGGAGTTATAGTCCACATTATATGGAGAATATAACAGCTCTCAAAGGACCACTATAGTGCCCACTCTCATGGCCCCCCTCCCGCCAGGCTCTAGGGGAAGGAAGGGGTTAAACACTTACCTTTCTCCAGCGCCGGGCTCCCTCGGCGCTAGGGACTCTCCTGCCTCTTCGGCTGAATGCACATGCGCGGCAAGAGCCGCGCGCATTCAGTCAGTCCATAGGAAAGCATTCTCAATGCTTTCCTATGGAAGCTGGCGTCTTCTCACTGTGAAAATCACAGTGAGAAGCTCGGAAGCGCCTCTAGTGGCTGTCAATGAGACAGCCGCCAGAGACTGGATTAACCCATATGTTTACAGCAGGCAGGGTTAATCCTAGATGGACTTGGCACCCAGACCACTTCATTAAGCTGAAGTGGTCTGGGTGCCTATAGTGTTCCTTTAAATTAGATGATGAATTACCTAAATAATTAGGTCTTAAATCAGTCTGAAAATGAACAGTGTGCTAAAAACTGTTGATTTAAACATTTAGATTATAAAAGGTTGGGAAAGAAAAAATCTCCAGGTCAGTTAAATTACCAGCTCTGGCCTAAACTTTCCAATGAATGGGGCACTAAAGTCACCAGAACAACTATAGCTTAATGTGGTTTTTCTGGTGAATATAGTCAAGCCCTGTAGGCTTTTTGCAGTAAACCACAATAAAATAGCAACGATAAGGTTAGGCGTTAAAATAAAAGATTAAGGTGCAACCTGATCATTGGTATTTTCTTGTGGTTTACGTTTATTTTTGGGTTGATAGGGAGCCCCATTGCTTTAGGTGTGCTGACTATATATATATATTTTTTGTTTCTGTTTCGGTTATTTAGCGCTGATCTTCTGTCTCTTTTCCTTCCGGAGAAAAGGCAGTGTTTACATTGCATCCTAGGGATACCTCCAGTGGCCATTCTACAGATGGCTACTAGAGGTAGTTCCTGGGGTAATGCTGCACACTGTGCATTGGTAGCATTCAGTGTCTCCACCATCTACATGGAGACATTGAACTATCCTTAGAGATGCATTGATTCAATGCATCTCTATGAGGGGATGTTGACTGGCCAGGCTTGCATTTAGGTCTGCCACTCAGCCCGCCTCCTTGGCCGTGATCATCAGAATTGACAATCTCAGCCAATCCAAGGCTTTCCTGTGGGATCAGATCAGGGGCAGAGCCAACACCAGACTGGAATAAAGGTAAGATTGTATTATATTTAGGAGGGCAGGGGTGCTACATAGCGATTTTAACAGTGCAGACAAATACCTTTCTGTTTATATGATTTTCTAGCATATACTGGGTGCTTTGAGTCAAACCGCAATTTCCACAGTGTGGGTAATATATCTTATTTAACGGTTTTGGGGAACCCTATTTTAATAACTATGCAAGCAAAACACAGCAGAACTAGTTTTAGCAATCTGTCTATCAGATTGCATTAATATTTGATTTGAGTTTGATTAAAATTATATCGCACAAAATCATATAATGTAATCAACATAGTGACAAAAAGTTTATATATCTTGGGTTTGAATGAATGACTTCAAGAATATCTACATAGTCTGTAGAACTTAACAGTGTTCTAGATCAGGGGTACTGAATCAAGGGCCAAGAACAGAGATTAGCTTAATTCTTGGTATCGTAAGAAAACTAGCTAGGGATTTAATACCTTAGTTTGAAATTTGTATTTTTAAAGTTTAGATTGTAATTTAAAAAACAAACAAAAAAACATTCACTTTAATTTAAATTTTCTTGATAAGAGCTCAACATTCTTGATGATCCATGATGACCTATCCTTCTGTCTTACAGATAGACTCTAGCTATTACATCTGTCTGTTGGAGAGTCTAAACTACCTGACAACATAAGATGGTTCATAAGACAGCATCCCACCTACCCAGCACCCTTTTTTATGTTTACATTTTCTTTAAATAAGGATTGATTCATTATGTTCTGATAAATATACATATTGTTGAAACATGTATGGGGAGTTTTCTTTTTTGTTCGCAAACCTTGAGACCTGCAAGTCTCGCAGTGTATTATATTATGCCTTTTTTATCTGCGAATCTTGTATTGTGATTTATTATGTTCTTTACACTCTCACCTAATAAACAACACATTGCAAAAAATATATAAAATATCAAACACCAACCTGGAAAACATCCTGTAACAAGTAAAACAAATACTAATCTAACAGCGAAAAAAGGACAAGCACAAAGTCTCCGTGTACACATCTGGGTTATCTGCTCAAAGTAATACCATCATTTACAGAGGCGAATCAAATGTATAATGTGTTGTAGCAAATCCAAAGCAGGTTGTTACAGTAACAATTATTGAGGTTTAATGTTGAAATGTCACAATGTAAACTGGAAATTCTGTAGTGGAGTGGTGCCCTTTAAGACAGTTTTCCCCTTTTCCTTCTAATAAAAATAAAATCTGTACAATTTGCTTTCTTTGTCCTACAATGCCATCTAGAGGGAAGAATAAGGAAACACCTATCCACATGGTAACCCTTTCTTCTGCAAACATGGCTATTAGATGTGAGAATGCTATTACAGTAGCAGAGTACAGAATGATATGGTAACAATGTGTAACCTTCTGAGTGCCACAGGACTGAGTTGCTGTAGCATAAATTTGCGTGATCACTGTCTTTTACATACATATGGTCAACTGATACAGTTCTGGATTCAGCATCCACTTTAAGAATTGGTTTGATGTCTGGACTACATCAGGTTGAGCATGCAGACTCTTTATTGGTATTTTTATTTTTATTACCAATCAGTAATAAAATAACACTGTGCTATTTTCTGCAGTGCTGGTGGAAATGGTGAGTTTGTGTTAAGGCAATGGCAAACAATGGCACCTGGTTTGCATCATGGATAACCAAAGATTATTGGTAAAAAATAATGATAAATTGGGTTTATTGATATGTAAACATAATTTTATCAACCACAATAAACATGTATTATTTTCTGTTTGTCCTTCTATGTACTGTAAATATAACAAATATATAAAGATATATATTAGAGATCTTTAGATTATAGATCCATCCACCAGTCCTTGATGCTCACTATAATAAATACACTTATTGCACTAAGGGTGATAGAGGCAAAAGACTGAAAAAAGTAAAACAAAATTGGATTAGCACTTTTGATTACCCAATTGGTAAATCATCCATAAAAAAAAAATTCAATTACAAGCACTCAAACTGGATACGGGTTAAATAAAACCTAGCTTATTTTCCTATCCTAATTCCTTTAACAGGCCGAACTCCACAGGAGCATTAAGCCAACTCAGCCATGTAAATATATCAAAATGCAGAAAAGATGTGCTTTCATGGACCAGGAATAGCTACAAAAGAATCTATTCCTGGTTAAAGAGATGATGTGCAGGAGCTTGGGAGAGAATATCGCTCAGTAAAGGGCTCAGCTGGCGCTTGAGACTCACTTTACCCTGCTCTTTTCTCCTCTTTCCTTCCATGCTCACTGACCTATAACAGGGTGTAAATTGGATGCATCTGAAGGAGATGAGCTGGAATGAAAAACATGCAAGAAATGTGTATCATCAAAACATGTTCGGAGGTTCTCCTTCCCAATCTATTGTGCTACAGACAGCAAGGTGCTGGCGGTCATAACAAGCGATAGGTAACGATCCACAATAATAATCAGATTTCTATTTTTTAGTCTATTGGAAAGCATTTTATCAGCTTTGTTGCTTTTATGGTACCAATTCTGATTTAGCTTTTGTAGACCAAAATTCACTTTTGCCAATAAAGTAGTATTGTTCTTCTTGGTTATTTCTGATATTTGTTGATCAAACTCCTTTGTAAGGGAGATTTTATTTTTTTTATTTAAATTATAGAATTCAAGGTATAGTTGATTTAAAGATAGGCCTTGTTCCCTTTTTTTTTTCAGACCCCAATTTAATTATATAACCCCTTATTACACTCTTAAAGGCATACCATAAGATTTGCTTTGAGATTTCTTGTGTCGTATTTTCTTTATAGTATAATTTAATCCTCTCCAACATGTAATCAATAGTTTTATAATCAGAAAATAATCTCTCATTCAGCCTCCATTGTGATCGTGGTTCATTAGCATCTAATCCTATTTCCATAATCACAGTCGAATAGTCCGACCAGGGTATATCCTCAATTTTAATTAGGTAACATTGTTGAATTAACTGTATTTTAACCAAAAAATTATCTATTCTAGAATATGACAAGTGAGGTTTAGAGTAAAAAGTGAACTCCTTTTCATCAGGATGTTTTACTCTCCACATGTCATATACCGTATATACTCGAGTATAAGCCGACCCGAATATAAGCCGAGGCCCCTAATTTTACGCAAAAAAACTTGGAAATCTTATTGACTCGAGTATAAGACTGGGGTGGGAAATGCAGCAGCTACTGGTAAATTTATAAATAAAATTAGATCCTAAAAAAATTATATTAATTGAATATTTATTTACAGTGTGTGTATATGATGAATGCAGTGTGTGTGTATGAGTGCGCAGTGTGTGTATGAGTGTGCAGTGTGTGTATATGAATGCAGTGTGTGTGTATGAGTGCGCAGTGTGTGTATGAGTGCGCAGTGTGTGTATGAGTGCAGTGTGTGTATGAGTGCGCAGTGTGTGTGTGTATAAATGCAGTGTGTATATGAGTGCAGTGTGTGTATGAATGCAGTGTGTATGAGCGCAGTGTGTGTATGAGCGCAGTGTGTGTATATGAATGCAGTGTGTGTGTATGAGTGTGCAGTGTGTGTATGAGTGCGCGTTGCGCAGTGTGT